AGTTCATGTGATCTCTGGCATCCCAGTAAAGTTTACACAGATCACCCCGCTCTTGGGATTGTTTGTCCAGTAAAGGGCATACAAGCAAGTGGTCTGAGTTCATGGTTCCCGAATTGCAGATTTGGCACTCGCTAGATGGAAGGATACCTATTCTGTTGAGGTGCTCTGCCAAGCAGTCATGGCCTGTTGAGAGTCTGAAGTTTGCCACAGCCTTCTTACGAGGACTGTGACAAAATTTCTTCCAACTGTTTTGGATGTTAGCCCAGGGTTTTCCAGTGGATTTTACTGCTTGGTTGAGCTTTAGGTTGGTCTTAAGTTTCTCGGAAAATTGTTTTTTAAGGGAGTCTGGTGGAATCGGTTTATTACATTGTGGTTCGAGTGTCCCTTTCTTGGCTAGTTGGTCTGCCTTTTCATTGCCATTGATTCCTACATGCGAAGGGATCCACTGGAACACAATAATTTTGTTGGCATTCTCGAGAAAAATCAAATTATCTCTAATATCTGAAATAGTCTGAGTATCTGAATCATGGTTTATGGCAATTGCCTGGATAGCTGCCTTAGAGTCGAGAAGAATTACTGCTTTAGTGAAGTAATTGATCTTATTCTTAAGGTTTTCCTGGGCTATCGATATAGCGAAGATCTCTGCATCAAAATTTGACATATAGTATCCCACAGGGGCGCTGTGAGAAAAGAGCTTACTGTGTACTCCTGCTCCGGTGCTGTCTTGTATTTTTGAGCTGTCAGTGTACACTCTCGTCCATTCTGGTTCAGGGTATTGCTGTTGTAGCATGCATAATGCATTTGTTTTTAGTATTGTGTCAGGTATGTTTTTCTTACCCAAATCATTGATATCTAGTTGGTGCCTAACATCTATAAATTTGAGAGGGTTTGTGATGTTCTTGTTACAGATAATTGGCTCATCTTCTTGGAAATCATGCAGTAATTTTTCACATACCTCTAGAGGAGAGATTTGAGTCTTCATGGAACTTGGTTTACATTCATTCATCCATTGCGCTCTGTGGGAGGCTTTCATTTTAACATAAGTGCCAACTGCTTGTATTTTAATTTCAGTGGTAATTGGTGGATTAGAAGTATAGTATTGTAGGGCTATAATTGGGGTTGTCTTCACTGCTCCCGTAATGATTCGGAGAGCATTGTTTTGGGCTCTTTCCAAAGAGTCGAGCTTACCTTGTGCACTAGAAATTAACACCTCACTTCCGTATTTGATAATTGGTTTGATATAGGTGTTATAGGTTTTATTTAGAGTGTGTTGTGAGCTTCCCCATTTGGCATCAGCTAGTCTTTTCAGAATTGAGGTTCTCTTTTCTACTTTGTCTATAACAGTATTGATATGATNGGTGGATTAGAAGTATAGTACTGTAGGGCTATAATTGGGGTTGTCTTCACTGCTCCCGTAATGATTCCTACACCTAGATATGTGGTAAGGTTGCTTTTTCGAAGCTTACTATTATCTATTATCAAATCAAAGTCTGGATTAACACTCCTTAGAGAGTAGAATTGGTAAACGGTTTTATTTTTGTTGCTAATCATGTTATTCTCTCTGGACCAAGACTGCAAGACCTCGAGAGCTTTATTCATAACACCTTCAAGATTATTCCTTTGATCTTCATATGCTTGGGAGTTTTCTGCTTCCGTCCAAATGACAACATCATCTGCGAACATACAAACGTTAATACCTTATAAGCTTGTTAGTTTGTCTACCAAATCGTTGATGTAGATGTTAAATAGGGTACAGCTGTTTACTGCTCCTTGTGGTAGACCAACTTTGCTCTGTTTGTAGGTAGATTCCTGTTCGTTCCATCTTGTTTTTGCCCATCTTTGGGATAAGAACTTTCTGTACCATTTAAACATTTGTTTGCAAATTCCACAAGTTTGAAGTTTGGTTAGAAGTTTGCTTCTCCAAATTGTGTCGTAGGCTCCTTGAAAATCAACAAATACTGCCAAAGAACTTTTCTTTGAACTGAAACCGGATTTAATTTTGTGAACCAACTTCATAATTGATTTGGCGGTTGACATGTTGCTTCTGAAACCTGACTGTTCTTCTGCTAGGATATCATTTGACTCCAGGTAAAACCTTAATCTTGCATTTATCATTCTTTCAAAAGTTTTGACCATGATGGATGTCAGTGAGATTGGTCGGTATGATTCTATGTCTTTGGGTGACTTACCCGGTTTTAGAATTGGAATGATATTTGCTTTCAACCAGTTTTTTGGGAGGCTTGATTCTTCGTTCCAGATTTTATTAAAAATCGGTAGTAGGGATTCCCTCACTGATATTCCCAGGTGTTTCAGGAACTCAGGGAATATGTTATCGGGACCTGGTTGTTTACCGTATTTGAGGTCATGAATAGCCTTGTTCAATTCTTCTATTGAAAAGTCCTCCGTAAAAAGGTTTTCTGGGCACTTAAACTTAGATGTTCCTCTTTTTACTAGTTTGTTGTTTCTTTTCTCTTGTTTCTTTTGTTCTTTACTAAGTGACTACCGATCAAGGTAAAAATTATTGAATAATTTTGCTATCTGTCTTGAATCACTTATATATTTGTTTCCTCTCTTTATGGGGTGATTATCTTTTCGTGTATATTTATTGTTCAGGTTATTCATTAATTGATAAGCTTTGCGTCCGGCTTTCCTATAGTCTAAATCGTTTAGACACTTATTCCATGCTTGTCGTTTAGCCTCTAGGACTTTTCTCTTCATTATTGCACATTCCTTTCACCAATTGATTACATCTTGTTTCCGTTCGTCATTAGTTTTCCCCTCTATCTTTTCAGCTTCTCTTCTTGCTTGCTCTCTGATGTGTCTTTGTTCTTCAAGTTCAGTATTCCAAAATGGTTTGTAGTTAAATCTCTTGGAATGTTCCTTTTAGCACACTCTTGAAGGGCTAAGGAAAAAGTTGATACTAATTGTTGTGGAGTTGCATCAGTTTGAAAGGTGTTTACCTGATGTTCCATATCTTCAGTGAAGGCTTTCCAGTTAGCTTTTTTGAAGTTCCACATGATTTTTGTGTTACATCTTGTCGGTATTTGATTTGTAGTGATTAATGTTTTTATTATTCGGTGACCGCTTCCCGGATCTCCAATCACTGATTTTTTACAACAGTCAACTAAGTTTGCTGAAACAATAGTTAGATCAGGATTTGTAGAACTGCCTGAAAAGTGGATGAAGGTGTTTGGATCATCTTTATTGTTAAGGACAAGCAAGGCATTGCTATTTACAAGGTTCTTGACAATTGGTCTACTTGATTTTGATAAGTGTATCCCCAGTTGGGGGAAGCAGCGTTGAAGTCGCCTACAATTATAGTGTTACGGTGAGAAGTTAAGTAATTTAAATTTTTGTTGTTTGGAGGACTGTATATACCGAAAACCCTGAAAATAGTATTTTTGTTCCAAATGTTAACGGCTGCGATTTCTGATGTATCATGATTATTTATTGTTTTCAACACTTCAAAGGACAATGTCGGTTTGTTTTGCACGGCCACAAGGATACCACTTGCGATCTGTCTGCTCTTGAAAAGACCATGCATGGTGAAAGATTCTAAATTGTGGAACTTCATTTTGTCTTCTGTAATATTAGCTTCTTGAACGACCAGGATGTCGATGTTCTCCTCTGCGACTACTCTCTTAATTTCTGAAAACTTTGCAGAAGAAAGCCCTCCGGCATTCCACTGCAGGATAGAAAAACTAAAACTCCTTGCTCTATTTGCACTTATCGCCTTAGCCATCGCCGTTACTCATTTAGTACCACCCAGGAGGCACGTGTGATTTAAAGATATCACGGATGCGAGTAACATTGCCTCCCGCATTTTGCCATATATTCTCCATTTCAGGCTTCATTTTCCACCCTCAGAAATCGAACTGAAAAATCTCTCCATCTTTTTATGGTTGCTAATATAATCAAGAAAAGTAGTTATTTTATCATGATCATGTAAAGTCTTTGAATATTATTTTACATTTTGTTAATGTATATGGTGCTTAAAAATATTTTACATTTTGTTAATGTATATGGTGCTTAAAAATATTTTTGGTTGCTTAAAAAGTACTTTAAAGGTGGTTATTTTTGTTGAGAGATTTGGCTATGCGCCCTGAACAACAATGAACAAACATTCATATTTGTGCTAGAAAAACTTGATGAATTTTAATAGTTTTATGCAATGAGTAATCATACTATCTGAACTATATAATAAAATCTAATTTTAAATAATATCAAGAAAGGATGGTTAACTTATTTAATTAGAGTCATGAAAAAGTTATGAATACTAACACATTATTTTTTATGAGAAGAATTCTTGGTTTCTCTTGTTACAAAAAAATTTGTTACTCTTCTTACATTCTCTTTAAAAGATTTGATAAGAAATTTATGAAAGACATAATAAGTATAAATAAATTTTTATATGTTGGTGCATTTATTTAATTTCTTTGAAGCAAACTTGATTTTAAGAATTAACAACAGATGAAGATTCAACGCTTTTTTACAATTTTATCTTTCTTATAAAATATTTCATCTCTATTTTTTGGCCATTTCCTGTTTCCCTACTGGAATCATTACATTTATACTGTTATCAAATTTTCAAAGAATTGTATGTTTCAAATTTGTTTTCTCAAGAACAAATCAACAGATTTTGTCCAAATGCCGTATTTTCCAAATTCTGCACCTTATAATATTACATTCTTTGAAGTAACATAAAAATTTGTATACTTTACAATGAAAAAATATTCAGGTATTTTTAAATAAAGTAACAGAAAATAATATATATATATCAAAAATTATTTTTTGCTTCGGATAAATGATGCAAAAAAATTTTCATTTAACATTAAGTCTCAAGAAAAGTAATATTAATATTAAGGGTTCCTAAATTATTGACTGCTTTAAGTTACAACTAACTAAAATAATGCAACTTTTAATTTAATTAGGCAGCTTAACAGACCTCTTAATTCAATTTATTAAGCGGCCTGTTTGCCCATGTTAATCCTCTAAGGGAAAATAAATGTGAGTTATTATTTAACCTTTTATTTATTATACAAAATAATTACTCCAAAGATAATTCAAACTTTTCAAGATCCTTTTGTCTTCAGACATAACCTGCTACATAAAATTACAGTTTTGCTGCAATTAGTTTGCCCTTTAAATAAAAAAATTTAATTACAGCAAAACTTATTTAAGGTAAGACAGATGTTGCTCAACTTTAGGCATGAGTAGTACATGGTTCTGAAAAATCACCATTCTTTTGCTTGTGATAAAATAACACACCAACTGGGAAAAAATCTTAAGCTTGAAATAACTGTAAAACTAATCTACACATGCATAACATTTTCATATTATAGAAAGATCATTTTCATATGTAGATATGATCATTTTCATATGTAGATATGAGACATATGCATTCTGTGAAACTTATTGATTCATAAACATATCATTTACTGATTTATATATATTATGATTTAATTTGTATGCATTGAAAATTATACTTGAAACAAATAATTCCTTGAATTTTCCTTTAAACACAATTTTTCAACATTTTGTGTTCCATTATTTTAAGGCTGATCTTTATCAGAATGCATCTCTCCCGAGTTAGTGAAGTATCTTTGAAATTAAAATATAGCTCTAAATTATTATTGAACCCATATAGCATTTTTACAAAAAGGTCAATTTATTTAAATGAATTGATTGCTTTTTATTTCTCCAAAGTTTATAGCTCAGTTTGTGTAGTTAAGTTAATCGTTTCTCTGGCGATTCATTCAGAAATATGTAATCGTGTGCCTTCATACTTGCGACAGCTCACTTGCTTGATACTGTAAAACCTTTGTACAATAATCCCAACAATATTTTGGGGATCAAATAAATGTATTGTTGTATTTGTTATATTGAGGGCCTGCATACTTTGGGGACACAATAAGACTTTTTTTAGTTTTATATAGAGTAACTATAAATATTTTTATATATATTATAAGAAATTAATTTACAGAATGTTAATTATGGTTAAATATTAAAAATTATTTGAAATAAATTCAGAAAATAAGATCGTAAACATACCTGAAAACTGTTTTTGTTGAAAATAGTCTGATATTTTTGTTTGATTATTATTTTTTTACTGTTATATCAACCAACAAAGTATGCCTTGATTCCAAAACACCAAAATGATTTTCATTTGTGAATGGTGCCCCACAGCTTTTAACATGAAGGAAATGAAATCAATTAAGAATGTTACTTCTGTGATTTCTTGAGAGATAAGTAAAGCAATTCTAAGAAAGAAAGCTGCCCTGGTGGTCAGCAGCGAGTCTTCTCTTGTCAGGAAAAATGGCAAAAGATGATTTAATAAGATTTTTTATATTATGTGACATCCAATAATAAATAGTAAGGTTGAAATTTGGAAAAAAAATTGCTTCAGAGCGTAATATTGAGAGGAGGATAACATTAATTCATATGCAAGTTTGTGGGGACCACTAAACATTATCATAAGAGTTATTCTGGTATTGGATATTGTAGTAGCGAGAGTTCATCTGTTTTTTTATCAATATATATATGTATTATGTGTATAATATAGATTTTTTTACTCTTCATGTATAGGTATTCTCACAAGGATGCAATTCAGGTTCGCTTGCATTTTCTTACAAATGTGTTCTCTACAACTGGTTCTCCTGAAATATTTCGTAAGTATCAATTGACCTAATTTAGCTTCTGAAAATCAAACCTTTTAGGTGTTTCCTTCATATCAAATTTTACAGCACTAAATGGTCCTGTTAGTCAAAAAAAAAGGGGGGGGAGACCAAAAATCTAGTGAAACCATTTGGGTCAGTTATCTGAGCAATAAGTTTGATGAACATCGTAAATTTCATGTATCATTTTAGAGTACCTTTAACATTTTAGTTTGCTAATAATCTTTAATTCTACTCTCTCTAATGATCTTCTGTCAGGGGCTATTGCTTTTAGTTATTTTTCTTTATCTTCTTCATGGTGCATAGCATTATTAAAAGGTGCTTATTTTCATTTTTTAAATGCCCTTAAAGGTGCTTTTTTTTCATGGGGTGATTTTGCTTATTTATTTTCCCTTTTCAAAAATGAGATTTTTTTTCTCTTTACCATGTCGATTTTTGCTCTGTATTTATGCAAACTAGTGGTTTTCACATTATTCTATTCAACGTTTTCACAATTCATTCAACCGCAATCCATTTCGGCGTGACGTCGGTCTGTAACGTATGATAGCGCTAATCATGATGCATATTTGATTAAATATTTGAGAGACTGCATGTGCGTCTACTGAGCTGGGTTCTGTAAGATTATTGCACTCTCATGTGCAACTCTGCTGCAGTTTGCAAGATATTCTCAATTTCAAACTTTATTTCGCCTCCTCTGAAATCGAACCAAAAAATTTCTTGATCTTTTTATAGTGGCTAATATAATTTTTAAAAAAAGAGTTCTTTGTCCAAAACTAGTTATTTTATCATGATTATCATCTTCGAAAACTATAGAAAATGAAAATGAAATGTGCTTATTTTTTATTGAAAGATTTGACTCTCCACTATGTTTAAGAGTACCTTTAACATCTTAGTTTTCTAATATTCTTTAATTGCACTTTCTCTAATGATCTTCTGTCATTAGGTTTCATGTCTATTGGTTTTAGTTTTTTTTCTTTATCTTGTATTAAACCATGCTGAAAATGGAGGCCCATACACATTCAAACTAATTTAGGTTTAAAAAAGTCTTCTTTTTCTCATTCTGAAAGTTAAGACTGAGTATACTTTCAAATAAGTAAAGCATAAAATAGGAATTTCGGATCTTAACTGTTAAAAGCATTTTTAAATCTATTTTTGATAACTTTTTTTTAAGTTTATTAATTAAATCTATTAGGGTTGTTAATTATATATTTTTTAAGTTACAAAGTTTATATTTGCTCTTTCAAAAAACAGTCATTCCTTTTTTTTTAAAATAGTTTAGTATACATTAATTACTAAAAAAAAGTTTTGCTTCATTTGTCGATTCTATAATCAAATAAATTTAAACTTCTTTACTTGTTTAAAAAGAAATCGACAAAAAAAAGTCTTGAAATTTTTTTTTCATAAGTGAAAGTTTTGATGTTTCACATATTGACAAAAAGTAAATTTCCTTTCTTGTATTAGTTATATCACTCATAATTTTAAATACTTAAAATTTAATTTATGCTACTAGTTTAGAACAAAGGTGTTGACATAGTAAAATGTTCCTTTTTCAATCTTATGTTAAGTAAAAACTTGTGATTATTTTTTTTATTTATCTTGTTTGTTCAGTTATTACCCCTGTATCAGAATTTTTTCGGGCTTTTTGCGACAAACTTCCCTAGCACTTATATTTTGTTTTTAAATACTTTTAATTATAACAACTACTAATTTAAAGTAATAGAAACTTTGTTTTTACGGAAGAAAGTATAGAATAAAAATTTTAAATTGTGAAAGTAATATTTTTTTAATTCTAAAATTGTAGGCGATATTCTCACATTTTGTTTGCAGATAATGCAATTTCAAATTTTGTAAATCATTACACATAGTAAAATTCATAAAGAAATTAAATGATAATGAATTAAAATTCGTATATAAATTAAAAGTCTTAAAATCCGTGCAGAACTCCCAAAATAAAGATGACGTGACTAGGACTCTTTAAAAAGGACATACTGAAATAAGTATAAGTAAAATATGGTTGTTCTTTTAAAAAAAGAAAAAATGAAAGGAGGAACATCATTTCTAGACGGAACTATCTTTTAAACTTTCCTGATTTCTGAATTTTTTATTTTATATTATTAATTTAAAATTTCAGCTGAAGCCAGTTACCAATTTTTTTTAAAAAAAAATCTCAAATGAGAATAGAAAAATCATGATTATTTTTTTCGTCTCTGATGCAAAATAAAAACATCTTTCAAAAAAATTCTGTAGAAAAAAAAAACACTTTTTAAAAAATTATGCAGAAGGAAAAACCAAAAATTTTCCCTTCTCAGGAGAAATCTTTCTGCAAAAATCTGTAACATTGTGCGACAATGTCACCGCAATTCTGCCCTGGGGGTCATTACTTACGTTTTCTTGCATAGAATTAAATAAAATTTATTATTTGCATGTGTCTTAATTGTTCGCTAAAAGACTCAAATATATGAATAGGACATATTTTATTAGGTGACCACATTAAGTTTAAATTATGATACATAATTGTCATAGTTATGATTGTTTGAACTCAATGATTAAAAAATTTTAAGTTATAATTAATACTTTTGTATATTCATTTCTAGAATTAAATCATGAACAAGTTGATATATTATGGCAGTGTTTAGCCCAAGATACAGAGTGTGCAGATGAACTTTTTGGTTGGCTTCTCAATCAGGCAAAAGGAAAAGATCAATATGCTATGAATATTTCTTTGTTTAAGCATGTTCTCCTTGAAAAGGTATGTTATAACACCTTTGTTGTATAGAGATGATTAATACTTTGAGTAAACTGCAAGGAAGTAACATTGCTATTATTAACGCCATACTATTGTTGTATTAATTAAGTTTAATAGCATTCTTAAAAAGTACCAAAAGGTGCTTACCGTATATTCCGGCGTATAACGCGCACTTTTAATACAAAAAATAACATTGGAATTTACGGGTGCGCGGTATGCGCCGAATGTAAAAAATTATAGATTAAAAAAATTTAAATATTGAAAAATACTTTTATTTTAAAGAAATAACATACCTTTACCTATATACTTTATTGATTTTCGTTATTACATAAATAGTTCATTATATTCGTCTTCCGTTATTTCTTCAGGCACGTCATCACAATCTGTTTCATCTTCATCATCTGTGTTACCCTCATCCAAAAATAAACAGTCATCTTCTGATCCGTCCAGATTATTTGAAATGCTGCATTTTTTGAATGGTTTTCTAACCATCTCAGGCTTAATTTCATCCCATACTTTTAATATCCATTCGCACACTGTTTCCAAACTTGCATGACGCATATGTCCTCCTTAGTAAAGGTTTTCTCGCCCTCCAACATCCAAGTGTTCCACTGTTTTTTTAAATTGGCTTTAAATTGTTTGTTTAAGCAGACATCCAATGACTGAACTAATGGTGTCAAACCGCCCGGAATAACTGCCATATCGGTGTTACATTCTTTCAACAATTTTTATGTATTATCTGTAAGATGGGACCTAAACATGTCCCACACTAAAAGGCTTTCTGGTTTTCCATTGATGCTAGACAAGATATTGCACATCTACAATCCAAATTTTCGTGCGCGTTGTACGAAGAGTATATCTTAAAATTTAAAAAAAGTTATTAGAAATTACGGGTGCGCGTTATACGCCGGGGCGCGTTATGCCCCGGAATATACGTTAAATTAAAAAATTTTTTAAAATGCCTTTAAAGATGCTTTTTTTCATTGGGTGTTTTAAAAAAATGCTTAATTTTTCCATTTCCAAAATGATATTTTTTCTTTGCCATGTCTCTTTTTGACACGAATTTTGCAAAAAGACATTGTTCTATTCAAAGTTTTTACAATTCATTTTACCCTATTTCGGTGTATGTTCAGTGTAAAGCGTTTTCATTCGGTTCGTAGGTCCGTATGAAAACGCTTTACGTGTTTGATGAAATACTTGCAGGTCAGTATTTTCATATATCGAGCTGTATTCAGTGGTGTTAAGATGAATTCTTAGCCTCTCATGTGCAACTCTACTGCATTTTGCTGGAGATTCTCAATTTCAGGCTTCATTTCCGTCCTCAGTAATGGAGTCGAAAAATCTTTCGAATTTTCGCTAATTACGGAAACTAACTAAACGTAAAAAAAAAAAAAAAATTCCTGATAATGATTGAAAATTTTATTTCTCTTGTTAATTTCTGCATTGGAGAAGTGCCATCGTCTTCGTCACTGGCAAACTAATGGTCTTCTTGTGATATTCTATTTATAGATCAGTACTATAATCTTCGTACTTGACTTGGGGATCATTCACTAATTCTGTATTTTTATGTAGATCAATACAAATAGGGAATCATTAGGGAAGTGTTACAAATTTTGCATCATAATTTTTATTTCCGTTTCCATGGCTTATTTTTTTGCAGAGCATCTTCTATCTTTTCAGAAATATATAGGAGGAAAAAGTGGATTTTTTTTTTTTAATAATTTTTTTTCTTTTCTACGATTTTTCTCTCCTAATAATTATGTATAAGAAATCTGTTATGTAACAGAATAATTATATAAGAGTGACTTAAAATTAGTTATCCAACTTTTATGCTAAAAAATACTTAATTTAAAAAAACTACAGAGAAGTATTGTTATTTGTACAAAGTAGTATATGTGGAAGAAAATGACATGAAACATTTAAATTATCTCTTTCTACTAGCTGTAAATAAAATATTGCATTGTTTGATTTAAATTTATTTATGTGATATCAAACCGACAAATTTTGTCTCATTCTTTACAAAGTAATTTAAAATATTTTTCTTGAATATAGCTGCTGAGATTTAATTTCTTCAGTGTCTAGTCTGTAGTAATTCTATTATTGTTTTGAAATAATATGAAGTGTTGTCAACATGTTTCATCAAAGCTTTGATTTGTGTACGAAAAAAAATTTCTAACGAGAATCTAAATTTAAATAATGAAAGTTTAGTTTTATTTGATTTGGGATTTGCCAACCCTGCTGTAAATGATGAATAAAATTTATCATGTTTATTTTATTGATGATGTATATTTTTGAAAAGTAAACAAACTGTAAATATGAGTGTATTAAACACTTTCTTTTTGTTTTCAAGATGCCTCAGTTGCCACCTGAATCTACTAGCATGATGGCTTTAAATCTTTTGCAACAACTTAGTAGTCTTGCACATTTAGCAACCGCTTCCTATGACACTCCATCTTCTGCTGCTGATGTAAATATATTCTAAAATTATCACAAATTTCACAAACAAAAACATCTTAACTTGGAAATATTACTGTATAATCTCAGAAATTGTGATTACTCTAGAGTTTGGGAAATTCCGTATTTTAGATATTTTACTTTAACTAATACAGGGTTACCACTCCATAGGAAAAACATTGAAAACCTAGAAAATACAGGGAATTTTGTTACTTATTTTTGTCTTTTAAAAAATAGTGACCACTCAAAGCGTAATCTATGAAATATTTAACACTTGATATTTCAGCTATACTAAACCGTTTCAATTACTATAGCAATATTTAAGTATATCCAGCAATTAGAACTAATAAATATAGCTCACACAAAAGCACAGTTATTGTTGTTTCCTCTTAATATATTGTGTATAATATGTACAGGGAAAACACAGGGGATTTTTTTTCCTTCAGATTTGAGTGGCAACCTTGTAATAGCAATTTTTGGCAACCAAAATTATTGTGTGGGGGGGGGATTGCGTGATTTAAAAGCTATTCATAGCAATTCGTATTTACGTGTTTGTAAAATCCTATTTCACAATTTGTATTGACACATTTTTAAATTTGCTGTTCATTTTCACACGATTTTAAAATCCAATATTGTGGTTCATATATACACGATTTTAAAAATCCGACATTCCGATTCTTGTTAGAACTAAGATTTTTCTTAAGTTAATTACTATAAAAGTAGTAATTTAGGTTGGTAGGTAATTAAATTATAAATCTTATTTTTTTTAAAAAGTATGTTGCATACGAAACATGTATAACATATGAATTGATATCGATTTTTTGCACATGAAATTTTCAGGGTTTTTCGCCTTTTGTCACAATCACTCCCGTGTATTACCATTTCACCTGGTATTGAGTGTGTTTATTTTGTTTTGAATTTCATTCATGGTTTTCATTAGGTGAACGGAATGCAACAGCTGTGGGGAATTGCTCTCCGTGCATTGAATACTGATGTGAGTATGGCAGCCATCCAATATCTGAATAACTATTACATTAATGGTAAGTTTTGTAGGAATAAATTTCTTTTTTCAATTCTTACTATTAGTTCACACTCTTCCTACGCATATCTTGTTCAAATAATTTTTTTTTTGGACATGTAGTGGAGGACACTTGATGTTAATGCAGTTTTTTCAAATATTGATTCATTCATTAAATAGGGATGAGCGAGAAACAAAGTGGTATTTTCTGATTACTTAAACCTTAGTCATTGTTTTAAATTTTACTATAAGCGATTCAGCTATTCACATATTTTAAGGATAACATCAGTAATAATTTCTAACTTATTTATTCTATCTATTTGAACAAAAAAATAGTTTATTGCTCACATTTAATTATTTTATATTCGCTGTGTCTGATAGATTCAATAAAGAACATTACGTGGTAGCACCCGATTTATACTTTTCTAGTCTGATACCACACGCAGACCTGCCAACTCTCCTGCTTTTGCCTCAAATCTTCTCCGTCAGAGTGTTGTCTCCGTCTTTTTTCTATTTAGTGCATGATAGAGCGGAAAAAAAAACAATTTGTGCCATTTCCTTCCCAATTTGTGCTTCAGATGATGCTGGGCATTTATTCAGAAAAATGTTCCCCGATAGCAACATCGCTAAAAATTACGAGCGTGCGTGAACCGAAACAGCAGCAATAACCGATGAAATGGCAAAATCGGAGAGGAAATGTATCTTGGATACAATTAGGCAAAATGTTTTTTCGCTTTCTATAGATGCAGTTTTTGAAATAATGCTAAATCAGCAACATCTGCAGTTTTAAAACAGTAGCAGTTAAAAAAAAATAATAAGAAATACATTTATAAAGTATTTTATTCATTATTGACATATTTTGTTAATTTTGAACCTCTTCCGAAATTTTATAAAATCAAAAGATGTGTTTTAATGTAATTCTATAGAACCTTACAGTGTTTTCATTACAGAAAAAAATGGGAGAGAATTTCTCACCCTTGCTCAAAAACAGGGTGAGATTTCAAAAAGTTAAGTGAGATTTCTAAAAATTAAAAAAACACGAATAGACATAGAAAAAATTATTTCTTTAATTATAATACATTTTTAACATCTTCTAATTGAATATTTTTGATGCATCATCATATGGAAAACGTTCTATACCTACCTTTTCATCAGCTATTATATTTTTTGGCTGAAAAATATCCGCATTTGTTTTGTTTTGACTGTTTCTACAGACATTTGTTCCATTTTCATTTGTCCGTTATGGAGTAGAAGATGTGGCCTTAACAAGGTATTAGTCCATTTTACATTCATGCACTCAAAATGTAAACGTCTTACATGAAGAAACCTTACCTACGGTGAAAACATGGTTGCAGAGAAATGTGTTCTGAAAGGGGTTCTGTAGTTCTGGGGGTGGTGTTCTGCTGTTCGCACCGGTTCTGAATAATACTGGTAAATAGGGAAGCTAGATAACAAGGACTGATGTTCAAAATAATGAAAGATCAAGGAAGAAAAGTGAAACGGATTTTATTCAAAATGGCAAAAGGCGAAATTTTTTCCAAAATTCGCGCATTTTGAAATTGATTAATTGAGTGCACGAACTTCTCGCGTTAATCATTTTTTATTGCGAGAAAAGAAAAAAATATGCGAGATTCTCGCGTTCTCGCGCTGTAGTGAAAACACTGCCTTATATTTTATAATAAGAATACATATCTTTATTAGTCAGTGTTAGAATCTTATTGTGGTCTATTTTATGTAGTATAAATAACATATTTTGAAATAAACTTTGTAGGAAATGTGAATCAGGTTTAATTTTCAATATTGCGCTATGTCGTGAAAGAGTCTCCTGCTTTTTTATTTTCTAAGGTTGGCATGTCTGCACACGCCTTTTTTTCTTCTTCTTTTCCAAGTCCTATTATTAGTTCACACTCTCCCTGTAAATATTTATATATCTTGTTCAAATTTCCAATTGTTTAATTAAATACTTTTTATGCATCAACTCAAGTTCATATACATTTGTGTTTAAACTTGTAGTCTATGACACTTGATGTTAATGCAGTTTTTTCAAATATTAAGTCATTCATTAAATTTAATTAATTTTAAATTAGATTTAAAAATAAATTTAGGGAAAACTTTATTATTTAATAAAAAGTAACTAAAATAAAATTTTTCTTTTTTGACCCTAAGTAGGAATTGACTTTAAAAAACTTTTCTTTTTATGTTACTTGTTTTCATGCAATTTTAATTGCTAAATAAATTTAATTTCTTCTACAGTTCATCATGGGACGCTTGAAAGAGAGGAAGAATTCATTCAACATTGTATGGATAATCTAATGAAAGCATCTGAGCAAACTAAAGAAGTAATATATGTTTTTTTTCTTTGTCCACGCCACTCAACCATACGCGAGCACATCGTCCATTTTTTTTAAGCTCTTTATTTAAATACTCATGGTAGGAATGCTATGTAATTTTCATCCCAGTGCAATACCTTTGCTGGCACCCCTCTCTCCTATAGTTTGTTTAAAGTAAGAACTCCCCTAGCCTTTCGTCCGGACCTATGGCGGTGACTATAGTAACAAGGTATAACTATTTCAAGTAGGGGTGTTGGGGCACTGTTTAGCACAGGTTTTGACTCAGGTAGACAAGATAAAGGGAATCTTTTTCACCAGTCCATTGTGTTAGCCCCTAGAGTGAAGAAAAGCTACCCTCCCTGAAATGTGCTATTCTAGTTTCCATGGCAGCAGACGACCTTATACTTTGTGGCCGGAGGAGTTCTTAACGTAGACAAACTATAACTTCCATACCACAACCCACGAGACTTTCAGCCATGACTGGTGTAACCTGTACCTTGTTGCGCATGCACTGGTTGCTTACTTGGCTGCTGGGATTGAACTTAAACCACCAGCAGAGTGAGCGGCAGCATCACAGAAGCTCTTTATGTTTGCCTTTATAATGACTTACAATAGTTTAGGATAACTTTTAATTTTAAGCATCTTTTAAAAATTCTGCTGAAATGCAAAATTCTTTGTTCTTCATATATTGGTTTATTGAAGAAAGATTGCAATTTATATTTTAAAAGAAGCGTACAAATTATGGTGAGCTAGTACCATAAAATTTGAATAACTCAAATTATTATCGAAATTGAAAAATCATGGTGAGTTAACAGTTAATCATAACTGTAAGGTACCTTGATACCTTGCAGTTACGATATCTTACTTACTCTCATGTGCAACTGCTGCATTTTGCAAGATATTCTCCATTTCAGGCTTCATTTTCCACCCTCTGATTTCGAATTGAAAAATCTTTTGTTCATTTTATAATGGCTAATATGATCAAGAAAAGAATTCTTTGTCAGAAACTAATTATTTCATCATGATCGTATAAAGTCTTGAAAATTATTTTGCATTTTGTTAAAGTATATAGTGCTTAAAAATATTTTTTGAGTGCTTAAAAAGTACTTAAAAGGTACTTATTTTTCGTTGAAAGATTTGGCTATGTACCCCGCATTTTATTCGTTAAAAGGCATCATTTCTCTTATTGGAAACAGTCTTTATTCTACACTTTTAAAAATGGCAGGGTGCTAGAAACTGAAAAGTATTTCCCTCTAAAAAAGGAATATTGTTCACACATATTTACCAAAGACTTCCAAAATATCCAAAGCTCTTAATTTTATCATGAAAGAGAATTAATTTGAACAAAATTAATTCCTTCAGCTAAATTCATACATTTTATACACATTATTTTTTTATTGACACATAGTTTTAAATTGAACGTAATTGTGGAATTTTGAAAATGTGGTGTGTCGTAATATTGACTTGTTGAAAATATCAGTATTTTAAAAATGATGTCAAAATGATTGAAAAATAAGTAATTGTAATAAATGCCGCAATAGAAAATTAATGTGAACTAGTAATGGAATCATTGAGGGAAAATGTGAAAATTGCTACCTGTAATATCCTATTAATTGCATCGGAAGGAAATGTTTAAGAAACAGCAAACAACTACCAAAAAAATGATCCATCCATGACCTGGATTTATGATAGAATTGATCTTAACTGTGCATGTCAAAAATTAACTTTTTAAATCAAATAAAAATGATCAAAATGAGAATAAAACTAGTGGAAATGTCCGAAAGTGGCATGGATTTAGGGAGTCATTGCGAATTGAACGTGCCAAAGTGACAACTCAAATTTGAAATTCAAATGGCGTAATTCTGCATTAAAAATATCAGAGTTTGAAGAACCATGTAAAAAGGACCAAAAATATGATAAATAACTATTGAAATAGTATAACAAAAGTATGTAAATGTTGATGGAATCATCACACATCAAACACCTCTAAAAGTGATAACTCAAATTCCAAATGTGAACGTTATAATAAATTTTACAAAAATGTCCTAAAAGTATAAAAATCCATGTATCGCACATCACAATTTGTATTCACGTGATTTAAAAATTACACATCGTGATTTATATTCGTCCGATTTAAAATATGACACATGGCGATTTGCATTCAAGCAGTTTTTAAAAATTCACGCATCACATCTATCTTTGTGTGATTTAAAAATTGCATATCATGATTTGAATTCACTTGAATTTAAAATCACAAAGTGCGATCCGTATTCGTGCAATTTAAAGATTCCTACAATGAGATCCATTTGTGCAATTTAAAAATTGTTAATCATGAAACACATTCACATGTTTTAAAAAAAGTATACATTCTAATCCATATTAGTATGATCAATGTTCAGGTGATTTAAAAATCACACGCGATCCGCGTTCGTGTAAATCAAAGGATCACACACTAATTTTTGACTATGCTGATTTTGGTTTAAAAAAATTTCATGTTAATATTTTTTTTCTGTTTACAAACATAAGTTCAAATGTTTTATTTTCTAACAACTTCAATAGAAATAATTTTCTGTTTGATTCTCTGAAACTTATGTTGCATAGATGTTTTTGTTTAACAAATTGTTTTCTTTATGATAGGCTGAAGATAGTAATTTAATGATTATTCAGAGAGCTTTACTGTTGCTAAAAACTCATATTGAGGCGTTCCGACGAAGGTGAGAATACTTGTCTTTCTTTACTTTTCTTTTTTTTGGGGGATCACAGATCGCAGACTTTTAATGTTTTGTGTCCTTATTTTAGGTATGCATATCATTTAAGAAAGTGGCAGCTTAATGGTCGTGGTATGAATAGTCATAGATCAAGTATTCTTGAAAAACAAGCATCAGTTCTTAGAATAATTTGTCAACCAGCAGGATTATCTGAAAAGGTAATGCAGTATTACCTATCCTCTATTACTTAATGGAAATTTTATTTTGTATTAAATATTATCAGCATATTTCTTTTATCTAATTATTTAAAATGCATATTTATTTAAATATGATATAAACCTGCAGAACAAAATTCTCAAAAGTTCTTTTATTTCTTTATCTTTTTAACTATGCATTTTTTTTCAAGCTCTGTTAAATATGATATAAAATTTTAATTTATGGTCTCAAAAATCTAATTTTACAAGCACTTTTCAGATTATAAAGTCTATTTACTCCAAAAACTATATTTATTTGTTCCATAACACATTTTTCTGCTCAAATGATTATGCTGTTCCATATTTGTAATTATTATTATTTTTATTTTTTTTGCAACACCGTACTTCAGAAATTTCTTGCTTCAAAAGTTTTTCTGAATATAAGAATATTTGCAGTTCCCCATAGATTTTCTCATGTCATTGTTAAAATTTGTACATTAATTGAAAATTTTCTAACATTTTCAAACATTTCTTATTATTTCAAAATTTTTCTATTTACATGGTATCCGCACACCTGGAAAGTCATGAATTTCAATATTGAACAAAATTTTTCATGAAATGTCATGATTTTTACTATTTTTTAAAAAAAATCATGGAAAGTCCTGGATTTAGGTCGCCGAAAAATCTAATTTTTAAAATGGAATCCCCCCCTCAATTTCATCGTGTTCCAAATATCTGAATTCCTAACAAGATCACTACTCACAGTCATATTTTATTAGAATATAAAATGTCTTTATCATGTTCTTTAAAAATTATGGTGTTCTTTCAAAAAATGAAAGAAAAAACATCAGTTCTAGAGTGAATTATCTTTTAAACTTCTGTGATTTAAGAATTTTTATTATTTATTTATTTTTTTATCAATTTAAATTTCAACCAAGCCAATAATTGTTGATTTTTTTAAAATTTCAAAATGAGAACAGACAAATACGGAGTATTTCTTTCCTTTCTGATGAACAAGAAAAGTATCTTTAGAATTGAATTTTACAGAAAAGAAAAGAAAAAAAATAGCTTTTGTATTTTTTTTTCCAGCTATTTTGCTTCAACTCTTTCTTTACTTTGTTTTTTTAAATTTAAAATCTATAAATATGAAGATGCGGAGTATAACAGTTTTGGTTATAATTATCATTTCAATGAATGTTATTATAATGCTTTTTTAAATTTAATTTTACATTTTTGTCGGAGAAAATAGTAACTTCTTTAAGTCCTGAAAAATTCTTGGAATTAGTCATGGGAAATCCTGATAAGTCATGAATTTGAAAATATAAAATGTAGCAGATACCCTGTATTTATCATTTTTTTTTCTTTAAACAAAATTTATAGAGAGGCTTTGTTACTCTTCAAACATAAGATTTGTGAGTAATTTGAACTAGAGATGGTATTGAAAGGAAGAAAATAAATTTCTTATGTTATTTGGGAAAAAACAGATAGTTTTTCATAAAAGAAAATATTTTTTCAAAATGTTATTCAAAATTTCTCAGTAAATACAGCTCTTAATAGCAAGGTTCCAAAAGAACTTTTTAACATTAAACCAACAATATACTAAAAATTTCCACAATAAAGCATGAGTTTCTCTAAATTCAGTCTTGAGCCACGATGGCTCAGGGAATAGAGCGTTCGCCTTCCAATGATGTGAGCGGAATTCGAATCCCAGTCGATACGAATTCCGTATCCGGCTTCCTTCGACCACAGTGCTGACATAAAATGTCCTCAGTGCTTACGGGAATCATGGGTTAGAGTCCACTTGCCTCCAGCAAACCATGGGAGGTTCTTGTGGTCTTCCTCTCCGTGTAACGCAAATGTGGATTAGTTCCATCAAAAAGTCCTCCACGAAGGCACATTTCTCCCAATACTTGATCCAGAAGTTCCCTTGTCTTCTGGATTGTGTTCAAAGGCTACCTCGTTGAGCATTAGAAGTTGTATCGATTTTAAGATCGACGAGGTTTTTTCAAAACCTCATCTGTTTTTAGACTTCCTGGACATTTTTGGACTTATGGAATTGGTCTAATTGGGATGGACCTCTTGGGGATTAGAAACAACAACACATTAGAAGTTGTTAACCCAAAAAATATCAGGTTGACTGCTCAAGGACGGTAATAAAGTAAAATTAAATTCAGTCTTGTAATAAACAAGATTAGCTGTATATATCTGTCACATGATGTTCCAAATGAAAGGTTAAAAAAGCACTTCCCAATTCCTTTTCACTATTATTTCCCTTTTAACAACTTATACAATACTTGTTCAGATTCTGCTTATTTCATATCATGTTTAATTTACAACTAATCCATTGAAGTGCTTTCATAATTTTGTCTTAAGTGTAAGAAATAATTATTAGAAACGTATTATTAAAGTAAAGCAGTCACTATTTCTTTGCTTATTCTTTCATACACTGAGTAGCACTTACAAAAACACACTTTTAATCTCTTTCATTTGTAATTCAGGTGAGACACTTAGTTTACAAAGAAAAGTCCGAGAGCTCTTCCTAAAACTTATGAATAATTAAGACTAAAATTCTATGACTGATTTCTCTTAGAATGTGTCTTTTGTTTGGGGATAATTTTTTAATCCAAGAAATTCATTAAGAAAAATATTAAAAACTTTTTCAACAAAAGGAGTAAATGAATTAAAACTAATTTCTCAACAGAAAGCATATCGTTAATTCATTTTCTGAATATACAAGGGGGCTTGTAGTTTGTCTACGGTAAGTACTCCCGCCCACCGCCTGATACTATGGGAACAAGAATAGCTTCTCTTCACTCTAGGGATAACACAATAGACCGAAGAAAAATATTCTCATTCTCTCGCCGACCAGATCCAAAACTTGTCCTTTACAGTGACACAACACCCCTATTACTATTATACCTTGTTACCATAGTCACCGCCATGGATCCAGGCGAATGGCTTGGGGAGTTCTTATTTTAGACAAACTATGTTTATACTAAGGAAATCAATTTAATCAGTTCCTCCTCTAATTCCCCCTAGTTAAAAACTACTGAGTAAACAGATTATTTTAATTGAAGCATTATAAAAACTATGTATTTTCTATAGACTACAATTGAAGTTCAAAGCTGTGATACTGTGGCTGATTTAAGAGCTGAAGTTACACAATGGTGGGAGCATTTGCAAGCAAAAATTAAGAAGCAATCTGTTTCGGTATGTCTATTTTTATTTATGTTCACAATGTTGTTTGTTCCATTTTGATTGATAGTTTTTTTTCTTTTTTAATGTATAGTATTTTTTTTATCTGTTAGTATATAAGAAACTAAATTTCATTTTTAAAATGTATTGTATTGCTAATTTACTCTCTTTAATGCTGAGCTAATTTTAGCATAGCTTTCCAAATTCCTATATTTTTATTTAATTTTATGTTATTACGAGATGCAAATGTAAGATTTATGTCTATTTCAATGTCTATTTGCAAGCAATTCATTTGAAAATCACTTTTTGAGGTGCTCAATCCCATTGTGGTTTTTTTTCCTTCCGGCCATTTCAACTTGCAATATTTTTTACAGATCGCGATGTTTTCAAATGATTTTAAACCACAGGCAGATTTTGAATATGACTTTACATTGTTTGTCCACCTCGGCTCACAATGGGACCTACAATATTCACAATTTCTTTGGCAATTTATTTGTCGTTTTCACTAACACTATTTTTATTACTATAACACACATCATTTAGAAATATGAATTTTCAAAATGAATTTTTCATAAGAATAAAAGAACTTACAATATTATGGGCTTAAGATCCACACAATTTTTTGGCTATGGTGCATAAAAGTATAAACCATGGTTTTGAAAATATTCCTTTATAATTTTTTTAATAGAAAAATACTATGCTACTGCCTTATACATATAAAATCTTTAAGCGTTTAACCCAGACAAGTTGCTAAGATGAGGATATATTTATATATATCTTCATCTTTATATAGTTAGGTTTTAGAAAAAAAATTAAAGCTTGTTATATTGAGAAATGTTTCATCATCATCATCATTAGCTCAACAGCCCAGGGTGGGCATGGCCTTCTCAAGAAGCGTTTTTCGAAACAAACCTTTTTCGTTATAGCGTTTTCCAGTTTTTAAGACCAAAAGGTCTTTTTCTAGGCCATCTATCCATCTGAAATTCACCCTGCCTCTTTTTTGTAGTACGGTCTTCATCTATTCTGATAGCGTAACCTGCCCATTTTATTCTTTGATGTTTAATAAAGTTAATAGTGTCAGGTTCATTATATGAGTGATAAAGTTCTAAATTTGTTCTTCTAAACCACACACCATTTTTTCGTTTTTTTTTAATTTCCTCCAAAAATACTTCTCAAGACCTTTCTCTCGAAGTGACTAATTTAAGTTATATGGAGTTGTTATATGCGGGAGCTGACCCTCATCCCTTCAAGATATGGTCCAGATTTCCCAAGCATATGTTGAAATTGATCTTCAAAGAGATTTATATAATAAAACTTTTGTTTTTCTATGAATTACATTAGATTTTGTGTGAGAAGTGTTTAGTTTAACATTAAATGCATGCTTTTGATTTATAGGAGACCAAGGATAGTGCTTCTCGAATGAATACTGGTGGAAATATATGCCACGCTTTTGGCACCATGCTGTCAGATGGACCCATAAGAATGATATCACAAGGTCAGGAACTGACCAGTGATTTAGATGAAAAAACATTAGCAGAACTTGGGATGAAGGATCATCAAGTAACTCATTTATTTTCAATTAAAAAATAAATATTTTTTTTAAATCACAAAAAATTTTTGTCTTATGAAGTAAAACTTAGTAATTTTTAGTTTATAATACTATGTCATGGATACCGAATTTCATATTTTAGTAATCGGTTTTTCAACGAGTATTATTATTTATTGTTTTTTCATTCATTTTGACATTGATTCATTAAGACATACCTATATATTTGATAAGTTATTATGACATGCAACATTTTCAAAATTCGAGAATTACGCTCGTTTGAAAACTAATTTTTAGAATGTGGAGATTTAACTAAGGAATTATTTTTAATTTGCATTTTATCTTTTTTAAAAAATTAGATTTTTTTTTTATTGATAAAATGAAAAATTTTACACATTTTGGGTATCTTAAAAGTTATGCAAATATTTGAGAAAAATGCCCTTTTCAGCTTCTACAGCTCTTTTTAAGGTCTAGAATCAACACTGACTTTATTTTATGTGTTGAAATACAAACCTTAAATATTGCATGTTGTTTCAGTATAAAGACAGGTGTAAAAATAATAAAAATTGAGACATTGGTTCCTGAAAAATATAACTTGTTCATGCACATTTTTTGCTGGTCTTTTAACACATATTTATTACACTTTTGAAAAGTTTTTAATATGAATTTAAATGAAAAAATTGGAATACAAAGAATGTCAAATATTTGCAATTATGAGGAAATATATTATTTTGTGATAATAACACAGACCTGGACATGAAACTGAAAGTCAAAAAACCCAAACAGCATATAATTCATTCAAATTGATTGCTGTTCCAGGAAACCACTAATAATTATTTTATGGTGGTCGAAATCAATTTTAATGGTCCTGGATGAACATGCAACCATTAATTTTGAACCCTGATAGATATCTGTTTTTGCCTTACTTAATTAAAAAATATAAACCAATCCTAAATTTGATTTTCCTTTTCAGTTAGTTTTTGTCTCTGTGGGAGCTCTCAGGCAGTCTCGAAGACGAGAGGGTCTCGAACCGGCATCCACTTTACCTCCTCCTCCTAGAGATAGACTTCCTGTTATAATTTTACTGAAACCCACATACTTTGAGCAGCTGTTTGGACTTATGCAACATCTATGTTCATTCACTTCATATTCAGAATCTGGGGTGTGTTTTCTTATTGTGTTGTTTATTGCAAATGAATGTTAAATGAATCCCTTTTTAGTTACATACCCGTTTCTTAACAAAGACTCCTGTATTTTCCGACTATCTCCTGTTTATCCGTATATTCTCAAATTATTCAGAAAAATTTTGGCAATAAAATATCCGCTATTGGCAAAAATGCTTATTCCTCAACAGATAATATTATTGCTAGTATGTTGAGTTTTAATAGTTTAAGTGCCCCTTGCAGTCAGGCTAACCGTGAAACGCTTACAATATCCCCTAGATGGCGCTAAAGATTTTCTTGCATGAAATAGCATTGTGATTTTGCTTTAGGACAGATATATCCCACTAGTATTCTTCATTGGGACAGATATATCCCACTCGTATTCTTCATTGGGATTCTTATATCCATTTATATTTTATTCATATTTTCTCAAATGAACATAGAAAAAAANATTTATATTTTATTCATTTTTTCTGAAATGAACATAGAAAAAGAAACAAATATGAGTTGTCCAATGTGTAATGTCAGGCTATGCAGAGATAGCTTCACCCTGTATCATACCATGTAAAAAAAAAGTCTATATAATAAATTTTTCCAGAATGATAGATTTGCTTGTAGTAAGTCGATCACTACAGGTGGAACATATATATCCCACCATCAAGTACGGCCGGGACCATATATGTTCCTGCCTCTAAATTGATAACCACTTGTCAGAAAAATCCCAAATACTAAATTTGCCTTATTTGTGACCAATTTTAACCTTTTGAATTATAAACAGGACAAAAATCGTTTATTCAAATTTGTAGTCAAAGGGCTAAAAAGAAATATTTTCTTTGCCGTATCGATTGTCATTCTAAATTACAAAAAATGCATGATTTTCACAATTTTCTCTGCNGTTTTTAAAAATGTTTTTGAATTTTATAGATTTTATGTTTATAAATTAAGAACTTTAAATGATAGAGAATATAATTTTTATTGCTGCTCAGATCCTGATTATGATTTTTTTTTGGAAAGTGATTAAAAATATTTTTTGAGTGCTTATAAGGAGCTTATTTTTTGTTGAAAAATCTGGCTACGGACCCTGAATCCTCAAGTCTCTGCTTATGGTGAGAACAATGCTGTAACTGAAAGTGTAACAGGAATGCTTCCATTACGATCATAGTGATATTTTATCTTAAATACGTGTTATTTGCCGTGACTAATTTAATTAAAATTATTATTTTTCTTTAAGATTTTTTTTTGTGTTGCAATTAGTAATTTACTTAGTTAATTACATTTTTCATTGTTTTTATGTAGCATTTATCATTTTTATGAAAGGGGCATAGTTATTTAAAAAGGTTTGCATGACTATATTTATAAGCATAGTTAGATAATATAGACGCACGCTGTGCTCAGATACATTGGTGGTGATTCTACAATTTTGCATATACTTATGTAATATTTATTGTAATGTTAAACAAAAAAAGCATCTGCAGGTGCAAAAAAAGTTTGGAAGTGGGGGGAAAAAGAAAATAAGAAGCAGATAACGTAATCATGATTTATGCAAGGTAGAAGAAAATATATGTTTAGTTGTATGCATGCTGCTCCCTAAGAAAAAAGATATAACTGACCATTTACCCCAAAGATTAGAGATCCCATCATTAACGGGATGAGCCTACTATCAGCTAATCTTTTTTACAACAAAAGTAAACAGTTGTGGTGGCAGCAAGAAATCTTATAATGTAATTTAATTTGAAGCAAACTTACTAATATTTATATGAATGCGGTTCTTAAATTTCATATTTATGTATAACTAATAATAATAATCTTTCTCTAATATTCTTAGTGTTAATGTGCATATATATATATTATATTTATATATTGTCAAGAATAAATAAAAATATTAACTAGTTTTTGTATATTTAATAAAATTATTTTGTTATCAAGAAATATTATGAGTTTGCAGATACTTTTGGATTGGGTGCGTAGATACTTTGTTTTTATCTTACTATACTTAATGAAGTTTCTATTGAATTTCAGGCAACATTACCACATACTAAAGCACAAGTTCTTTCACGTCGAGTTTGGGAGATTTTAATGATGCTACCTACATCTCCTACAATGCTTCAAGGATTTAGGAAACTCAATAAGGTAGGTTATAATTTAGTAATCCTTTCTCTGATAGAATAACTTTTCTGAAACAAAAGTGTACCTATTGGAAATCTGCTGTATTTTTTTTTAAATATAAATATGTGATTTCAACCCCTTAACAGTGACATATTTTGTTCTTTCTTTTATTATAAAAGTTAGAAAACTGCTTTTTATTGTAAAAGTAAAATTTTTAAATGCAATAACTGCTGTATTTATGATTTTTAATTACACGTAAAAAAGTAATGGATTACACACTCATCTTATTCTATTAGAGCAAATTAAAAAATACTTTGAAGATAAATATTATACACAGTGCACTCCTGATTATCCGGGTTAATCACCGGGACAGGTCGCACGGACAATCGAAAAACACGGATAATACGAAAACTCCATTTATTAAAGAAAATATCAATATCAGTACAAAAAATATAAAAATTACTGACATTTACATGCTGTATAACATCAAACTGGGAATTTTCCTTTTAAAAAATGTGTAATGCGTCTTCGCCATATATCGATACACATATTTTACGAACCGCAGTAATGTCACCGTAATCAAATCCTCCCATATAATCTAATAAAGTTTCCACAGAGCAGCAGAATGAGAAATTGTATTTCATTCATTTACTACATCTTCTGCATCAGTTACTATCATCACTATTTGATTTAACAACATAACGATGTCTTCATCAGTCAAATACTAGAGGCCAGGCTCACATGCATCACTTTGAAACCAATTTTCCAAATTTTCTTCATCAAGAATTTCGAAACCTTAGATTTCTTTTGCTTGTTCGAGAGTACTGTTATCATATTTTTCTTGAACATCTGAAGATTGTTCATCAATCGGTATGGTCTTTCTCCACGATCGTGATAACGTAGACAATTTTACCTTGGACCATACTGCTGATATTCCATATTCTGCAATCCAATAACGAATATTGCTTCCAAAAATTTGGTAGTGTTATAACTTTATGAATCAAATTTTTTTTAATCTTGAAAATGTTTCTCTTTATATTTTTTGTGTAACTCCGGAATGAGCACGGATAATCCGCAAACCGGATAATTGAGAGTGTACTGTAATTAGTATATTATAAAAACACGACAAAATCATTTTCAATACATAAATTTTACAGTATGGTATATCCCAAAACATGGTACTGCACACAAGCCCATATCGCACTCTTTGCCCTCGACCGAAGTCGTAATCGTTAAAAAACTAGGACCACTAGCGCCAGGTGAAATAGTGAATTAAGTAGCCTAAAGTAGAAACGAACTCAGCTCAGGCTTAAAAAAGTAGAAAGGTTAATTTTTCTCCTGCCCGAAGTCAGTTCGAGCATCACAAATACTGCACGTAGTAGTTGCCTGGACTGGACATTGGCAAGGGGTTAACTACATTCTGTTTATATAATTCTTCTCTTCTAAAATATATTTTATTTCAAAAATGCTTTAGTGATTGTGGTAAGAAACAACTGAAATAAACATAACTCTTTACAAATGTTTCTTGATCTTAAGAAAAATACTAATGAAATATTTATTAGTTTTTAAAGGAAATACTGTGGAAATAAGATAACTACTGCTTTATATAAGCAAAATGAGTTAATTACAAGTAAAAATAAGTTTGTCTTTAACCCATCACAATCCAAAGTACTTTTCTATGTTTTGTATTGAGAATTTCGTAAATGAGAATTTTTTTTTTTCATTTAAATTTTTTCACTGTGCCAATCATTAAAAAAAAGTTATTTGCAAATTACATCTAATAAAAATGAGGCTGGCAAAATTCATGATTTTTTTAAAAAGATATTACTTATTTTTGTGTAAATCAGATATTTTTTAATTTTCTTAACATTTACCAAACAAGACTGATAAAATGTATAACCAATGCTTAGTACTATTTGAAAATACTATTTTAACATACTTAATATTCCAAATTGAATAAATAAAACTATTGTAAATTTATCATAAACTAATCAAGGAATGAAAGAAAATTCTGTTTATCTTTATTCAAGCTCAACGCCATCAGGAATTTGTAAACATCTAGTCTGTATCAGTTAGTCTTCAAATGAAGAGTCAGGAAACATTAGAAAAAATCAATTATTTAAATTTATTTTGGCAGAAAAAGACTTATCTGTACAAATTGCACATTTTATAAGTTTGAAAAATGCTTGTATGTAACCTAAACCAACATAAAATTAAAATGCTTATCATTAAAAAAATATATCACATATTTATTTATTATCTTGTTTTTTCACATTTGGGCTCATTTTTTTTAAATATTTCTTATTCTGTTTTATAATCAAGAATTAATTCTCTTGTTAAAACCTTCAATATCAATGAAATTAGACTTTAAAAAAATATTTTTCTATTGAATCAATGTTTTTTGTTGAAAAAATGTTTTCTGTTATTTAAATCATGCCTATCCTGACGAAAATTGATACTGTTTGCCCATGTATTCCCCAACTGCATAATAACTTGGGCCCTCATTGGCCGAATATTCATGAATTTTGGGTCTGTAAGGGTTCAAAGAGCCATTATTTTCCGATACTTGCCCTAAATAGAATTGTCCAATTTACTCAATATTTTTTTAGCCACTTTAAAACCAATATTGACTCTAAATAGAATTATCGGAGTCACCCGATATTTTATATTCATTAATCAGCCAATAAAGGCCGATGTTGCCCCTATGTAGGACCAATATTAAAAAATGCAGACATCCTAATGTTGGTTCCTCGGTGTGTGTTCACATAGGACCCATATTGAGCCAGTTTTGAGCCCAACTGCGGGCTCAACAATTTATTATTAGTAAAAGTGAAATTGTATACATATTTTATGTTATAGGATAAACTCCTTCTAATTCTTTTATTTGTTTTTAGGTGTCTGATCCGAGTGACTCAGAAGCCAAGGCGTACTTAGAATCATTGATTAATCCAAAGAGCCCTCAAAAATTAATGTATTGCTTACAAATTGTAGACTCGCTCAGACATTCTAAGGTTGGTGCATTAAAATGCTTCTGTAATTATCCTTTAGTTGTTTTTCAATTCATTTAACGAAGATATCTAAAATGACTTTTCCATCCATCTTTAGTAACTGCCGCCTTTTGACAGCCGTGCAAGGTTGCTAGAACAATCCGTGCCAGGGGTCTGTCCAGGGTATATTTAGTACTGTTTAGCGGTACCTTCACAAATTCAACTTTTGAAAAAACCGTAGTTTCACAAAATACTTTTAATAAAGCAAGTTCTCATGCAAACCCTGTTCTCGTTGCAATCTAGGGGGAAAAAGGAGGTTTTTGCCAGCCGTCCTTTAGGAAAAGGTAGCACGTGTTTGGTCAGATAGTGCAGTGTAGTAAACCTAACCGGCCGTTCACGTATCAAAGGCAGCTTTTTTTTTCTTTCTTTTTTTTATTTTTTTATTTTCTGAGATTTTTAAAATGAAACAACAAAGGTCTCCCTTTATAAACTTAACAGAAAGTCAAAATTTGAACATTATTCTTAACACTCAAACATTATATTAAACACTATTTTAAATTTATTCTAACAGGGCTTCATTTTTTATGAAAAATTTTTTTCCCTGTGAAACTTTATTCTGTATGACCAAGACAAAAATGTTTTTATAATGAAAATAACTTCTAGTGCTAATACTGTTAAATGCCTGTTTTTATTAAATTCAAGTTAAAATATAACTATGGACAATGATTTTTATGGAATTTTAAATTTGAATAATATTTTAAGCCCAAAATTTTACAAAAGCAGAATTATCTTTTTTATATGGGGAAAAATATACAGAAATTTACCTGTCATAAAATAATTTTTATTTGAAATGACAATTTTTGAAAATATTTTCTTACTTTACCATATTTTTGTGTTGATTTTTTAATATGATTTTTTTAACTTTCGCAAATTATGTCTACATTTTCACAAAATAGGTACCTTTTTTTAAAAAAAACCAAATATACCACTGCGGGCATCCATTCGATTCAGTAGTTATATTGTTATTCAACTAAGGTCCTTCTGTATATTAAAATTCAAATGGACCTAAATATAAATCATAACATTGCATGAAGAAGTCTTTCTAATTCCTCATAATAACAAAAATATAACCTCACAGCAATCTTAGCCATTGTGATAATCAAAACTGGAAGTCACTCAAACAGAATACATTCTCAAATTTGGTCAAAATTTATCTCGCAATAGCAAAATGTATTTATGGTTGACATTTGCTTCACTAAAGCTAAAATAATTTTTATTTAAGCCTTTGATAGGTGTAATAGACATTTCAATTAAGTTCTAAAATAAGTACTTTATCCATGCTTGTATCTATAGTATTTTTTCTTCTGTTCAAGGCTTTTATATCTTTGAAAGTAGTAGTATTCTTTATAATGGGAAATTGCAATGCTCATGGTGTGTAGCATTTTTAAAAAGTGCCTAAAGGTGCTTATTTTTAATTTTTTGTTTTTAGAAGTCCTTAAAGGTGCTTTTTTTCATGGGGCGCTCTTAAAATGTGCCTAATTCTCCCTTTTCGAAAAAGGAATGTCGATTTTCTCTGTGTATTACGTAAAAGCGTGTTTATCACATTGTTCTATTCAACATCTTCACAATTCATTCAACCACAATCTATTTCAATGTGCCGTCAGTCGTTAGTGTATAAAAGCGCCAATCATTTTACACGTTTGATGAAATACTTACGAGTTCGCATGTGCATCTACTGAGCTGGGTTTGATGAGATTATTGCACTCTCGTGTGCACCTCTGCTGCCTTTCGCAAGATGCTCTCAATTTTAGGCTTCATTTTTCCACTTTCTGCTATCGAATATCTTGATCATTTTGTAATGGCTAATATAATCAAGAAAAGAGTTCTTTGACAGAAACTAGTTATTTTATCATGATTATGTAAAGTCTTTGATAATTATTTTGCATTTTGTTAATGTATAGAGTACTTAAAAATATTTTTTGTGTGCTGAAAAAGTACTTTAAAGGTCCTTATATTTTGTTGAAATATTTAGCTATAAACCCTGACTGCTTTAATAAATAATGTTATTGTATTTCTCATGAAAGATATATATATTTTTTATAGGGAATGAATTTGGAAAGTGTCTCACCCAAAGAAAAATTGGTTGAAAAAGAAACCACACCTTGGAATTTAAAAGTAATGATGATTTCTGGTTGATAGCTTTGAAATTTCTTTTATTGATTAATTTTTAGTTGACTCTATTTCATTATCATTAATAATATGCTCCAAAAATGTTAAGCCCTACTATATTGGTTTAAGGTCTGATTGTCTCATAATTGTTACATTCAATTCATAATCTCTAAGCAAATTTAATTTTATGCATTGAAATTATTTGTTGTTATCATAAGAAAAAACTCAACCATATATATGTATATATTAGGCGTAAGACTCTTGCATTAGTGAGCATTTTTTGAAAATGATTTTTGCTATTTTTTGACATTTTAATATATATTGAAATGCCAAAACAACATGTAACACGATGTAATACATTTAATAAAGTATAATATTTATGTACTGAATATTGTAATGTAATAAATAACGTAAATGTAACACAACGTACAGTAACAGCAACGGGTAAGAAGAGCAACAAACAATCATTCAGAAAGTTTTGTTATTTGTGGTGATTTTTAAAAGAAATTAAACGTTGCAACTTAATTTGCCTTTGAAATAAAACTAACTACAAAATCGCTATAAAAAAAAATATTTAAATTCTAATCGAAATATGAAACTTAACTTTAGAGAGTATATTTTCATCACTAAATCGAAATATGAAACTTAAAACTTTAGAGAGTATATTTTCATGTTCAATGATGCTGGAAAATTCCTACAACACACTTTTCAAAATATGAACACAGCAAAATATCAGGAAATTTAATTAAAATACTGACTGGAAAAATGAATTCCTCAGGGTATGTAATAAACTAATAGTTTTGCAAAAACAATTGCTCTTGTTTGAAAAAAATGTTTATTTTCAATTCTAATAGGAACTATAATTGTTTTTTTTTAAATATATTTTGTGTATTAAAATGAGGTGTAAATGAAAAATTAATAAGAATATGTATGTTTTCAATTACGTAAGTCAGAGAAATTTGATAAAATCAGCCGGGAAAAATTGGGGATTTTTTGTTTCCATTTCGTAAAAAATAATTGTTAATAGAGTTGTTCACTAGTTTATTTTTGAAAAAAAGTATGGAGAAGTTTTATCTATTTAAATGAAGCCTTTATGTTCAAAACTAGGGATATACCGTGTGCATGCTGTAGTTTCATTACCAAGTTATTACACAGCCAAATAATTACGTCACTAAGTACCTGAATCCAGTTTTTATGTCTCAGAACTTGGTACGGTACCAGTTATGTGGCCAATTTTACCAAGCATCAAGTGCTGGGTAACATTCGACAATATCCAAATTTATAGTAACCTTAATAATTAATAAAAATTGAAGTTTTAGAAATCCATAAATTCTATCAGTTTCTTAAATTCAGCTTTCTAACCAAATCTGTGCATGTGAAATTCTAGTTTCATTTATTGTGCAATAATTTTTAATAATATTAAATAATTTTTTAAAAAATTATTTAATACCAACTTTAAGGGCAAGTCAAAACTGAAAAATTAATAATATATAAGTCAGTCTAAAATAGATTTGATATATCACTTTTTAAGTTTACTTTCCATACAATATTTTTTCCCCATATAGTTTGTAAAGCATAAACCTCCAGTGATGATTGTGCTTCGGAAAGGTTCCAAATTTTTTGCTAACCATGATCGAGAAGTTTCCAGAAATCATCCATCACAATTCTTGTACATTTTATTTAAAAAAGTATTAGAACTAGAATTTATACTTGACATCTGTTTCATTCGTAAATATTTTTTTTTGGCAGAATAATGAATGTGATTAGACATAAAAGTAAACTTATAAATAGTTATTAATTTTAATTATGTTCCATACAATTTATTTAGAATTTGATGTTGTTAAAATATCAATGATTTAAATTTATAAAGACATAAATTTTTTGAAATGCGTCGTTAATGTTTTTATTCAATTATTATTCAGGATTTCTGAGTTCGACACTATCACCTCTAAATGTCCCCGTTATTTCAATTCGTTCTTGAAGGCTGTATCATTCATCTTGTTTCATAATTCAATTCAAAACTAAATGCAACTTAATTTTTGTTTTAGTTTGTGAAATGTGGTGGACTGAATCATCTCTTTCAAATTTTCATGTCTGGAGTTCTTCAAGCTTCTGATGAGGGATATTGGAGTGAAGTAATTTTTTTTTCATTATTCATATTAATTGAAACAATATTATTTGACTCAATTTTAAAAATTGAGATTATTTGTATTGCTTAGTATAAAACTAAACAACCACTTGTCTGAAAACGCTGCCTGATTCATTTTTAGTGATTGTTTTTATGAAAAATTTGATATTCATGTTCTCATTCATCAGGATAATATACTTTCCTCTATAAAATACAAAAACAAAATGCAAAAGTAAATTACATAAACTAATTACAGAAGGAAAACATTGTTGAAAAAAACCTGCCTAAAATATTTCTATTTCTAACCAAAGCACACAACTTTTTGGAAATCTTAAAACAAACTGCGCCCACACTTAATGCGCAGAAGGAAAGCAAGAAGGCAGTTGCCCTCTGTTAGTAGAAAAGCTTAACTGCTAGAAAAGCTTCGGTTAAGTCCGATCTAGCCCTATAAAAAGAAAACAAAAACTAATTATTTTCAATCATTTCTTTTTTTTTACCTTCAATATTTTGTAAAAATTACAAGGTAAACCATTACTTTCCAGATTATTTAAAAAATTACTAGTAGCCTCTTGAAAGCATTCAACATTGTTGCAAATTTTATTAATTCCAGACAGTTGAGAAAAAACTGAAATTTTGAAAATATTACTACACGAAATTGTATCAAAATTACTGGAAAAAATAACCCTAAAATTAAAAGCCTTCCTTTTGTTATAAACACCAATTTTAATTTGGATCACAAATATTTGATTATTTCATAGGATTTCTTAAATCACTGTCGGGAGAAGCATAGAGTTTGAAGGTTAAAGGAACAAGTTCATAAAAAAATACTTTAGAAAATCTATTTCATGTAAACATAAATTGAAATGTCTTATTATCTCCTCATATTTGACGAAGCCAATTAAATCATTTGTTAGCCAATTAATCAATTTATTTAAAATCATTTTGAATATTGGTGAAAATTAATTTCTCCTGTTAAGTTTGACTTCTAAAAGTAGTGACTACATTTCGAAAGTAGTTTGTAGTCACTACATTATAAAAAAAGTATTTGTAGTTAACTACGATTGTAATAAAGTAGTTGCAGTTAACTACAAAGAAAATGTAGTTTTTCTGACCACTGATATTTATTGTATTTAAACGGAATTTTACTCAATTTCTGAAATTAACGGTGGCCACTAATCGCTTGGCACTTACATATAAAAAGTATTGATTAAATAACTGTATCATCACATTTTTTATCAAACTCTGTAAATTCTTTTATCATTTTCTTAGCAGACAATTACAATCATTAATGTATTTTGTGTTTTCTTTAGAAGTTTAAATAAAATATTTAGATAATATTAAATATAATTTTGTTTTCTGATAATCTTTTTTTTCCCTCCTTTTGTAAACTTTTTCAATGGTTAATTTAATTTTTTTTTGTTTCACTTCAGTTCACATTGAATGCATTTTAAATTTTTAGATAATCTTTCTTTAAATGCTAGAATAGCTTTATTCTATTCTGGTTTTAAAATTTCAGAGGGACTGAATTTGTTATCAAGGGTTTAATTCCAGTTATGTTTTTGTATTAATTTTTTAATTAACAGTATTCATCTTTTTATAAAAGAATATAATTAGTTATACTATTTTCTGAAGAAAGGAAATCTGGTAAAATTTTGATCATTATAATTTCACTATTATAATCACAACATTACCAAATTTATTTTGTAATGAATCAATTTTATGCTTTTTAATAAATCATCAATGGCTCAACAGCCCAGGGTGAGCCTTGTCCTTCTCAAGAAGCTTTTTCCAGGCTAACCTTTTTCCTGCTCTTGTTGAAAAAAATAAAAACTGGAAAACACTAACTTGTTAATATATATATATATATATATTATTGATTCAAAAATTTGAACCCTGCATTTCATGGGTTGAAAATGTGATATATAATTCTTAAATTTTACGTTGAACCAGTTTGAAGAAATTAGGACAGTTTTCCATTAGATATTGTTTATCAAATTTTCAGAAATTTGCTTCAAAAGAAATTTTTTTATTTTAAATTATGAACTTTTTTTTTATTGCTTAGAATTTTTAATTATTAAAAAGTGACCACTATTTAAAATATTACTGGTCAGTAACATGATTTCCTAATTTTCAGTGGAAACAAGACTGCATGACCTGCTTATTACGTCTTATCTATCAATTTGGTGTGGAAACTCTTGAAGAAGATGCTCTCAATGGTGAATCCGATTTACCCAAAAAGAGATTTAAGAGGACAAGGAAAACCAGCAATGACAAACTTTTAATCCCAAAACTGAATCAGGTAAAAGAAATTCATCATTTATATTTCGCCAGTATTGTGTTTTTATTTAAATAAACAAGCTTGCTTATGCAATTTAATTAATGTTATATATTTACCATGATGTGTAGCATTCTTAAAAAGTAATTAAATGTGCTAATTTTTTATTTTCGTTATTTAAAAGTCCTGAAAGGTGCTTTTTTTCATAGGGTGTTTTTAAAAAGTACTTAATTTTCCCTTTTCAGAGATGAGATTTTTTTCTGTACCATGTCCATTTTCACCACCTATCATGCAAAAATGTGCTTTTCACATTGATCTATTCAATGATTTCACAATCTATTTTGTTGTACCGTTGGTCTATAGCGTATGAAAGAGCAAATTATTTTACCTGTTTAATTAAATACTTGCAAGTCCATATGTGCATATATACTGAGCTGAGTTACGCTCTTATTCCTTAACAGATGGTGCTATTGCCAGTACTACAGTATATTGAGTGTTAATAGTTTCAATAATTATTAATGATTGTTTTTAAAAAAATCTTCTTTAGATTACGATTTATATATATATATTATTTACGTCTCTAAATGTGTTTTTGTAAGTGTTTGAATTTCTATTTTTAACTTATAAGATTATGCATGATAGATCAAAACTTTACACGTAGGATTAAAAGCAATATCTCCGTTATTTTATTTCTTCAAAGCTGGCAGGTATGCATTGTACTTATACATCTCTTCAAAGTTTTTTTTAAAAGATGGACCAAATTTTATAAACATACATATTGCGAAGTTCATATCGAATGCGAATAGTACCAAAAGAATTTAAACAATCATTAGAATTTATACATATTTATGTTTCTTGAAACTAAGGTTTATACTTTATTGCAGGTGATGCTTCATGTGATGAGTGAGACAGAGAACGTCCTGAATACTATTTTATCTCTATTCCTTGAAGCGGCCTCTCCAACTGATCCCAATCAATACAAAACTGGCTTCTGGGGACGTTCACAGATAGTGTCCTGTGCCATGACTCTGCTTGTCTCTTGGGCCTTCTCGCAGCCTAAAGTTCACACTCACTTCTTTCGATATCCATTGCTCGAAACTCTACTCAAGAGATTAGTTTTAGATGATCCAGAGGTGCTTATTCAATTCATACTCTCCCTATATCTTATTCAAATTTTCAATCCTTAATAAAATACTTCTTATTAATCCATTCAAATTCAAATACATTTTTTTAAACATGACACTCGATGTTAATGCAGTTTTTTTTTCCAAATACTAATTCATTCATTAAATCGGAATGAGCGAAAAACGAATTGTAATTTTCTGATGGGCCAAACGTTAATCATTGTTTTAAATTTTACTATAGGCGATTCAGTTGCTCACATATTTTAAAAATAACATTAGTGATCATTACTAACTTATAGCTCTATTTGAACAACAAAAAAAAGTTTATTGCGCACATTTAAATATTTAATAATTTTATATTCGCTGTGCCAGATAAATTCAAGAAAGAACATTACATGTGCGATCCACGTTACCAAATTTATATTTTTATAGTTGTCCGATGCCGCACGTATTTTTTCCCCTTCAATTCCTAGTACTTTTTCCTACTCTCCGTGTACATATTTTTATATCATGTTCAAAATTTCAATTGTTGATAAAATACTTTTTATTCATCCATTCAAATACTACTTTTTTAAACTTGTATTGAATGACACTTGGTGTTAATATAGCTTTTTGAAATATTAATTCATTCATTAAATTTAATGAATTAATTTTAGTTTTATAGGGGAGAAAAAATTGTAATTATTTAATAAAAAGTAACTAATATAAAATGTTTCTTTGTTGACCTAAGTAGGAATTTTACATTGCTTGTTATTACATTATCGTATTTTTCCGCAAAAGCGCTACTATTTCTCCTTGATTATATTATATAGGTTATTATTTTAATTAATAAAATTTCTGAAGATGGGGCAGTTTTAAATTCACCATAATTCATTAAATTCATCATAATCTACAATAGAAACTTAATTAAATTTATTGGTTTTTCTGCAATTAACAGTATAATTGAATTACCAGTAATATATGGGCACCATATTGGAATTTTGTTGAACCCGTAAGTGCCGGATTTGGGGTCATATTACTTCCTTATCTTATCATTCCAATTAAAATTTCCAAGGCGCTAAGTGGATTTCTAGCTTGTGATCTTACTTTAAGATGGGGGTGGATACAAGATGCATACCTTTTAAATTAGTCTCCTTATGGGATGTTTTTTTAAAATTATTATTTCACTTATTTATTTTCCTGCAGGCCGATGTCGAAAGTTTGCTAAGAATTGGCGACTGTTCTGCAGCAGATCGCGATGCGGGCTAATATTTCGTCGACTTCGTTATTAATTTTTTTTAATAGTCTTTCTCTCAGAAAATTATTTCATCTTGAATAATTTTCCTTGATAAATTTTTTTGCTACTAAAAATTATTTCGTCGGAAGCGCCGCATGTAGGGAAAAAACAACTTTTTTTCGATAGTGCCGCTGCGCTTTTGCCGAAAAATATGGTGAATAGTTATATATGAAGCAAAAACAGGCAATTTATATCATAGTGTCTCTTTCATTATAGCCGGCATTGAGAAGAGAAGCATGTACTGGATTGTATCGTTTATGCCTTGGATCAAACGTGGATGGTCATACTGGGACTCATTTTGTAGCTCCTCTTTTGAAGAAATTACTTAGTTTTCTCTCTGTTGCTCAAAATATGAAACAGCCTCATTCTGATGTAAGTATTTGTACTGCAATCCGTCGTATTATTATATACTCCTGTGGTTGCAGAATTAGTTTTAAACATGGTGCATGGCATTTTTAAAAGGTGCTTTTTTCATCGAGTGTTTTTAAAAAGTGCTTAATTTTTCCCTTTTTTTAATCATATCAATTTTTGCCATGTATTATGCAAAAAGGTAGTTTTCACATTGTTCTATTCAACATTTTCACAATTCATTCAACCACAATCTATTTCAGTGTACTGTCAGCCCATAGCGTATGAAAGCGCCAATCATTTTGCATGTTTGATGAAATACTTGCTAATTTGCATGTTTTGAGCTGGTTTCGGTGAGATTATTGCACTCTTATGTGCAACTCGGCTACATTTTGCAAGATACTCTCAATTTCAGGCTTCATTTTCATTCCTCTGATATCAACCTAAGAAATCTCTTGATTTAAAAAAAAATCCTAAATCGAAAAGGTTTAAAGATGGTTCTAGAAAACACCATATTTTACATCTTAATAAAATGTAACTGTGAGTGGGGACTTTGTTACTAATTATGATTTATAACAATACAATATCCCTCTTTTTTTGTTGTTAAATTTGGTTTAAACAAATATTTTGAAAGAAAATGGTATGATTGAAAATGTATTTGGTATTGGTAAGTATTACGAAATCAAAAGATAATTTTATTCTCTTTGTGTTGTTTACCAATAAATTTCTGTCAACAGTCTTTTTTTTTTTTTACAATATATTGCTTGATTTTCTCTAAAAAATGTAAAAGACATTTTTAAAATACGAATTTCATACTCTTATTTTATCTGATATTTTCTGTTCGTGTGCTTGAAAGTAAATATTTATATTTATAATACTTAGTGAAGAGTTTGTACATCATGAATGTTTATAATATGATGGTATATTTCTGTAATTTTTTAATGCTTTGTTTTATTCATTTTAGGAAGAAGACAAAGAGCCATATGGGCCTGGATGCAAAGATTATTTCTGGTTGATTTGCCGTCTTGTTGACAGCCTTGATGAGGAGTATTTTTTACGCAATTCTAATGAGGTTATTTTAATTTTTACTTTAATTTCCTATGCAAACAAGTATTATTAAAACTGCACTAAGCATGGTTGCCAACTCTACTGATTTCTCCAGTAGACTACTGAACTTTACCAGTTTTTCCTGATCTGCTGGTTTCATAAAAATTCTCCTGTTTTTTGTATATTTTTGAAAATTCCTTAAAATTGAGATAGCTTCCTTAAAAAATTCCTATTGAAATAGAATTTTTGCACAAATTATTGCTGGCTTGAGTAATTAAATGTTACTAATGCATAATGAAGTGAACCTCCTATATGAAAATTAGTTCAAAACTTTTTTTATTCTAAAAAGTTCAATAATTTTTATTCAGAACTCTCTTTTTAAATTAATTAAAAAATCTTTTAACTATGTTTGAATTAAACGCGTATTACTATTAGAGATTATGAGTAAACATAATACACAACATTTCAAGTATATTTAATGTCAATCATACCTGGTAAATAGTGCAGTTTTTCTATTTTGATGACTATAAAATTCCCTATGTGTGAAATATTTAGTACATTTTGTCGCAATTATTTTGAAATTTATATTGTTTCCAGGGATGAGATTCTTCCGCGGACTCGCGGATTTCCTCTTCTTTTTAGATTTTTCCATTTTTCCCGCTAATTTCCGCTGAAATTTTTTTGAACAAGTTAAAATATTTTATGAGGAATTTAATTTTCCTCGGAGCAAAAGCATTGAAATCCNTTCCTATCCATATTGACAGCTGAGATCAAGTAACAACCTAACTAAATTTAATTGTAATAACATTTGAGTTGAGGAATATACTTTTCTGCTGCTTACCACCATAAGATAGGGTGCTTTAGCTATAACTATAGATCACTTTTTTCCTCTTTATAAAATAAAGTGTGTTTGAAATACATATATTAAATGAAAATTTTTCATCTTCTTCAATTTAACTACTGATTTATAAAAGTAATAATTCCATTCCAAAGAGCTTTCTAAGTCAGTATTTTTTTCTGTTTGGGTGAATCGAAGCTATATTTTTTTTATGAAAATTTTTTTTAAAAATTTATGAAACCAGCCTAGAGTAATTATACTCTAAGCTTTCAAAAAATTAATTGTAATTTAAGGTTCACTTCAGTCAGTTAAAGTGGTTTTTGTTAAAATAGTGCTGCCTTCTCATTAATTCTGACTCTCACGGAAGTTAAAAGTAAATCAATTTGTTAATTCAAGCACCAAATCATGTTTTTCTAGGAGGCACAGACCAAAGAAATCGGGGAACTAAGCAAAAAGTGGGGGAAATTTAAGATTGAAGTCCGATGTTTTAGTTTGAATTAAATGTGTTATAAAGTTTTCTTTAATAGCACGTTTATACTATTCAACACACTATATATAAGAGTGTGTACGTGTATATATATTAAAAAAACATAAAACACATACATATACACATTAAAAAAAAAAAATAATTATCATAGCTGCAAACTCTACTGGTTTCATAAAAATTCTCCTGGTTTTTGTATATTTTCGAAAATTCCCTTAAATAGGGAAAGTTTCTTTAAAAAAAATCCGTATTGAAATAGAATTTTTTTTGTAGATTATTACATGCTTGAATATTTAAATAAGTGTCATTAATACATATTGAAGCAAGCCTCGTTTATAAAATTCAGTTAACTATCTTTGATGAATTAAATGCCTATTACTATTGAAAATTATGAATAAACATAATGCATAACATTTCAACATCATTTAATGTGAAACCATAACTGGAAAATAGTTCAGTTTTTCTTTTTTGATGACTATAAAAATCCCAAAAATTCCCTACGTGTAAACTATTTAGTATATTTTGCAACAATTATCATGAAATTTATATCAGTTCATAAAATCTACTGGATTTTTTCCTATCCGTGTTAGCAGCTATGGATTATTTTCAACGTTTGTGGCAAGTGTGCTGTTGGCTTCAGATCATAACTAATTTAAATAATACATTATGAATTTTAGTAATTTTTGTTCTAGAAGTCATTAGATATTGAGAACTTAGCTACTTATTTGGGTGAATCTATCACGAATCGCGACTGCAGAGAAGCCAGACACAGCACTGTGGAGGACGATGGTCTGAAAGGATTAATCAACCTGATGACCGTCATCATGAAGCATAATCCATCGTTCAAATGCTCTCCTCAGGGAAAAGTAAGCATTCCAAATCATAATTTGTATCTTTATTTGTCAAGGGGGAACTTATTCTTTTGTATTGTTTTTAGAAACTGGTTTTACACCTGTATGATGCTTTATTTGCGCTTCCAAGTCCTAAACAAAGGCATTTACCCAAATGCAAATCTCAGTCAGTTCGTTCCTCTGCGTACGATCTCATCGTTGAAATGTTGAAAGGTTCTCTTGAAAATTTCAACATTCTACAGGAGAAGCTAATGAAGCAGCATACTCCAGGTACTTTACAAAACATTATTTTTCATGATTTATTATTTACTATTATCGATTCTAATTTCAGGTTTTTTTTTTATGCAGAGTTGGCAAGGTTTAGAACAGAATGGATTAATCCATGGTTTAAACCGTCCTGTCTAAAACTGTCCAAAACCCTTTTATTCTCATTATGTCACAATTTTAAATTGTGAAAAATAAAAGGTTCATTTTTGAACAAGAAAAAGACAAGTTTTTGTGTTATTAAAAAAAGTTTATTATTATTTTTAATATTGCATTTATTTTTCCTAGTGCAGAAGCATAATTTGCCAGTATTAAAAGCTTATTTATTTATATTTAAGGGATGTTTAATGAGTTTTGGAGCTTCGAAACTTATAAATCTTTTCTTATTATATTATATTTCTTTTCTTTAATAAGTCAAAGCAAATTGTATAAAAAGTATCAAATATTTATTAATATATGTAATTATTATAAGTACAATAGTTAAACATATAGAAATTTTACCCTTTACCAATGTTCAGGGTTTTGCACACTTTAAGTCAGTTAAAGACAGTAAAATCTACATGTCATGTCCAAAATCTGTTTAGGACATCCAAAACCCCAACCCTGTTTTTATGCCATTGCTTTTAAAACCAATACTTAAAAGTACATAGCTGCCAACTCTATATCATTCTTTTATTTTTTTTTGCTTGCCATATTTCAGGGGGTATTTTTGGGCGGGGGGGGGGGTATTTTTAGTGTATTTCAAAATTTCAACTATGAATTCAATTTACCTGCTTATAAAAACACCTAAATACAAATTTTATCGAAATACTAATTTTGGCCACGAAACCTTGGATGCTGGCCCACTAAGCATGGCCTCATAAAGGGGTAATTCTATTGTATAATTCGAAATTAGAATATTATATTGTAAAAGAAATTATGATTTTAAAAAATGTTTGCTGATCTATAATAACTGTTGAAAATGCTATCAATATATCCTCTTGAAATTCGCAGCAAAAAAATAATAAAGTAACTATGTCATAAAATAAGTTAAAACTAGATTATACTATAGTTGTAAACTAAGATATTTTTAAAGGAGTCCTCAAGACTTTATTTTGAATTATTGAGAAAAGACAATATGATATTGTGAAAAAATATATTAGGTTTAATTCAATGATTCTTAATGGTGTTTTGTCGACCTTGAGTAAAAGCATTTAGTGCTATAAACAGAAACTGCATTTGGATAGAAACATTTGTGTTTAAACTGACATAACTTGTAATGTGATTATTGTGATGATTATTGTACTAATGTGATTATTTTTCTTTCAATGTGTTAATTAAAAAATTTAACAATCAAGTATGACATAGAGTATTAAAAAAATGTTAATTAAGAATGAGAAAAATATACTTTTTTTTGAGCAAATTGATATTGGCCTGTTATTTTACAAATTTCTTTGGAAACATTTATTTTTGATTAAATCCCCATTGTTCGCAGTATTCTTGCTCGAAGCTGGTGTAAAAATTAAATCGTTGAGTAGGCGCATCCCCTTTCGATTCCCCTGCACATTACAATAATTTAACTCTTAAACACAGATACATAGCTGCCAACTCTACTGGATTTTCCAGTAGACTACTGGATTTTGCCAGTTTCTCCTGGTCTACTGGTTTATTTAAAATTCTCCTGGTTTTTGTACAATTTAGAAAATTCCAAAAATTGAGTAAGTTTCCTTAAAAAATCCCTTTTGAAATTAATTTTTTGTGCAGATTATTGCTTGAATAATTAAAAAGTATTACTAATACATAATGAAGTGAACTTCATTTATAGAAATCAGTCCAAAACTTTTTTTGTTCTAAAATGTTCAGTTTATTTTTACTCACAGTAATCTTTTTAAATTACTTTTAAAAAATCTTTGAACTATGTTTGGTGAATTAAATGCCTATTAATGTTCAAAATTATGAGTAAACGTAATACATAACATTTCAAGTATGTTTAATGCCAATCATAACTATAGAATATTGCAGTTTTTCTACTTTGATGACTAAGAAAATCTCTAGAATTTCCTACTTCTAAAATATTTAGTACATTATGCAACAATTATCGTGAAATTTATATTATTTCGTAAAATCTACTGGATTTTTTTCTCTCTATGTTGGCAGCTATGCAGATAGGACGCAGTGTGTATTTTTTGTTACTGAAACAACATTTAAAAAAAAAACATTGTATTTTTTAGAGTCTCATAATCCATATCCCTGGGATTATTGGCCTCACGATGATGGCCGTGCTGATTGTGGCTATGTTGGTCTGACCAATTTAGGTGCAACTTGCTACTTAGCCTCTTGTATTCAGCATTTGTATATGTTGCCTGAAGCAAGAGCATCCATTGTCTCTGCAAAAGTAAGATTATCTCTGTGTTTACCTTAATTACAATATTTGCCCCCAATGTAGTGCAAAATATAAATTTAAAAAAATGAGTGATTTACTTTCTCAAATATTATTTCACTTTTTTTTCTTCTTCTTTTTGCTATAAATCACAACCTTTAAGGATAAGAATCTTGGAGGTTGTGTTACTTAATACAATAGGAATTCCAGATGTTTATAGTAACATTATTAGAAATAATGTCTTTTTCTGAATCAAAAGACTTAATTTGGTCTCATTATTGAAACCCTAGCAGCTAAATAACTTGGGCCTATATTCACATTGGACCAATACACAACATTGAACCAATATTCATGAATAATGGCTCAATAAGGGTTCAAAGAGTTGTTAATTTTCCTATATTAGTCATATATAGAATTTTCAGACTCACCCAATATATTTTTTTTCTGATGATATTGGCCCTATATAGCAGGGGTGGCCAAGCTCCTTGATAGTCGAGCCATTTTTCAAAATTTGAAATTTTTCGAGAGCCACAATTAAATATGCAATTAGGCGAAAAAGAAATGAAATTTTTTTTTTACTGTAACTATATTTATTGAAAACATATAAATAAAATTACAAAATATTGAATTTAAATATTAAAAATTAAACATATTTATTTTACTTCACCAGATAATTCTTTAAAATTTGGTGAATAATTGGTGACAGCACTTCTCAGTAATTCTTTGAGATGCTTACTTAATACTGGTTACTTAATAAAATACTGATAGGTGTTTGATTTCACGAATTTTAAAGAGGAATAAAATGATTCACATAAACACGTTTCAAATATTGAATTAATTTGGCAAGCAGCCTTTTTTCATTCAAGATACTTTAACTCTGGTGCAAATTTCCAAAATTCAGTAATAGACGTTGACTTCTATTTTAATTGCAGAGCTTGATCTTCTTTCATCTCTATTAATTCTAATTCTCCGGATGCTTTTTAGGTCTTAATTATATTGAAAATGGAAAACTCACCTTGAATTATGTTAATTTCAAATGGATTCAGAAAAAATTCAAGAGACGATTTAAAGTCTTTAAATCTATTTTGGAATTCTTTAATTCTTTCAGGAAATTTTGAATTAGAGCGAATGTAGTTTACAGTGTGTAACACTGTTTTCATAACATCAGGATATTTTAAATATTTTGTAACAAGATGTTCTCGGTGAATTATGCAGGGAATCGGTATGAATTGTGGTATTTGAGGATCATCTCTTAAAATCCCAATAAGACCGATTTTTTTTTTTTTACCCAGTTACAATACTCCATTAGTTGCAATGCTTGCAAGTTTATTAAGAAGCACATCAAAAGTTTTCATTCTGGAATCTAATGCATTTTTAATATCGACACCATGGGTTGACTCTTGAAGTGCTACTAAATCTAATAATTCTTTAACAAAAAATATCAGTGAAACAAAACGTATGAAAACTGCCAATTGTGGAAGATCTGTGATATCTGTCAATTCGTCAAGGAACAATATTTTTTTTAAAAATATAATAGCACAAAAATGAAAAGGGAACTCTGGTATCGAGAGCCACAAATGATCCTTCAAAGAGCCACATGTGGCTCGCGAACCGCAGGTTGGCCACCCCTGCTATATAGGATCCATATTAAAAAATCTAGACATCCCAATATTGGTGCCTGTTCCTAAATGACCCATATTAAGCCAAACTGGAATCAAGATAAAATTGTTACTAGAGAATAAACGGTTCGAGTATGGATGTTCTAATGGGAGATATAATAATAACTTTCATTCTAAAACTACAAATGATAATAACAATAACGTATGTATGGATTATTTAAAGAGAATTTATGTATTGGTCGTTATAATGGGAAGGTTGCCGCAATGGGTGGTGTGATATTATGTATATTCTTTCCTCCTTTTCCCTTGTTCACTCAGATACTTCCCCAAAACACAATTGATCAAAAAATGGTAACCAATTTACAACACAAAAGAAACATTTATTAATAATGATAAAAGATTAGAAAATTAATATAACCAAGACATCTAAACAATTCACTTCCGCTCTCCATCAGAGCGTTCCCTCCTCTGTCTTTTTACAACATCTACCTGATGACAGCGCCATCACAACATGGAGGCATGACAGGTGGCATATAGACTGTTGTTTTTTTTGTTGTAAAATTAGTCTATTTCATAAATTAATAATTTGAAGTAGAAGTATAAAAAAAAAATCAAAAATTCTCCAAAGGAAAAATTTTACTATTAAATATTTGATTCATTGCTCATAATAATAAGGTTATGGTTACAGTTTAAACATTTTGCAATAATTGTGATAATTTTGTTTTATATTTTATAAGTTTAAATTTTTGACTGGTGTTAACTCTTCTTTACTCTCTCATTTCCCCCATTCAATGTCTTAGCTAAGAATTTTTTTTTGTTTCTAAAAAATTTCTTAGTTGTATATTTCGTAAAACAAGTTTTGAATGTGGTAGTTTTGATATTTTTAAAACAAATATATTTTCACATTATAGAAAAACTTGAATTATCGAATGCAAGGAAATATAATAAAATTCAATGCTCAGCTAGTGCTTTCAGCTCTGGTTTTAAAATTGCTTTATATTGTAACTGTTAGGGATGTATGGTTTGTCTACAGTAAGAACTCCCCACACCACTAGGTCTGAGGTTGTCTGTTGCAATGGAAACAAGAATTATGTATTTCAGGGAGGGTAGCTTCTCTTCCCGCTAAGGCTAACACGACTGACCGAAGAAAAATATTCCCCCTTTTTATCGCTGACCCCACACCCCACTTGCAATAGTTATAGCTCATTATCATAATCACGGGTCCAGTAGGGAAGTTCTTTAGACAAGACAAACTATTAAAGTTTGATATATTTATTTTTCTTAAATTGAAGGTGCACAATAAAAATCGTTTAACCTTTAGAAAAAGATTACACATATTTAAGTTTTTTTTGTTTTGTAATCATTTGTAAATTATATTTATTAACTAATTTGCATATTTTTGTAAATTATTTTGTTTTTAAAGTTTTCTTCTATCTAAACTTGTTAAATGTGTCCATTATCAATTTTTTTTTTCAGCTGTTATCTTTTATTTGCGTATTTTAATTTAAATTTTTATTTAATAGATAGATGAAAATTGCAAGCATGAAAATACCCTAAGAGAATTGCAAAAAATGTTTGCATATTTACTTGTAAGTATTTATTTTAAATTTAGCATTACAGATAATATATGTCATTAAAATAACTTTGTTTTGCCTTTTGCAATACTGTTGAGGATGTAATTTATTTGTTGGCAGTATTGTAAATTATAGGCAAGCTTTTTATTCTTTTCAAATTGTATCGTTAAGAAAATGGACTCTGCAATTAAAAGGAATAAAAGTTTGTTCATACTAAATTTTCCAAGTTTTTTGAATAAATAAATTTCTTTAATTAGCTTTCTTTTGCATCTTAAGCATTTTTATATTAAGTGCATATTTTTTTTAATGATTAATTTTCTATTGATTACTTTTCATAAATTTTGAGTTTATAATTTGATATTTTATGTTAATCCGCATTTGCTTTTTTTATATATATATCGTTCACAATTAATGGTCCCATGAGAAATTTTTAAGCATTTTAAGAAGTATAATATTTTATTAGATTATTATTGGTAATTTATAATGCTATCTGTTGATAAAAAACATGAAAATACACTGTTGTTAATAGATAATTTATACAATTTTGTATTCATAGATAAATTGTATAAAATATGCAAAATACAATTAAAATTTATATGACGGTTTACAAAAGCTGCTGCACATTTTGTTTTTGTTATAAAATGCTCTTGGGTGCCATTTTTTCAACTATGCAATTAATTTATTATACTAATTAAAATTTTAAAATAATAAAAATATTATTATTACAGCTGTTTTATTTAAAAGAAATTATTGAATAAAATAAAAATTAGATCTAGCAAGATTTTTTTAGCACATTTCCTCACTTTCTTTTTTTATTATTATTATTATTTTTTAATGAGAAACCTGCATGCGTAGGGTAATCACGTAATCTTGATTATTATGAATAGTCTATAACAAGAAACTAAATAAAAAATAGACTATAACTAAAATAGTCTAAAACAAAAAGTTGATTTTTATAACTCAAAATTAACTTAAAATGAAACGAGGTTCATGTGACTCAAAAAGAGATTGCTTAGGGTGTCAGTACATAGTACCTGGGTAAACAGAATTGGCCGAACCTAAACTTGTCATAGTGGTCTTGTCTACAAAGGAGTTTTATTCTAATATTTTTTTTTATTGCTGAAATTGAGTTAACTTTTTGGTTTAATGCAGAGAGAGAAAGGTGTTTGGTTTGGATATTTTTTGATCAAAAATATTAATTTTGTCATTCTAAAGTGTTGTAAGAAATAAGAACTATTTCGAAATTTTTCACCTAATGGTTTCATCCCAGATAAAAAATGGAAATATTAAGGATTTAGATTTTTAAGTTTTTTATTAGAGATGCAAATAATTCTTAATCTCTTATTTATTTATTTTAAGTTATTTTTTTATTAAAACCGTTTTTCCTGAAAAACTACGAAAAATAAATTATTATTTGTAATAATTTTTCTTATGTGTAATATTTAATATATGCAAAGTAATGCACTGGATGCGAAATTTGCATTTTAAAATTTTATACTATTATTAGCTAAAATATTTCACATTAAAATATTATATTTCGCAAAATAAAATTCATACGAAATTTACCAACAAAAAATATATACAAAAAACCCAATAGCGAATTGCCTGTGTGTGTAGAAAACTTTTAGAATTTAAAGTGTGATGTAAATAAAGTACTACATTTTCTTGAATAATTAAAATGAAACATGATTTTTTTCATTTTTTTCAAATTTAAATATTGTTGAAATTGCTAATTTTGGTTCAAAGTTCGCTGTTTTAGTGACAATGAATAAATTATAAAAATTGTGTTTTAAAATTTCAAAAGTCACAGAATTAACTTTGAAACATGATTTCATAATTTGAGGACTGTTTTTTTTTTTCCTCTATTGAGTTTTCCTTCCCCTTCTGAGAAAAATTTTGTAGGTGCCCTTGACAAAAATGATGAATGCAAAAAAAAATAAAATAATAATAGTTTTAAACTACTTTCCTAATTCGTACTTTTTTTCAATGACCTTTGAAAAGCATTATTATTATTTATTAATGTTGGTTTATTGTTATGAATAACATACATTAAAGTATGAGTTGTTTTAAAAATTCCAAGCTGGTTTGATTGCAGACTGAGCAAATTGAAATGGATAAGATTTTAAATAAAAAGTTTTTATAGAAATAAATTTTAAAAATTTTCTTAAAAAATGTCTTATTTTTTATTGTTTACTTCTAAAATATTTTATTTAGTGGTTATTAGAAGTGATGCAAAAGATTTTAAGCCCCTTCAATTTTTTATTTTATTCTTTTTACATTTTTCCTCCACCCAACTACACAAAAATAAAATGAATTATTTTTATCTCTGAAATTTCGATTTCAATAAGGTAAAAAACAAAATGACATGTGTTAGATAACGAAGTTAAAGCAGAACGAAACAAAATAGGTCCTTTAAGTTTTAAAAAAATCTTTATAAAAAGGAATAAGCTGTACTAGATTACTTTTTAAGAATAAAATCATTTCATAAACATTTTAATTCAGTATAATGAATGATTTCTTCAGAGAAATTTCTCCAGAGAAGCTTAATCAAAAGAAAAACATTCTTATAAAATTAAAATATTACTAAGTGCTGTAAAATAGTTTTATAACAAAATAATAAAGTTTCAAATAGTTGCCAATTTTTTTTCTTCCTTCGTATTGGTCATCACGTTAGATGGCTTTGCACCAATCCTGTAATTTTTCGTCTTTTGGAACATTTATATTTAAGTTTATATTATTACATTTTATATGGTGCGTTATATGTAAAGCTATTACAATGTGATATAAAACAATACTTGTTGTAAGTGCTTGGAGTTATTTTTGAGAATTTTAAAAATGTTCTACGAGTGTCGGCATGCGCTTTTACTGTATCAGAAGGTGATGAGAGTCGTATTTTTCCTGTATTTCCACATCATCAGCCGAGATGAGGAAACTAACTGCGTTTTAGAGGGCATGGCTAATGGAGCAATGTTAAATATTAATTACAAAATAACTAGTTAACCCACTGAACTGAAATACATGTCTATCGTCATAGAATGGTTTAAAGTTTTATTTTAAAAAATTTTAAAAATGCCACTCAGGTTCCTCATTGTAATACACCAAAGCATCACTACAGCAATATTTTGGAGAATAAATAAATATATTGTTTTAAAGGGATATATTGCTATATCAATGGCATGTATACTTAGGGGACACAATAAGATTTTTTTTAAAATTTATTTGCAGAGTGTTAATTATGGTTAAATATTAAAAACAATGGAATTGAATTCAGAAAATAAGATAGCCAAATACCGGAAAACCGTTTTTATTGGAAATAATCTAATATTTTTGTTTGTTCAATAATTTTTTTTTTAAACTGTCAAGTCAACCAACAAAGTCTGCATTGAGTCCAAAGCACAAAAGTGATTTCCATTTGTGAATAGTGTTCCACCCTCTACAGAAATAATTCTCTTTCGGGTGTTAGTGTCATGCTTGTGGTCATTTGTGACTCATGATCAGCTTTTAACATGAAGGAAATGACATTAGATAGGAATGTTACATCTGTGACTTCTTAAGAGATACGGGAGGCAATTCTAAGAATGGAAGCTCTTGGGGTGGTCAGCAGGGAGTCTTCTTTTGTCAGAAAAAATGGCAAAAGATGATAAAATAAGATTTTTTACAATAAATGAAAACCAATAATAATGAAGAAAATAAGGTTGAAATTTCGAAAAAACATTGTTTTTCAGGGGTTTATTGCTGAAAAAAATATTGTAATATTGAGAGGAGCATGATGCTAATTTATATGCAAGTTTGTTGGGACCATGAAGATCTTTTTAACATTTTTAATATGACTTTTATATATATTATATGATTTTAGTGCAAGTCTTTGAAATTAAGTAACTAAAAACTCAAAATCTAATTTCACTGGTAAAAGAAAATTAACTGTTTCATTATTTCCAATTTGAATTCCTTTACTTTTTCACTATTCTCAAAACAATTTTTTGTAGTTTATTTTTATTGCTGTGCTGTGAATAACGATGTGATATTTATTTTATTTAGATATTTATTTCTCTTAATAAATTTCTTTTTCTTTAGGAAAGTGAAAGAAAGGCATATAATCCCAGAAGCTTCTGCAAAGTTTACACTATGGATCATCAGGTTCTAAATACTGGAGAACAAAAAGACATGGCTGAGTTTTTCACTAATCTAATTAGTAAGCTGGAGGAAATGACACCAGAACTTGTAAGTTTTTTTCTTTATATTTACTAATTTAGTCATTTACAGTACTTGCACCTGTTATGATTTTTATTTCTAAAGCTGGTTTTATGACTTATTCATACTTGCAAAGTCTCCTGTTTTTTAGACTATCCCCTGTTTACCCATAGTCTCAAATTTTTCAATATTTGTAGAAGAAACTTTAAAAAAAAAAAAAAAAAAATTGGGACAATAAAATATTTGCTGGTGACAAAAATACTTCTCTTATTCGTCAACAGATTGTGCTATTCCCAGTACTGCAGTATGTTGAGTGTTAATAGTTTTAGTACCCCTTCCAATCAAGCTAACTGTGGGATGTTTTTGTATTTTTCCTCTCCATATTATGCAAATGCGGGTTAGTTCCAGCAAAAACTCCTCCACAAAGGCAAATTTCTCCCTATACTTGATTCATCCCGGAGTTCCCTTGTCCTCTGCATTGGGTTCAAAATTAAAGGATATGAAGTTCAACATTAGTAGCTGTAATCCCAAAATTGGGTTGGCTGTTTAACAGCAGTTATAAAATAATTGAAGTAATTCGAAATAATGGTTTGAAAAAAATATTCATATTTTTTCCTTTGCTAAATGTAAGTGCTTATATTATTTCCAACCTTGAGTTTTCTTTTTGACTTACATGATTATGCATCATGTATCAAAACTTTAATTCCTAAAATTAAAGTTTTGATGGATTCAGTGGGAAGGATTCTTGCACTTTCATGTGCAACTCTGCTTCATTTTGAAAGATATTCTCAATTTCAGGTTTCCTTTTCTCCTCTCTGAAATGTAACCGAAACTTCCCTCGAATTTTCGGGGACCAGCTAAACATTGCCAAATTTTAATAGCAAAAGAAAATTTTATTTCTCTTGCTAATTTCATTGTTATTAAAGTGTCATCGTCAGTGGCAAGCTAATGGCCTTCTTACTCTATTCTATTTATAGAATGGTACCCATGATCTTGGAATTAACTTGGGGACCATTCACTAAGTACATATTTTCATGTTGATCCTCAGAGCAGTCAAGAATCACAAAGCTTCATAACCTCAAAATTTCCATCTTCCTTTTATTCATTTAATTTAATAAAGATAAGAATTAATTGAGTTTCTTTAAAGTAAATTTTATCTGAAGGACTATCCACTAATTGCATATTGTTTTTAAAAATTTATTTTACTTCATTACTTTTTTTTTACTTATTGCTTTTTATTACTGTGATATTACTTTCAAAATTTTCAGTGCTCTTATTTTGATTTAGGAAAAGAATTAATAATATTTAGAGGCAAGATTTTAAATAAGTATGAAGAGAGGGGCTTTCAGAATTTTTAAAGTAGCAAAATTATCTTATGTTTTTTGGATTTGTCATTCATTAATACTTTAATTCATCTCTTAATGATTTGATTTAAAACAATTGATGTAAAAAAAATTAATTATCTCCGATTTGTTAAATATTATGAGTGTAGAGACAATATAATAATTTACTTCTGAAAATTTTTTTTTAGCTTCTCATTGTATTTGCATTTAAAAATTATTTAATTTTTTTTAATCATTTCATTAATGAAATACTGTACTAGATAACCAATTTTAATTTTAAAAAATTTAGGAGCCATTCAGTAATTTACATTTGTAATATAAATTTATTAAAGTTTGCTTAATTCTTTACATATTTTTATAAATTTGGTATGATCAATATTAATCTTGTTAATGTTTTGTTGAATATACTATTACAAATAACATTTATTTAAATTTTAAGAAAAATACACTCAATAACCTTTAATAATAGTTAAATTAATTAGAGTTTTAAATTACCTTTTTCAGAATTAAATAATGTAATTATTAATTTAATAAATAATATAAGCCACTGAATATTGAATTTATTTAAATTGCTTTTGCCAAAAGCTCGTTTTTAAGAAATATTTCGGCTATATCAAATAAATTTTTAGGTCTTTTCCAAACTGAGACATCATTGTTTCACTTGCTGTATGATGAAATGGTGTCTCTAGATTAAGCATTGTTAGGGCGTTTTTTAAGGAGTTCTGCTTTTCTTAGTTTGACAGGGAAGGACTTAAAATCTTTGGATGTAGAAAACGCAGAAATTTGGCAAAATTCAAATTTAATAGATTATGGACTAGATACCACAAATGCGATTACATCCTTATCTTCTTCTTACCGTGTTTGGCACAGCATGTCCTCTTTTGGACTTTGTGCTACTAAACCCTACATTCAATCCAATCCCTTACGAGCGATTAATCCTCACTTCGTCCGGATCACACTATTGGTTGAAAATGACATCACTGTTTGGGGGAAGACCCATGCTGTGTATTGCATAGTATTTTGTCGACACATTTTATATTTAGTTTTCAAACATGCTCTGTTTACACGTGGTATTAATGTTAAGTAATAAAAACAATATTCACAGTTTTGTGGTAATTTTTATTAGAATCTAAGTAAGTCATATTCAACTATACTGCTATTACGTCATGGGCAACTGCGGTTGATCTAGAAATGCAGGGGGGGCTAGCCCAGAATTTTGGTCATTACTTTAAACTAAATATACATGTTGCTTGATTATGAAGTTTTTAAAATTATTCATAACACAACTAAATTACGATGTATTAGTAAATTTGATCTTATATTTATTCCAATTTTTGTTACTTTATAACTGTAAAAGATAAGAGAAGGAATAAATTCCAAGCGAGCCTGTGTGAATACGAAATTTGTCGCCAGAATCATGCAAACACCAGCCAATAGCCACCATCTCCCTGCCCCCAAACAGTGATGTCATTTTCAACCAATAGCGTGATCTGGCCGAAGTGAGGATTAATTGCTCATAATCCCTTATCTTCTTCAATAAAAAATTCTATTTATTTAGGTGCCAGGTCTATGGCATGTGCAAAAAAGTTATTAAAATGTGCCTCTTGAAAATAGGTCACTGTACCATCTTAAACTGCTGAATCCTGTAATAAGAATGGAAGACACTCCTGAAGAGGCATCTTTGTTGCTGTTACGTAGAGAACCAGAAGGTTATTCTTCTGACTCAAATGAATATGCAACTATTGATGTGTTTTGGAACTATTTTGTGACTTGTGAATTGATGTGTATTTGGACTATTTTGCAAAGAAAGATAATTTGGGAAATATCAAATATCCTCTTATAACAAAGCTTTTTAAAGCTCTTTCGTGCATACCACATGGGAATACCGATGCTGAAAGAGGTTTTAGTACTAGAGAGGGTTTAGTTTCCATATGTGTGAATAAAAAGCTGCTTGACAATAGGGCAAACCATAGTGTTAATGGTTTGAGACAAGTTGTGTCACATATCACCTGAGGGTTTAAATAACTTTAAAGTTGACAAAGATATGATTGAAGGGACTCGTGCAGCATTTAAAAATTATTCTGCTTGATTAGAGGTTGAGAAAAAAGAAAGCAAAAAGAATGTGATAACACTGAAACTGAGGAAAGCAGATTGATTGCTGCTGAAATTGATTTGCTAAAAAAAATTGAAGGCTTCTCAAGATCTCTTAGCCACAGCTGAATAAAATATTAAAGATGAGTTAAATAATAAAGACATGTCGATTATAGAAAGTGGACAGATCCTCTTATCTGAGGCTAAGTCGAGGATAGCAGAATATTTAACAGCATTGGAAGATACCAAAAAGAAACTTAATTTGTTTATGCAGGGACCTTCAAAAAAGTGATAAAAATTAAGATATGTTATTAATGAACAAAATTGAAAACTCTTGCTATTAAGTTATTGTTTTAATTCCTTTTATTAAATATGCTCCAAATCTTTGTTTCACTGCTCCAAAATTGCTTTTTTGTTGCTCCAAAACCACGTTTTGCCACTTACACCACTTCCGAAAAATCTTATTTTTAAAATGGAATCCCCCCCCCCCCCAATTTCATCTTGTTCCAAATATCTGAATTCCAAACAAAATCACCACTTAGGCATATTTTATTAGAATTTAAAATTATTTTATCATGTTCTTTAAAAATTATGGTGTTCTTTCAAAAAATGAAAGTAAAAACATCATTTCTAGACGGAATTATCTTTTTAACTCTTCTGTGATTTACGAATTTTTATTATTTATTTTTTTAAATTTTATCAATTAAAATTCTAGTTGAAGCAAACCAGTCAGTGGCGATTTTTTTTAAATTCCTAAATGAGAACAGAAAAATCAGGAGTATTTCTTTCCTTTCAGATGAACAAGAAAAGTATCTTTAGAACGTAGTTCTACGGGAGAAAAATGATTTGCTTTTGTATTTTTTTCAGCTATTTTATTGCTCTTTCTTTACTCTGTTTTTTAAATTTAAAATCCGTAAATATGAAGATGCAGAGTATAGCAGTTATACCTATCATTTCAATGAATGTTATTATAATGCTTTTTTTAAAAATTCATTGTTGTGTTTTTGTGGGAGAAAATAGTAACTTTGTTAAGTCATGAATTTGAAGATACCCTGTTTACATTCATTTTGTGATTAGTTTATTTTTCATTTCTCAATCTCATTTCTCATTCATTTCAAATTATGATTACTTATATATGTGTCTTCTGTATCATTCTTTCTTTTTATGGTAAGTGTAAAAAAATTATACCTGTTTTATCATGCATGTGATAAGAATCGATGTAGTGTCCACTATTGCGCATTTTTAAAGATATTTCTTTTAACGGCGAATGACTTTTATTGAATTTCAAACTTTAATTATATATTTGGAAAGGGAATCATAGCCAGATTTATTTATAGTACTTATCAATGTAATTGAGTAAATCCAGTGACATAGCATATTTTATTGTATGTTAGTGAAAGAAGCTTAAGTGCAACCTATATGATAATTGAAATTTTTTCCTATGTCCTTTGCAGATGCAGCGTAATCAAAAATTACTGTATCTTTGTTTTTCTATTAAAAAAATATAAATATTTTGAGAGTACCGGTTCTTAAATTATTTGAATCCCATTACTGACTAGCATACATTTTGTAATGTTTTAAATCGGCCAAAAAAGATTATTGTAAAACTAGTGAAAACTCTGACCACTGGTTAAGAGTTTCTATATATTTCTTGATATAGTTGAATTTCATATGTTAAAATTCATTGCAACAATTAAATTTTTACTACAAAAAAATGGAAGTTTTATGAATGAATGTAAATTGTATTAGTATTATAGTTGTTTGCTTTTATCCTTATGTCCTTTTCTTAAACTATATATTTTGTTCTTACAGAAAGAGCTTGTGAAGACACTATTTTGTGGTATTATATCAAATAATGTTGTTTCTTTAGTAAGTATAATTTTTAAAACACTAACTTTCAATTATTGTAATCTGTAGAAAATAACTTAATAATTTCTTATTCAAAGTTTTATTTTTAAACTTTTAATAAATTCGTACAAATAATTCTTAGTTTTTTTTCCCCATCCTATCAGGTCTAAAAGCTTGATTTTACTTCAAATTTCACAGAATTCTGTGACTGCTTTGCCACGAAACAAAAACTTACAATCTAACAAAATTTTTGGAGATGTAATATTAAATGTACAATGTAAAATTTTAATTTTTAAACTGTCTCTTCTCTCAGTTGGCAACCCCTGTGTTAAGGAATTGCACAAGAATTAGTCTTTTTGTGTTCAGTTAGAGGAGTATTCAATACTGTTACAGTCAAACTAGCTGCGTGTGAATCCAGCAATATGTCTACCATAAATGAGGCTTCATGATGTCATTTATATTGTTGGAAATGTGAATATATGAAATTTGTATGGAAACTAAATTTAAGTCCAAATATAAACAAACTGTTCTTAATTATAAGGATATGAAATAACACTATACAAATGTACTTTTGTTGAGGACCCCTTAAAAAGTTCACTGCAACTGAGTGTTCACTTTTTCCGAAGTTTATACAGCATGTTTATTCAAGTAAAAAAAAATAATTTATATGAATAATTCAACTGAAAGTTCAAATATTATAATGGAATACTATTACTATGATGAGGGAATTAACAGTGATTGTGTAACAACTTCCTCTTAAGGGATTTAAAACATAAGAATTTCTCAGGTTGAGGATCTTCATAATGCAAGACTTTGCATTATATTGATCATTTCAAATATTGTTAAACTTACCTAATAAATATGGCAAAATATATTTCTTAAACAGATCAATTTTAATGCTTTAAAATTTTTAATACAAATTAAATACCTCCATTTGCAAAAATATACTCTTAAATATTTATGATTTATAGTAAAGGTGCACAACCTTTTTTACTGAAGGGGCACTTTTACAGCAGGTAGATTAATAAAGGGCCGCATGCATATTTAGTCATGCTAGCGGCAAATATGATAATTTTTATATGAAAATTAGTGTTCTAAGCAATAAATATTTTAGTCAGTAAACTAAATGACATAGTTTCTGAAAATTAAATACTTTTAATTATTTGAATTTATTTAAAACTAAGAAAAACTGATTCCTTTTCTTTTAAAAAAGCTTATTCCATTTTTTCTAAATAATTAATTTATTCTAAATAAATAATATTATATTAATTTTTTCTAAATAAATAATATCTTTTTTCTAAATAATAAATAATTAATTAAATATAATAATTTTATAAATATGTATATATATATTAGGAGGATATAAATTCTAACCAAAAAAAAAAAGGCTTGAAAAATGAAATTTCAAAAAATATACCTATTTTATACAGTAATATAAATTTAAATTAAATATTTTAATTAAGGAAAATTTATAATATTTAAAAAATATCAAATTGAAACAAATTTTTTTCTTGCATTAAAAAAGATCCTGCAGGCCACACATCTACAGTAGGCGGGCCACTGGTTGTGCACCCCTAATTTATAGAGAAAAAAATATGAATTATTTAGAGCATTATAAATTTTTAACAAATGAAAATTATACATATTGTGATTGAAGAGTAGAAATAATCAGTGATGGAATAAATAAACAATATTAATATTAAGAAAAAAGTATTATATGCAAGTGTTTCAGTATGCTTTATACAAGAGAACCAACATTCAATTGCTGCTGATGCATTGAAAAATTGCTTATCGACTGCATCACAAAAAAGATTTATCTGACTGAATGCTTATTCAAGATTCCCGACAGGACATGAAACTTTTACATATAAGCCACACTTGAAATGCTACTATTGATAGTTTTTTCTGATAAATGTATCAATTTTTTTTCCCTGGCGCAAAATCTGTTTTAATAAGTGACTTAAAGTAATTTGCAGGTGTTAATTAAACTTACGAATAGTTTTTGAGGTAAACTTACCAATTTTAATGAAGCGAAGTTAGTTTTTCCCAGGTGTAAAACTGAATTGTTTTATATATTTTTGTATAAATATCATTCTTTCTGTTACCTAAATTATTTTGATTATTCCATTTTATAGGACTGCCCACACATTAGTAGAACATTAGAAGAATTTTATACTTTACGCTGTCAAGTTGCTGATATGCGGAACTTACTGGTAAGTTAATCTGAAACCTTTTGTTGTTATAAATATTTAGATGACTTTGAAATCATATAATAAATGTGTATTTTACAGGACTCGATCGATGAAATAACGGTCAAGGATACGTTGGAAGGAGATAATATGTACACTTGTTCTCAATGTGGTAAAAAAGTGCGAGCTGAAAAAAGGCAAATTTTTTTTTTATTTTCTTCTAACTTTCATAATTAATATATATATATGTATTTTTTTTTTTTTTACCTTTCTTATAGCACTTAAAATTATGTTATTAGTGGATTCTCTTTTCTCTTGTTATACCAAGTAAAGGAAAATGAAAAAAATTTTGAATTAACAAAAATTGGCTTTAGTTTAAAAAAACAACAACAGCAACATTGAACACACTATAACCAGGGTTGGGGTTTAGAACGTGATTCGTGGATTTTTCTGTCTAAACTGATTGAAACTGTCTTAAAGTGTCCAAAACCTTGGTGAAAGGCAAAAATTCTACATGTGTAACCATTGTACACATTATAATTACATATATTAATAAATGTTTGATACTTTATATACAATTTACCTTAACTTTTTAAAGTAAAATAATATAATAGGTCAAGATTTATAACTTTTGAAGCCTAAATTATAGAAAAAAGCTTTCAGGTTGTTGATCAATTAATCATTTTTTGTTTGCTTTTTTCAACAAAGAAAATTATGTACAGAGATTGTCTTTTGGTATGCCTTTAATTATTTTTGTAAACTACAAAAAAAATAGTATTTGAGGATATTATGAAAATTGATTAGAATAGAATTCAGTTATTACAAAATATTACACATTTCAATAAATTTTTTACGTTAAGTAAATGACCTTTTCAGAGAGGAAGCGCCCTGCCTTTTTTTATCCCTAGAGAGAACTCTGCATTATATTTTTTAAAATCTAAAAACATTTGCAATCTGAATAATATGTTGCAAGAAAAAAAATTAACTGATTCAATTTTAAACTCAAATATAGATGTGGATATACCAAGCCTAAATAAAATAATGCAAAAAACTTTTTGTTCTCAAAAAAGTTTTTTTTTTTTTTTTTTTTTTTTTTTGAGGGGGTAGAGAAGCTTTTTATTTTTTGTAACATTCATTAAAAAAAAAACATGAAAAATTACTTAACAAAAAGACTCTAAATTTACGATTTAATCATCCTGATTAAAGAAAAGATCACTCAACTCTCCTGTCTTATTGAGATATCAAGGTGGAAATTTATAAAATAACAGCAAAACAATGAAAAAACAATCAGAATAAAAAATAGAATCACTGTTTTGAGAAATCAACAACCCCCTTGCCTTAAAAAAAGGGATATCTAAAATCCAGACTTCTCCGAGCAACCCAAATTTTTGAGGTTATACTGTACTATAACATTAAAGTTAGTTGAAATAGTTAATATAAAAGAAAATTATCTGAAAATTACTTTATTTGATGAATATACTATTTGAATGGACATTCATAAAAAAAAAAAAGCTTGAGTGGGGCAATATAATGATAAACCACATTCATAGTTAGACAATATAGACGCACGCCATGCGCAGATACATTTGTGGTGATTCTCCAATTTTGCTGATACATTTTTTTAAATATTTATTGTAATGTAAAAAAAAATATCCTTGCACGCAAAGAAGAAAAGTTTGCAGTGGAGAAGAAGAAAATACGAAGCAGGCGACAGAATCATGATTTAGGCCAGGTAGAAGAAAGTCAGTGTTTAATTGTCTGCTCCCAAAGAGAAAAGATATAACTGCCATTTTAGCCCAAAGATTAACGATCTCACGGTTAGCGGTCAAGCACGCAATCAGCTAGATTTTTACTGCTAACTCAACACAACAACTATCGCTTTACAATGAAAATAAACCATTGCAGTGAGAGTATAAAATCTTTTAATGAAATTTCATTTGGATCAAAATTACTAATATTTCTTGATAATTACTTTATATGAATGCAGTTCTTAAATATCCTATTTATGTATAACTGACAGTTCTGCACGTAAAAAGTCTTATTTTAACCTGCCGTCTTCTCCACATAGCAAAACCTGTTTTTCCACGTTATTGGATAGGGAAATAGTGCTTTGGGGTGAAACATTCTCCGAATTTTGCCCATTTGCTAAACTATCAATGCGTTTATATTAATCTTTCTCTAGTGTTGTTGATGTGCATGTATATAAAGATATTTTTTTGTCAAGAATCAATAAAAAATTTAAATAGTGAACTCTTTTTGTATATTTAATATTTTGTATATTAAATTATTCTATTATCAAAAAATATTATGAGCTTGCAGATAGTTTTGGATTGTGTGTGCAGATACTTTGTTTTTATTTTACTAAGATATACTACATTTACAAATTGTTCCAAAAAATTTTTGATGCAAAAAAAAATACAATCTTAAGGCAATAAAATGTTATTTACAAGGGGAATATTGAACACTTGGCTAATATATTTTTGAACAATGTCACAGTTGAATGAATGTTAAAATTTTGTAGTATTTTTCATCTTAAAATTTGTTTCCTGACAGGGCTTGCCTAAAGAAACTGCCTAAAATATTGTGCTTCAACATGATGCGGTATACTTTTAGTTTTGTGACAAACTCAAAAGAAAAAGTCAACACCCACTTCTCTTTTCCATTCCAACTCGATATGTCAAACTACATGGAGAAAAACCTCATCCCAAAACAGCATATTGGCAAGTATTTTAATGACACTTTTTTTTGGCGGTCATTGCATGATTGTGGGGCATTTTTAATTATTGCTTTATTCCTATTTAGATAATGGAGACAATGCCGGGTTGGAGGAAGAAGATGAATGCTTTGAATATGAGCTTATTGGTGTGACTGTTCATACGGGAAACGCTGAAGGTGGTCACTACTACTGCTTCATAAGGGAAAGAAATTCCCCTGGGAAAGATAAATGGTATGATTTTTGCATGTCATAGGTCTTAAATTTACTTAGACAACAAGTATATACAGTGAACTCTCACTACTACGATATCCGAAACAGCAATAGCTCCCTCTATTACAGTAATGTTTCGTGGTCCCGATGAACTTGCATATTAACTAATGTCATGCTCCTCTCAATATTGCAATATTCTCTAAAGCAGTTAACCCCTGTAAAACGAATATTTTTTTTCTTCAAATAATGTTAAAAATCTTATTTTATCATATTTTGCCTTTTTTTCTGGTCTTTTCTGACAAGAGAAGACTCACAACTGATAATATACCTATCTTATTTCTTTTCACCACAGTGAATGGCTTTTGTATTCAGATTTCAATACCCCATCGTTGACGTGCATCGACCACCCCAAGACCTTAAAATTGCCTCCCTTTCTCGTAAGAAGTCACAGATGTAACATTCCTATCTGATGTCATATTTAACACTCAGCAAATTAATTCTTTCTATAATATGCAAATATATTTATAGTTAATACATATATAATAAATTTTAAAAAATCTTAATTGTGTCACCAAAGTATGTTGGCCCTCCATATAATAATATATCCCTCTACAACAATATATTTATTTGGTTGTTGTAGCGAGGTTTTATTGTGTTTAGCTATTGCTTGAAAGTTTCCTGACACTACGTGTGGTTCTTACAGTGTCTGAGCCACCTGTACTGTGTACTGTTCACCATGTGAAAAGGGGGGGAGGCGAACAACCATGAACGATTTGTAGTTACAAATTTTGTAGTGGGTTAAATTTCATTGGTGGAATCAAAGCTTGTGTGCGAGCAGCCTTAAGGAAGGCTAGTGAGTTTTAGCTGTTTCCAAAATGTGGCTTTGGGGACATTCATAAATGATATCACTTTTTTTAAATTTTTGACTCCTTTCCTTTGTTACAAAATGACACTCTTCATGTTGTGCTAAATTACTTAAACATACACTAGCAATTCAGAAATAAACCCTTTTGTTTTTGATCATTTGTATTATTTCCAACACCCACCTGTGTTAACATTTCATCAGTTCAGGCATTTTACAGGGCCACTCTTTGAGGGGCACCCTATTAGGTGGGCCAACTTTGCTCTCACAGTAAGGACAGATAGTACAGAGAATGAAAGAACACCATATCTTGCCCGGAACATTTTTCCGACGCACGGCTAGTTCCCTGACCCCTAGACAGTCTGGTTGGCTAAAAGGTATGCCATTGGCATGCCCTGTTTCCAGGTTGTCACTCTCACCAACAGTGATGATGGTTTTAGATCATATTTTGGGCACTATAATTGGTGTGAAATAACAATGCATCAGTGGAATAGCTAGTGTAACTTTTTTTGCATTTCACATATTTTTATATGTCTGCATAAAAATGCAGATCCTTAAATAAACAATAAAATTATATTACGCCAGCTCTGTGGTTGTTGCGAGCTGGGTGCAGAATCAGAATGAACCCCCGCCATAACTGCGATTCGAACCCGATTCACCTCGTTGAGAGGCGAGAGCTCTATCCCCTGAGCCACCTACCATCTTCAGGGATGAGATTCTTCCTCCGATTCGCAGATTTCCGCATTTTTTCAGATTTTCCCCACTAATTTCCGCTGAATTTTTTTTTTTTTTGCACAAGTTAAAATATTTTATGAGGAATTTAATTTTCCACGGAGCGAAATTATTGAAGTCCTCATTCCTCCCTCTGAAGTTTCTCTAAAAATTGTTTCCTTTTTTCCTCATTTTAGAGGATTTTCGCAAGGTTATCAGAAAGGTTGCAGACCTTTATACAGGGATGAGATTTTTTTCGCTTATGTCTCTCGAATTTCATCCTTTTTATCTAAAACTCAGATTCTCTAAAAGTTTTTTTATTTTTTTTATATATATATATAAGTATCCCGCTTTTTTTTTAAAAAAAATTCAGTCGTTGAAGTAAAATAATTATTCTTATTTACGATTTTCAAAGAAAAACAGAAAATTCAAACTACGTCCTGGTTGCTAACTCTTTTGCATTTTTACTAATATCAGCTATTTTCTCCGATTTCACACACAGAAAATAAGATTTTCCCTATTTTTTATCCGTCTGCGGGATAGCTCGTATTTTCGTAATTCAGACGTCGCTGCTTCTTGTATTCTGGAGTGAAAGTAAACAAAAAAAGAGGAAAAAAATAGAGGTGGATTTGCTGTGAAAATATTTATTTGCTCATTCAATTAATCTTGTAAATTTTTATTTATTATGTCTAAACAAAAAACAATGCAAACAAGCCCTCCAGAAATCCCAAGTTCAGACTCTGCAAATATCTCAATTTTTATTCACGCGATTTTATTATCAAACATCGATTTTCGTATTTACCTGATTTAAAAGTTGAACATTGCGATTCTTATTCAGGCGATTTAAATATTGTACATTGCAATTCTTATTTACGAGATTTAAAAAACCAATATCGCGATTTGTATTTACAAGCTTTTAAAACCCTATGTAGCTGCGCAAGCTTAAAATCCAATGTCGTAGTTCGTGTTTGCGGTTGTAATATCGCGCGATTTAAAAATTATGCATCGTGCTCTAAATATTACGCATCATGATTTGTATTTTCGCATTTTTTAAATTTGGTGTAGAGTTTCATATTCACTTGATTTAAAAGCCTCATATCGGGATTTATAATCACATGGTTTACAAGTTTAAAAATCGCACTTTTTTTGTCAAATTTTTGTTATATATATATATATATATATAAACAAAAAACGTGTGATTTTTAAACTTGTATAAAGACTTTTCTTTTTTACTATTGTGTCATTTTGAGATAATTTTACTGTAAGAAATAGTAAAAACAAGTTTAAAGTATAAAATTGTGTTTTCTTCTCCTTATTAGGTATTTTTTTAATGATTCTGAAGTAAAAAACTTTGACCCTGTACATATTGCAGCAGAATGCTTTGGTGGTGAAGTCACTGTAAGTATTATAATTTTGTTAAATAACACCCTGAATGTTAATTTAGTTCCACTATTAATGTATTCAAATTTAAAACAGACTTCTGAATGCTTAAAAATCATTAAAAGCCATTTTTTACTTTAAGGATGGCTAATTTAGTTTACTCGGGTTTGTATGTACAATTCGTTCACCAAGAGTTGACACTTGGCTCCACCTCCTTGGACGAAGAGTCAATTTCAGGGCTAGAGTAAGAGGAGAGACGTCTCCACACTTGAAATTGAGACAATCCTTAATGCGTGCCAAACGCAAACAGTGAATTCATTTTCAATAAGTCACTTCTCTTTATCATGTTCTATTATACCTTTCGTTACTCTAGCTAATTACATATATTGCAGCAAAATGTCTCAAAAGGGACAAACTATTCTCTCAAAAGAGAGAAATATCATCAAATTTATGAATTATTTTATGTTAAAAAAATTCACATAAAGATTATGAATTAGATAATTTTGTCCTAGGATCGCTAAACAGTAACCTTGTTCAGGATTGTTCACATCCTTCTCCCAAAATTAGTGAAATAGTATCGTCGGATACCACGTGATGAAGGCGTGTCAACTCCTGGGGAACGACTATACTGAATTTTTATTTTTATCTCATTTGGTATACAGAGACTGCAGTAGAATAACTTTTACTGGATAAAGTCTACATATTAATCGTTTGTACAAATAAGTTCATTGGCATAGCTTATCAAAACTCATTGTGAGTTATTTTTCTGTATGAAAAATGTGATCTTTTATGTTACACAAAATTAAAAATGGGTCTTAGTTACTTGAAAAATTCCTTTTTTTATTAAATAAGAAAATAATAAAACTTTTATTAATTAAAAACTTAAACTCTTAATAATTTAAAAATGTAGAGCATTTATTCAGCAAAAAATGATTCCTTTTTCTGTTATTCTATATTAGTATTGTAAATAAGATTATTAATTCATAAAAGCATATGTTCATTTTGCACTGTAAACAAGACTATCTATTAATATATTATAAGTCTTACATAGGCTTAAAATAAAGCAAATTAAAAAAATAAAGTTGCCGAATCAGTTTATGCTTTATTAATGAAAATTAGCTGCAGATTTCTTTGTTCAAAAATGTAATTAAGATAAAACATTACTCTTATCTTTTGTCAGCAAATAGAAATGAGGCATGTTTTTAAAATCATTTTTATTAGTTGATTAAGGAAGAGTTTGGCTTTTGATATCAATGTCAGTTTTGTTTGCTATCAGTTTACCAGATTAATAACTTCTATAGTTTGTCTAAAGTAAGAACTCCCCTAGCCATTCGCCTGGACCCATGATGGTGACTATGGTAATGAGGTATAACTATTTCAAGTAGGGGTGTGGGGTCATTGTTTAGGACAGGTTATGGCTCCAGTCGGCTAGAGAAGGGCAATCTCTTTTTTGTTCTTTTCGGCTGTTGTATTAGCCCCAGAGTGAAGAAAAGCTATCCTCCCTGGAGTGAATGAGCTATTCTTGTTTCCATAGCAGCAGGCAGCCTCAGACTTTGTGGCAGGGGGATTTCTTACCATAGACAAACTCTAGTACTTGCTATACTAGTAGTAGTATCATGTCACCTATGAGTCATCAAGGTTGAGAATTAGAAATTTATCACTTTGGATAAAATCAGAGAAATGTCAGGTAATTAAACTAAAATACCCAAAAAGTTGGGAGAAATGAATAAATTTATGTTTAAAGTAAGTGCAATATTTTTTTTTTTCCTTTAAAAAATTAGTTAAAAATTTTTTTTAAGGAAATGTTTTTTTTTTTTTATTCAAATGCAGGTGTTACAATTCATGTACAAGTTTTACAATATATTTTATGTTTAGAAATAAAGCTTAACTGAAAAATTAATATTAAAATTTATATAACCAGTTGAAAAAAATCAGAAATATTGTGTAAAGTCAGAGTAATTTTTTTTCTCTTTGTTTCCATGCAACATGTGTGAGGCCTAAAAATGTATTTTAACTCCTGCCAAAAAAAGAAAACAGTTTTTTCCTTTGTTATTTAATAAGAGAAAAGTGTGTTGATAAGAATTTTATGTACATAATTGTTTAAGTATTAGATGGTCATTTAGTTAAAGATTGTGACCATACCTTTTGTTATTATATTTATATAAGATCAAACTTGAAATATTGAAACAATTTATTAATGGTGCTTAGTGTTTTTCCTTTTTGTATAATTATCTTTTTCTTTTCTTTTTTCAGAGTAAGACGTATGATTCTGTAACTGATAAATTTATGGATTTCTCTTTCGAAAAAGTATGAAATTTTTTATATATATATATATATTTATATATTATGTCAGTAATAATTGTGCATAAATTCATTGTTCCCTCATTTCTTAAAAACTGCTTAATTTTTATTGTAAAAGCCCCTTATAAGTACTTATTTTTGGTTCAAGGTTTTTAAAAATCCTTAATTTCTCGTAATTGTAGTTAATTTGAACAGTTTTTCAGACTTGCAAGAATGTTTGAAACAAAAGGTTTGTCTTTCTTTCACCTAGAATGAAGCCCTGATTTTTTTGTTTTGGGATGCTCACATTGATTTTCAATGTCGACAGAGTTCAAGAAATTAAATTCTACTATTAGTGCTTATAAAAAAGAAGTAACGCAAAATATTTTTGAACTCAAGTCAATAAAAGAAACAACTATTTCTAAGAAACTTGAAGAATCAAATGTGTATGTTATTTAAATGTGTTACAATTGACTAAGTTTTTTAAAAGCAGCTACGTTTTTTTAAAATTCATAATCGTACTAAAATAAATAATGCTGTAATCGATACAATTATATCAATCCTTGCAATATTTTTTTAGCGGTAAATAATTGGCACTGTCACTATGGGATATGTATTTTTGATAATAAATAATTACTAGACTATTTTTAATGTCTTTCATTTTTTATAAGAAACTTGAATTTTTTCAAAAAAGGCTCTTGAAATTCTATAATTTTTGCTTTGATAAAAGAGAAGATGAACCCTGAAATAATTAGACAATGTGTTCTTGTTCTTTGGGTTTTGTTAGTACCCCATTTACCCATATTAATAAATAGCAGATAAAACACTATGGATTTTTGTATAAAAATGGTTAATTTTTTTCTGTTTCTATCTAGGAAGACTTTTTTTCATTTTAAATTCTTTCATATAAGTCTTTTTTTTTTCATCACTTATTTCTCTGCACAAATATCAATTTGCTGTTTGTCACTTACTGATTGAAATTACTCTACTGGATTTTGCCAGTTTTTTCAGATCTACTGGTTTAATTGAAATTCTCCTGATTTTTGTACATTTTACGGGGATGAGATTTTTGTCTTTCAGTTTTCAATCTTTTTTTATCAAAAACTTTTTTTTATATAAATATTCGACTTTTTCTAAAAATTTAGCGGTTGAAATAATGAGCATATTTATGCCTGATTTTCAAAGATAAACAGAAAATTCAAGCAAGTTTTACACACTAGAATAGCAATTTTTGTGTGTTAAGGAGTTACTTAACGTTTCTACCTCACAATTGTTGATATGTTTCACAGGGCTTTAGCTAGATCAGATTATACAGTAGAGAACCAGTAAACCAGGATGCTCTGGACCATCGCTATCCCGGATGTCTGAATTTCCCGGTTTTCTGGATTGGCCAAAAGTGCCGTTAATCGATGTTTTATCAAACCCAAATTACAAGGAAAAAATTTAACAGTTTTAAAAATAGGAAAAAAACGAAAAGATCTCCTAAATTTAAAAAAAATGGTCGAAAAATAACATTTAAAAGAATAAAAACATTTGCAAATTTAGACAAGAAAAACAAGTTTAAAAAATACAAAATTTGCATATTTATTTTTTGATAATAATTAAAATCCCCAAATTAACTAATATGAAACGAAACCAATAATTAAAAAACGCAATATATTTCATACCTAATTCTACTGGGGGGGATGAAAAGAAAACTTATTAATCTAAATAAAAGCAACACTTGAAAATTATGGAACAGAAACAATATTTAAAAAAGGCACTAACATAAGTATTAAAACCTGGAAGAGACAGGATATTATAAGATAAACGGAATTTAAAAAAAAAAAAAAAAAACTTAATGATAAAATTTATGAATAAAAAGAATTAATTTATTGAGTAACGAAATTTATCCTTAAAAAAAAAACAATGCAGTGGAATCAGAAGAACATAATCAAAATTTTAAAAAAAAGAAAAGAAACTACTATTTTCTTTATAAAATAATGGCCTGCTTTTATTAACAAATAATTATATGCTTAAATTAATAAACAATCTTCTCTTTTTATTTTATTTTTTTATTAAAAGACTATTTTTAAGGAAAGCAGATGTGATTGCACGTCAAGAAAAACTTGCTAATGATATCGCATTTCTAAGAATTCAACAAAAAAATATTGTTTTTTAATTGATGTCAAATAGATATATATAACTATTGATTAAATAATGCATTATCTGAAATAATAAAGCAATTCACCATAATAAATAACAAAACTGAGCAACTGAAGTCGATGATTCAAAATAAATCTCACATTTCACCTTTAAAATCAATACTCTTAGCCAGATGTTCCAAGTTCCTTAACTCAAACACTCATTGCTATGCCTGTGCAATGCATTTTCCCCACCCCCTTGTAAATCAAAGAGAAAAAGAAATCAGCTTGCCACTCCTTTAAGTTTGATTGATGGCAGCTTGTCAGAAAAAGAAAATAAGCAGGAGGAAATAAAACATTTGTCCCTTCCCTGCCCCGTCAGGATCTAATGATCTTCAAGGTCAGGGGAAGAATTGAAGGTCCTCTGGGCAAGTAAGGAGAAGAATTCCCCCCTTTCCCTCTACTCAACTTTAAGATGAGTCAAATTTCTGCTTTTTTTTTTAATAATCGTTATAGTGCTTTAAAATAGCGGGAAAACCAAGCAAAATTCTTCCCGGTTATCTGGATACCGGATAAATAGTTCTCTACTGTAATATGAATATTATGATTCCAATTGTAAAAGTTTATGTTCCTTTCTAAATAATTAAAAAAAAAATTGTGACCGATATTCTTGCTATAAATCACCTAATAGTATTTATTAAAAGAAATTGAATGTTTACAGTAGTGCTAAACTAGGCAGGACTCTCAAGTAATTATTGTCTCCTTAGTGTGAACTGAAGACAAATATAATTTCTAACTTTATTTTTTCAATTGGTTATTTTACTAAATGTTAAATGTCCATGTAATTTCATATATTAATAAATTATTATGCAATTAGTTTTATATCAACACATAATTATTTATTATCTTAAATTGTCTAAAATTTATTATTACACAATTGTATGCGCATTTGATTTACTCACGGAAATTCAGCTTTTTTGTCTTTTGGAGCATCTCATCCCTGATTCTAGAAAATTCCCTAATTAGTAAGTTTTCTAAAAAGTACCTATTGAATTTTTTCTTTCTTATTGCTAACTTTGGGCATTAATGATGTTAAATTTGAGTATATCTAATATAGTATATATTTATATGTCATAATGAGTTTGTTTAAATAAATAATAATTTGGGTATGTAAAAGTGAAATATGTCTTAATTTCTTTTGTTTGTGGTTCTGATTTCAGACAAATAGTGCTTATATGCTTTTTTATGAGCGAATCATTCCAAATGCAGACAATTACAAACCCAAATTTCATAATTCTGAAGATAATCCAAATCATCTCCCTCAAATTGAACTTTCTCCAGAACTTGCTGAGGTATGTTGTTTATCTGTTTAATACTAATATTTTATTTATTCTTTAGTTTTCCTCTTTTTCCTAATAAATCCTCTAATTATTTTGAAAAACGTGTTTATCTACTTTTTATTTATTTATGTAAGTAACTTACTTATCCTCTATGTGCCTTGGTCACTTCATTGCTTTTTTTCATTGGATGTTATTAAACTTTACATAAAAATTTATTATGTAATTTCATTGTATGTAATTAAATTTGAAAGTTTCTAAGAAATTTTGAAATTATTAAGAAAGAAGAGTATTCGAAGAAATTAAGAAATTTCTAAGTTGTAGAACAATTTGATGTTCAGGAAAAATTTCTCTTGCAATTTAAAAGTTATAATTTTATTAAGTCTTGTAATAGTAGGTCTAATAATAAATGTAAAGTATTTTAAAAATTTTTTATGATTTATGGAAATGTAATTCAATATAAAATTTAAAAAAATTTCATTTGGTTTTTGTTTAAACGTTATAAATTTTCTTTTATTAAAATATTTAATTTAAATATATATTACTCTATAAAATGCTTTTTTGTGTGTGTGTGCACTTCATTCTGTAAGTTTCTTTTTGGTTAGAGTATATATCCCCCCCCCCATATTTATGTATATATATAAATATTTGATAAATTAATAATATTAATAATATTGATAATTAATAAATTAATAATTTGATAAATTAATAATAAAATGGAAAAAATAAAAAAAGTATGTTTTTTTAGTTTAAAACAAATTCAAATAATCAAAAATATTTAGTGCTCAGAACACTAATGTTTATATAAAAATTATCATATTTGCCACTAACATGACTAAATATGAGTGCGGCCCTTCNCCCCCCAATATTTATGTATATATATAAATATTTGATAAATTAATAATTGTGAAAAATGGAAAAAATAAAAAAAGTATGTTTTTTTTAGTTTAAAACAAATTCAAATAATCAAAAATATTTAGTGCTTAGAACACTAATGTTTATATAAAAATTATCATATTTGCCACTAACATGACTAAATATGAGTGCGGCCCTTCATTAATCTACCTGCTTTGAAAGTGGCCCTTCACTCAGGGCCGGATTAACCTATAGGCACACTAGGCACGTGCCTAGGGCCTACGAAATTCAGGGGCCTACAAAAAACTTGGGAGAAAAAAATTTTCATAGTAGTATCATGAAAACTATGAAGCTATTTGTAGTATAAATATTTCTTGTAATTAATCTCACTATCAATTTCACTGTTTTCTTTGCTGGTTTGTTGTTGTATTGTTGACGTGAAGTGTTTACATAGTTATCGATCGAACTAATCATAATGGTATTATCGATATCAACTGCAATATCGGCAGTATGTCGGTATTGCAGATAAAGTTCGATAAACAAATTTGTAAATTAAAATCCATATTAATAAAAATGTAAAAAAAACATGCAAGAAAATTTTAGCATATATTTTGAAAAGAGGGGAGGAGTGGGGGAAGGAGGGGATGGCCCAAAAACGGCTCTGCCTTCACTCAAAAAGGTTATGCACCCCTACTTTAGACTAAATCAATATTCATTGCATTAGAGTATTTAGAAACTGGCCTATTATAATTAAAGTTTTATTATTATAACTATGTGTTAAAATATTCTTAACACTAAAAATATTGTCGTATTTTCTTTTTCTTTTAAGTTCTGTTATGACAAAGTCACTCTAACAATATAAAATATTCTCTATATAAATATTCTCTATATAATATAAAGTTACTCTAACAATAAAATATTCTTAACACTTAAAATATTGTCGTTTTTTTTCTTCTTTTTTTTTAAGTTCTGTTATCACAAAGTTACTCTAAATTAATAAAAAACATTGAAATAATCATTTTTTGGCAAATTTCTTAAGAGTTTAATTATTTTGTTTTTATTTTGATTCTCATTATTTTTTTAAGAAAAATTTCATTTGAGGTTGGCAACTTCGAAATTACTATAGAGGAATTCATTACTTTGTATTTATTTTAACTTCTCCATTAAATGCATTTGAATACATATATATATATATATAATACAATAAATCTATATAAGATTTCATCTTTTTAATTTATTATTCGAAATTAAATACTTTCTCACACCTTATTATTCACATCTGCCTTTTTGGTTCTATATTTAAATCTGAATTATGCATCAATTAACATTTTAAATTTTCCCTTAAACAGAACCATATTATTCCCTCAATATATTTAATATAATTATAATTACTGACGTTTAACATTTTGTGTGTAACTTAAAAAGTTTATGTACATTTAAAAAAATTCCCTATTGAAGTTTTCTAAAAAAAAAAAAATAAAAAAAAAATCCCTATTGAAATGGAATTTTTACACAGATTAGTACTTGCTTGAATATTGAATTGAATATTACTAATACATGAAGCGAACCTCATTTATAGAAATCAGTTTTAAAAAGATTTTGTTATAAAATGTTCAGTTTAGTTTTATTTGGAACTATCTTTTTTAAATTAATTAAAAAAATCTTTGAACTAACTTGGATGAATTAAGTGCCTATTAATAAGCGAAATGATGAGTAAACATAATACATAACATTTCAAGTATGTTTAATGTCAATCAAAACTTGAAATTATTGCAGTTTCTCTATTTTGATGACTGTAAAAATCTCTAAAATTCCCTATGCGTAAATTATTTATTACATTATGCAACAATTATCATGAAATTTATATTATTTCGTAAAATCTACTGGATTTTTTCCTATCCATGTTGGGAGCTATGCACCATGTTGTTAAATAAAGCTTATTTTGCTCTTTCTAATCCCTGGCTGTCATCATCAGATTTTTTTTTTCTTTTCTGCAGTGGATTTGGCAAGACAACATGCAATTCCTTCAAGACAAAAGCCTCTTTGAGCACACATACTTTGAGTAGGTATCAAACAGGTTTCTTTTATACTGCATTCTCATATTTAGTAGTATTGATCTTTTTCTAACTGATGAAATTCTTCTCTCTAGCTTCATGTGGCAAATATGCAGTTATATTCCTCAAACCTTAGCGGGTCACAATGACATCATACTGTTGTCTGCCAAACTCGGCACATCTTTCGTACTGGAAACTCTCATTCATGCAAAGGAAAAGGTTATTTTACTTATTTATTCTATTCCTACTATTAGTTCGCACTCTCTCTGTATATCTTGTTCAAATTTTCAATCGTTAAATAAAATATTTTTTTATTCATCCATTCAAATACTTTTTTAAACTTGTATTGAATGACACTTGGTGTTAATACAGTTTTTTGAAATATTAATTCATTCATTAAATTAAATTAATTAATTTTAGTTTTATATTGGCCAAAAAATTGTAATTATTTAATAAAAAGTAACTAAAATAAAATTTTATATTTCTTTTTTTTTCTTAAACATTCATTGGATGTGTTTTGCTACAGCGTGATACCTTTTTCAATAAATATATTTTCTAAAATTCTCAGTTGATATACAGATATAACGAACACTGTATATTAAGAAAACTTGCCGTTACGACAAGTTTCCGAGTCCCTGACAAAATCTTAATAATAAGTATACAGTTAGTTTTCAATAAATTAAAAACTACTAGCTTTTTGCTACGTAGACAAAAAAAATTTAAGGAATATATTTTTCTGACCCTTCAATGAGCAATATTTTAACTGTACCTGTGTCTAAATATTGAAATTTTTGTAGCTGTAAGAAACCCTTCGACCCCTTGTCCATAGTTGTTGACATGTACTGGTATTGATATCGAAATGTTCCCATTCTCATTGTTTGAATAATTTGTCAAAGTGTGTAGTGCTTTTAGAAAGTGCTTAAAGGTACTTTTTTTTGATTTTCATTTTTAAAGACCCTTAAAGGTGCTTTCTTTTATTCTGGGTTTGTAAAAAGTGCATGATTTTTTATCTTTTAAAAAGATATTTTTTTCTTTGTAGTTCTAAACTTCAAAAAATGAATGATTTTCACAATTTTCTCTCCAATTTTTATCAGAAACTAGTTATTTTATCGATGCCCCATAGCTGAGCGGTCGCGCTGTCGTGCCACAGGTCCCTGGTTCGATCCTGGGACCGGGCAAGGTTGACTCAGCCTTTCATCCCTTCAGTGGGTTGATAAATGAGTACCAGGCCTGCTTGGGAACTAAACACTGGGGGTTCCCCGTTAGGCAGACCACCTGACCGGAACATCTGCTCCTGCTACCCCAGAGCCCAAGGTCAAGAAAACTGAGATGGGCACAGTAGGCCTTGGCCCTCAATGGGCTGTCGCGCCGCTGACTTTTACTTTTTTTATCATAATTATGTAAAGTTTTTGAAAATGTTTTTTAATTTAATTGATTTTATGTTTATAAATTAAGAATTTTAAATGATAGAAAAAATAATTTTTTATTGCTGCACAAATCCTAATTATGATTTATTTTTGGAAAATTATTAAAAATATTTTTGGAGTGCTTAAAATGTGCTTATTTTTTATTGAAAAATCTGGCTACATACCTTGCTATGTAACAAGAATATATTTGTATTAAATTTATTTAAAATCTTGTGTGTCATTTTCATAGCCCACCATCTCTCAGTGGATTGAACTCCTTACTAAACAGTTCAGTGCTAGCCAACCTGCATGTGAGGTAAACTTGTTCCCCTGCTTCTTTAATAGTGTATGCCCTCTAAATGTTATCCTGAACTTTTATTTCTGCTTTATAGTGGTTCTTGGATCACATGGCTGAAAACAGCTGGTGGCCTGTGCAGATATTAATAAAATGCCCCAATCAAGTTGTTCGTCAGGTAATATCTAAATAGTTTGTCGTGAACTCTTCTCTCTTTTACTATTGTAATATGAATAGTTTCTCTTGTTCCTTCTAGTTGTTTCAACGACTTTGCATCCATGTTATCAATCAGTTGAAACCTGTCCACTGTACTATGTACCTTCAACCGTATTCAGATAGGTAAGTATTATTATAATTGTCCCCTGTAGTAGAATTTTTCCAAGCTATCTGCAACAAAATTTTTTTATAAGTGAGTGTATCCTAATTATATTTGGGGAGAAATCCGTATTGTGATCTGTGACAGAATAATCGCAGAGTATTGGCAACTTCCTGGTAGCGGCCTGCTAGATACTAAAGGAAAATCACGGAAAAGGACCTACTTGAATTATAGCCACCCTCAGACAAACAGCTACATGTATTAAATTGCAAGTTTAAAATCTATTAGGCGAGTGTAGTTGACACGAGGGATCACAATACGTAAATATCCCTTTATTTTTTTTATTAAAAAAAGAGTTTAAAAATATTTTTTTAGTGCTTAAGAGGTGCTTATATTTTTTATTCAAAAATTTGGCTAAGCACCCTGTATAATATTTTACTTGAATATGTTATATTTTTTTTCATTCTAATATTACGGGTGATATTCTGGCCTTTTGTTGGGGAAAACGCTCAAAGTATTTCCTTCTTCACATTTTGTAAATATTGATCACAATAAAAAATAATTAAAAATCATGAAATCCATTTAGTAGTAATTGCCGAAAAAAGATTGATGACGAAATCACTGGAATCGGACTTCTCAAATGTGTGTTTCCTTTCAATATTATGCTGTTTTATTAAATAATATCGTATAAAAAAAATATCAGATTTAAAAATTATGGAGAAATCAATTGCCATGACTGTGAAAAATTCAATAGAAATATTGCTTTAAAAAGTAAATACTCAAATGCACGAATCGAATTTTTCATATTACCTGAAATCTATTGTGTTATATAAAAACCACATAAAAATCAATATCAATAATTGCCTAAAATGGAATTGAAACATGTCGTTTAACGATACTATTGGCGTAAATTGAGCGTCTCAAAAAGTATTTCTATAAATGCATGATTCAAATACTATGTGTAAATTTCTGTACAAAATAAAACTTGCATTTTTTATTTTTTACGAGAAAAATCTTTCTGCAATAACTCTGTAATGTTCTGTGAAAATGTTGCTGCTATTCTGCCATGGGGTAATTGTCAATGTGTTATACTAAATAAGGAGCAAACTTTTGAAGCATGATACTTAAAGTATAAGAAAGTGAAAAATGCATTCATAATAAAACTAGTTGTAATGAAATAAACACTGCAATTACATAGCTGCCAACTCTACTTTCTCCTCATTTAATCAAAAAGATTTGATTTATTATTTGTAAAGTAACTAACATTCTTTAAAATTTCTCATTGCCTCATTTACCAAAAAGTGTATATTTAATAGGTTTAAGGAAACATTGTCATGATGAACCCTGCAACCCTTCTGGATATACTCAGTTTTTTCAGGTTTAATCGAAAAAAATTCCTAATGAAATTCAGACTTATTTTCAATGTGTTTAAATTTAATTCATTTTTTAATGAGAACTTCCAGTAATTAAGTCAGTTACTATTGATTTTTGCTATCATGAAAATTTTTATCATTCATATTTTTCAAGAATGAAATTACATTTTTTTGAAAAGAAGAAATAACTATCTCTGTTTTTTGTTCAGAATTATAAATTTTACATTGTAATTAACATCATAAAAAAAGTTTTAATGTCCTTTTGAAAATAATTTTGCAATTTAAATTTGTGTTTATCAGTGCAACATAATTTTTGTATTTTATTCTCCTTATTAATTATAGAAAATCCAATTAATTCCTTTTTTTTTTTCATTTACTGCTTAGTAATTTTTATCAAATGTCTTACTGCTTATTAAATTATACTCTCTTTTTTTTTTCCTTTCTTGTTGGCAGCTGTGCCATTATAAAAAACAGCTTAAATGTTTATGACCTAAAACAATATTACCCTGATATTTCTTGCTCAAGTATGCTGTTTCTTCTGTTTAAAACTTGCTTGTCTTGTTTTATATTTCAGTGAGGAGTCTTCTGATGGCGATAATTCACAAATTGGGCAATATTCCTGTGTCACTAAGTTCATAAAAAAGCTGGTATCTTTGGTGAGAAACTTTTTCTTACATCTAATGTATAGTTTAGAAATGTATATTATGACAATATGAATTTTCAACTCATGGGCTGTTATCGTTCTGTTGTTAATAAAATATAATTATGAAAGAAATCAGTGGTTTTTTTAAATTTTTGTAAGTAAATGATGTTTGTATGAATGCTAGTATCAATAGAGCAAAATCAGGAAATTTTGCACTTGTAACAATGGCTCCCTTTTAAAACATGCTGCCATTTTTTCAGAAATTGAATTTTTTAGGTGATTAAAATATTTGTTGATCCTAATAATTTATTTCTTTAAAAGTGTTTCTTGAAATATATTAAACATAACATGTTTCATTTTTAAAATGAAAATTTTTTTAGAAAAAGCATGAAATAAAGTAGTTTTGAATATTAGAAATTATACTTCATAATTCCATACTTTAAAAAAAATAAATAAATAAATAGTGAAATGCACAGGTTAATTCATTGTTATTTTCAATAAACGAAAAATTTCTGATTGAAAAAAAAAAACTTGAAGCAGCTCCTGACAAATTTAGTTTTTTGAAATTATAAAGTTAATCCAAGTGAGATTAATCATATGTTTAATGATCAATAAAAATTGCTAGTTTTGTAAACAAAATTACCATTTTATTCACTGTTAGCATTTATGCAATGTGTCATTTCTTAAATAAAATATTATTTTTCATGCCTGACACTATTTTTTCAGTATCAATGAATGTAGTTTGAGCACATTTCAAAGAAAATTATAGCATATTTTATAAAAAATATTCTGTGCTAAATGGCATAAACTGAGTTCTATTCATTTACTGTTCTAATCTTTTGGTATTTTATGAGGGAAAAATAAGTGGTGAAAGAAACTCCAAAAATATTTTTTTTCTTAATTTAATTTTTATATTTATTATTTTTTTTTCGTTTCCTTTTTCTATAGATAGTTATTTTTAAGCATTTTATTTTCTTGTACTTATATGTTTTGTGTGTACAGGGTATCCGCGCACCTGGAAAGTCATGAATTTCGGTTTCGAACAAAATTTGTCATGAAATGTCATGATTTTAACTATTTAAAAAAAAATCATCATGGAAAGTCATGGATTTAGGTAACCAAAGAATTTTATTTCTTAAATGGAATCCCCCCGCCCCCAATTTCATGGTGTTCCGAATATCTGAATTTCTAACAAAATCCCCACTCACAGTCATATTTGATTAAAATATAAAATGTTTTTATCATTTTCTTTAAAAATTATGGTGTTCATTAAAAAATGAAAGAAAAAACATCATTTCTAGAGCGAAGTATCTTTTAAACTTCTGTGATTTCAGAATTATTATTATTTATTTTATCAATTTGAAATTCTAGCTGAAGCAAGCAAAATAATCAGGAGTATTTCTTTTCTTTCTGATGAACGAGAAAAGTATCTTTAGAATATAATTCTGCAGAAAAAAAATTTTTTGCTCAGCTATTATTTTTTCAACTCTTTCTTTACTCTGTTTTTTAAATTTAAAATCAATAAATATGAAGATGCAGAGTATAACAGTTTTGGTTATACCTATCATTTCAATTAATAGTATTATAATGCTTTTTAAATTAATTAATCTGTTTTTGTCGGAGAAAATAGTAACTTCATTAAGTCATGAAAAGTTCTTGGAATTAGTTATGAAAAGTCATGAATTTGAAAATCTAAAATGTAGCAGATACCCTGTGTGTACCACTCACAATGTTCAGCTATATATGGCTAATTTTTGTTAGTAATGCTGGCATGTAATTTTGCAAGGTTAATGGTCCCGATTATAAGTCAAATCCTCACCCTAACCAATTTAATTTTTTAAACACTTTCCGAAATTTCTCGTTCTATAGTCAGATGTATACGGTTAATTTAGTTTTTCAAGTTTCCTAAAATGGAAAGAAATTAATCTACATTCACTCCAAAACTCATACACTTTCATTTTTTTCAGTTTGCTCAGATTTTAGTTGAACGTAATAGTAAAACATAGCTGCCAACACGAGTAGGAAAAAATCCAGCAGATTTTACGAAATAACACAAATTTCTGTATAATTGTTGCAAAATATACTAAATATTTTATTCATAGAGAATTTTAGGGATTTTTATAATCATCAACTGCAATATTTTCCAGTTATGATTTCACATTAAATGATCTTGAAATTTTATGCATTATGTTTATTCATAATTTTGAATAGTAATAGGCATTTAATTCATCAAAGATAGTTAGCTGAATTTTATAAATGAGGCTCGCTTTATTATGTATTAGTGATGCCTATTTAAATATTCAAGCAAGCAACAAAAATTCTATTTCAATAAGGATTTTTTTAGGAAACTTACTCAATTAATTTTAGGAAATTTTCTAAAATGTGCAAAAACCAGGAGAATTTTTATTAAATCCAGTGGTCTACTGTATAATCCAGTAGAATTAGCAGCTTTGTTAAAATATTAGAAAATGAAATGTTTAAAAAAAATACAAAACAATGTAAGAAAACGTTTGTATAACGCTCTAACTGTTTGTGAACAGTATTTTTCTTTCGAAAATTCATCTTTCTTATATTTTCCATAATGTATAAACTTCTTTGTTTTACAGGTTGAGCATGGTGCCAAGCAGCACTTGAAACACCTGACGGAATATTTCGCTTTTTTGCTTGAATTTGCTAAAATGGGAGAGGAAGAGTGTAGTTTTTTACTATCAATTGAAGCCATATCTTCTATAGTTAGCTTCTACCTTGGACAAAAATCATCAGATTATGTAAGATTAGCATTTAAATAAAAAATTTGGTATATAGAAATTAAGAAAATTTAGTCTCTGGTTCGAAGAACCAGTAAGATTTTACTGTACTTTTCCATTTCACTGACGCAAGTGAATTTTGCTACTTTATTATTATTTATTTTTTTAAAATTTGTCGCATAAAAAAGTAAGAAAGAAGCAGCTCAATTAGGGCCTGATGACTTTGCATTTGCGACTTATCGCTTGTGTGGACAAAATGGAAAATTACCAATTTCACTAGTTTGTGCTCATCAGGGGTGATTGATTGTATTCCGAGAACATCCCGAAATTCTGTTTCATTAATCCAAAACTTATCTATAACTATAATCTGACGAAATTTTCACGGAATTCCTCTATCTAAAATTTGAAGGTTTCGCTGATGAGGCGCTTACATACACATGATTCTTTTAGTTTAGCGGATTTTCGCCAATTTGAATTTTTAAAACTGTGCCGGAATCCGCTAATATCATTCTTCCTATCCACGCCTTTTGAATATCAAACATAGATTTTCGTATTTACCTTATTTAAGGTACACATTGCGATTTGTATTCATATGGTTTAAAAATTGTGCATCAAGATTATTCGTAATCCCACGATTTCAGAAATTCAACATTTCGTTTTGTTTTTGCAGTTTTAATTAAAATTTATCAGGTTTTATTAATAATTTTGTTAAACAAACATGGTGCATAGTGTTTTTAAAAATTGCTTTGAGGTGCTCATTCAGAGTTGCCACTCCACAGGGAAAAACTGGAAAGTACAGGGAATTTAAAAATGACCTAAAATACAGGGAATTTTGTTTCTTATTTTTGTCTTTTAAAAAATGGTCACCTCTCAAAGCGTAATCTATGGAATATTTAACCATGATATTTCAGCTATACTAAACTATTTCATTTACTATAGCAATATTTAAGTATGTTCAGCTGTTTTTCCAGCAACTAAAACTAATAAATATGCATAGTCCAATATAGCTCACACAAGAGCACAGTCATTGTTGTTTCCTCTTAATATATTGTGTATAATATATACCTACAGGGAGAACACGAGGATTTTTTTTCTCCAGATATGAGTGGCGATCCTGTTATTTTCGCTTTTTGTATTTTAAAGGTGCTTTTTTTCATTGGGTGTTTTTAAAAAGTGCTTAATTTTCCCTTTTATAAAATGAGATTTTTCTCTTTACCCTGTAGATTTTCGCTGCGTGTTATGCAAAAGTGAGCTTTTCTCATTGTTCTATTCAACGTTTTCACAATTAGGCCTATCGTTGGTCCGTAGTGTATGAACATTTTACATGTTTGGTGAAACACTTGCGAGTATGTTCAGTGAGATTCTAGCACTCTCGTGTGCAACTATGCTGCATTTTGCATCTCAATTTCTGGCCTCATTTTCCACCCTCTAAAATTGAACCGAAAAATCTCTCGATCTTTTCATGATGGCTAATATGATCAAGAAAAGAGTTCTTTGTAAGAAACTAGTTATTTTATTATGACCATGTAAAGTCTTTTGCATTATGTAAAACATATATTGAGCCTAAAAACATTTTTAGTGCTTGAAAGGTGCTTATTTTTTGTTAAAAGATTTGGCTACGCTCCCTGACAAAATTAATAGAAATTTTTCAGTTAGAATATCAAACTGCTCAATATAATTTCATATCCCTGAAACAAGCTTTCATACTTTAGGTTGAGGTTCTTTCTGATGAGGAGGAAGAAGAAGATGATGATATTGTAACTGCTGTTGATGACAAGTATAAATCTGCATCCTTAGAAAAAATGATATCTTTAATAGCTCTTCTGGTAGAAAAATCTAGAGATGAAGAACGTCTTCAGCTGTCAACTAATGACTTCAATGCAGTAGCTGGTGGAAAAGTAAGCCTTTTTAAATAGCTTTATTTTATTGTAGTACTAACAGAAAAATACATTCTGAATAAATTTTAACCCCAGTGTCAGAATCCCGGCGACATTGTTGCAGAACTTTACTGTGTTCTTGCAGAAAGATTTTTCTTTTGGGAAGTAAGAAATTTTGGTTTGCTTTTCTGCTGAATTTACACGCAAAATTTGAATCACGCCTTTATATAATCACTTTTTGAGGCACTCAATTCATGCCGATATCAAAAATACATTTTGATTGTATTTTCGGCAGTTATTGACATTGATTTCCGCGTGGCTTTTAGATATTCCGATATATTTCGGAGTGATATGGGAAATTCGAATTGTGCATTTGATAATTTACTTTTTAGGGCAATGATTATATCAATTTTTTTTCACAGTTATTGCTTCTGATTTCAGCATAGCTTTTAAAACCAGATATATTTTTACGATATTATTTATTACAACAATCAAATCTTGAAACAAAGCATGTATTTGAATAACCCCTTTCTGAAGAGTCCAATTCACATGAGTTTGTCGTTGATCTGTTTTTTCATTAATTACTGCTACAGATTTCATGATGTTTAGTAGTTATTTTTTTATATGATGATGATTTGTAAAATGCACAAAATAAATATTGCATACTCAATTAAAAAAATTATATTGTTTTTTGTAATTATAGCAATTTTGTTACCTTAAACAACATACATCTTTGTTATTAATAAAAGTATCTTGCCGAAAGATATTCGTGCTAGAGAGTTTTATCGCAGAAAGCTCGAAAAAAATCTGACAATGGGATTTTCACCCTATCATTAGAGGTGCACATACTAAGATGTTAAAATATATAAAGTATTTTGATTGTTATATTTTTTATGTGAAAATGAAGTTAGAAAATTGTTGTTTTAGAGTTTTCCATTTTTGTATCAGCAAATACGAGATGGAATCAATATAAGGCAAACGTGCAATCTGATATTTAGCTTATGTCGCTGGAATGATGCTCTAGCTGTGATGGTATGTATTCAAATATACTGTTTTTTTAATCATTTAATTCTGTTCTTATTTTGGCTTCAATAAAATATAATTTTTACTATAATTAACTGTTGTGTTTTGGTGCTGTATCCATTGTTATTTATTTTTCATAAAATATAATTGATACTTTAATGTTTTGTTTCTTATAGATCATTAATATGATATTTGCATCCATTACTAAGCAACAAGAGGTAAGTCTTGCGTTTTTTTTTTTTTTTTTTTATAGAGTTATCTTTTTTCATTTTATGTGTACTTATTTAGTATTAAATAGCTAAAATTTATTTTAATATGATTTTCTTTTCTTTCTACTTTCATAATTTTGATCATCTCTTGTGACATTTGCTGACTTTGAACTTGAGAATTTTAAAACAATTTCTAGCACCTTTTATTATTACGAATAAAATGCCATTTTAATTTTTAGCAACTTTCAAATCGAAAACTGGCAGAATATATTATGTCTGTAACAAGCTCTTTATTCTCAATAATTTCTAAATTATTGAAAATAATCATTATTTTCAGGTTTATTTAAAATGAAAGCTATCTCTTGTTTTAACATACGTAGAATATATATTTTAAAGCAGACATAATCTATTGCTTTGTTTCAGAAATACTTTCCTCCTTTGATTTTTCTCTTATAAAGTTATAATTAAAAATATGTTCTTTATGCTTAAAAATGTGTTCCTATTATTTCTTTTCTATACTTAAGCATAGCTAAAGGTTATTTTCATTTATCAATTTAAGTAAAAGACCAAGTTTTTTCCAAATGGTATCATAATTTTTCTTAAAAGGAAGAAGCAAGCTCTACTGTGTCTTCTCAGTTTTCAATCAGGGTTGCCACTCCACAGGGAAAACCTGGAAAATACAGGGATGAGATTTTTCCGCCTTTTTCACTTTTGTCTCTCGAATTTCAGCCTTTTTATCAAAAACTCCGATTCTCTTAAAGTTAAAGTTTTTTTTAGAAATACTCCGCTTTTTCTGAAAATTCAGCCGTTGAAATAAAATTATATTTATTTCCAATTTGATATATAAATATGATATGATATATCGAAAGATCTATAGAAAATTCAAACTACGTAGCTGCCTACCCTTCCGCATATCTACTTATTTTAGCTATTAGCTTTTACGAGCAGAAAATAAGATTTTCCCCATTTTTTGCCATGCGCTAGATAGTTCGTATTTACCTGATTTAAAAGTTGTGATTCGTATTCACACAATTTCAGTATCGTTCTTTGCCATTCTTATTTACGAGATTTAAAAATCCAACATCGCGACTTGTATTGGGGCGTTTTTAAAATTCTATGTAACGATTCATATTCGCACGATTTTATCCAAAGTCGTGTTTCGTTTTTTCGGTTGTAATATCCAACATCTATTTTTCGTATTTACACATTATTTAAAAATTAGGTTTTGGATTCACACCATTTAGAAATTATGCATCGTAATTCGTAATTATGCCATCTGAACTTTACGCATCATGATTTGTATTTTCGTATTTTTGAAATCCAATATTGAATTTCATTCATGTGATTTCAAAATCATGATTTATATTAAAGCAATTTTAAAATCCTCTATCGTGATTCTTGTAAAAAGTAAGTTTTTTCTAGAATTGGTTACTATAAATGTAGCAGTTTTTCTATCAACGATTATTGCTATATATAGGCATTGCAACATCAGCAAAACTAGATGAGAATATGTTACTGATATTTTTGCTGTAAATCACGTAAGATTTACTCGCGTGAAAATTCACCTTTTTTGCCTTTTGGCCGATCTCATCCCTGAAAATATAGGGAATTTCGATGGGGGGGGGTCTTTAGAAACTTGGAAAATACAAGAAATTCTGTTTCTTATTTTAGCCATTTAACCCACTCTGCACATAAAAAGTTCCTACTTTAATGTGCAGTTTTCTCCGCATAGCAAAACCGATTTTGTTCATATTAATAGATAAGGGAACAGTATGTGGGGGTGAAATATTCACTCAATTTTGCCCATTTTCTAAACCACCTGTGGGTTAAAAAATGGTAACCACTGAATGGGATATTCAAGGCTAATATTCCCGCTATACTAAATTATTTTATTCAGAAGTCAAAATTTTTGATGATTTTCCGTAACATAATGTTGATAGTAAACAACATAAGTAACCATCATCTCAATGCGGGAATTCAGACCTATTTATGATGGTCAAACATAAGAATAGCGACTTGTTTTGATGGTTTGTTCATGTTTAACAGTCACGAATTTCTATCATAGTATCTTAGAAATCAAATGCTGGAACAATCTTCAGTCTTAAAGTCTTCTCAGTCGGACTGATTTATGATGGGCCAACAATAAAAACCTATATTGTTTTGATGGTATATTCCAGGGAACAAACAAGAAAGCTTCTCTTGATGGTTAACCATGATGGTATTTGCATCCTGGAATGATGGGAGCGTGTTAGCATGTCAAAAACCATGAACACATAATGGAAAATGTTGAATGATGATGGCCATCGAATGATGTTGGACCATCATAAATCACACAGAAACCAGTAGAAACCATCAAAATTTTTTGATGGAACCATTAAGAATTTTGACTTGAGCTTACTATAGCATTATTTAAATTTGTTTAGCTTTTCCCTTTATTTCTCTAAGTTTTACTAGCAATTAAAACTAGTATAGTTAGCTCACAAGAAAGCTCAGTAATTGCGTTTCCTCTTAAAGTATTGTATATAATATCTACCGGAAAAACGCAGGAATTTTTTTTTCTACATTTGAGTGGCAACCCTGTTAATAATGTTATAAAAATGTTATATTGATGGTATCAAGAACATTATATATGTATATCAATATTTCCCCAGCAGAATGCATCATTTTTCAAGCTTCTGACACTAATGGTGGAATTTGTTGGAGGTCCACCTGGCATGCCGCCTTTCACAAATCTCATTCTTCAAAGAATTTGGGAAGTAAGAATATTTTAATTTTATTCTTTTTTATCGTCATAAAATGCTACGCCTTTTTTTTTGTAATTTAAAACTGCAGAGTGAAATAGATTCTATTACCAACTGCAGAACTTAGGCAAATTATTTAAAACTTTAAAAAAAGTTCATTTCTCATTTTCTTTAATAGTTATATTTTTTATTTAATTTCATGTTTTCTCAATTTCACAAATCTCATCATTCAAGGAATTTGGGAAGTAAGATCATTTTTACTTTATTCTTTTTTATCCTCATAAAAAGTTAAGCCTTTTTTTCTTTTAATTTAAAACTACAGAATTACATAGATTCTGTTAGCAACTACAGAACTGAAGCAAATTATTTAAAACTAAAAACAAAGTTCATTTCTGATTTTCTTTATTAGTTTCATTTTTTATTTAATTTCATATTTTCTCAATTTCACAAATCTCATCCTTCAAAGTAGTACATTCTTTTTTGTCCTCATTAAATGCTGAGCCTTTTTTTTATTATCTAAAATTAAAAATTAGTTCATTTCTCATTTTCTTTAATAGTTTTATTTTTTTATTTAATTTCATATTTTCTCAATTTTACAAATCTCACCTTTCAAAGCAGTACATTCTTTTTTATCCTCATGAAAAGCTAAGCATTTTTTCATTGCAGAGTTTAAGTGATTCTATTACCAACTACAGAACTAAAAAAAAAAATTCATTTTTAACTTTCTTTAATAGTTTTATGTGATATATTTTCTTAATTTTAAAGTGTCAGAAGTGCTGCTGCTCTTTGAATCCATAGAATTCCATTTTTTTTCTCCAAAATTTCCATTATGGAACATTAATAACCATTCTAAAATTATGCAAATTTATTACATTAAAAACCATCCACAAATTATACAAAAGTGATTGAATTAACTTGTATATTCTAATTAATTTATTGTTTCAGATTTTTTAAGCCTCTTGAGTATTATTATGAAAGGAAAGAAACTAGCTAATATAAATTTTGCCATTAGGAAATTTTAAAAAAAATCAGGGGTCATATGCTAATTGATGTTTTTTGGAAGAGGAAATTATAAGAAGGAGATTTTGTTCCAAAAATTTTAATTAATCGCTTTGTACAATTGATTTAAAATGAATTTAATTCAATTAACAATTCATTAAACACAGACTTTTTAAAATGGTCGACTGAGATTCATTCTCTAATTATTTTTTTTATTTCGTTGAATTAAAATTTGTGTGGCACTTAAATTAAAAATATTAAGTTGTGATTAAAAAAGTGTGTTGATTAAATTACAATTTGGTAAACAAAATATTAATTATTCCGATTCTCTTAGTAAGAAATAATTTTAATTCTGAGTTTGAAATGTAAGGAGATTTTGAAACAGCTAACAGAAAAGTCTTATTGCTTAAAGTGAATATGTTTATAAAAAAAATCTTTTGTAGTTTAATTTATATTTTGCTAAATATAATAATTCTTTTAAATTGTAATTTTTAATTTAAGTTTTTTATGTACTTTGAAAATTATTATTTTAATTTTGTATGTTACCACACTAAGTTCTACTTTTTCTGCCTTGGCATGTTTGCAATTTCTTTAAAAAATTAGATTATGTCATTTTTCAATCAGAAGAATAAAATACACTATTAATTATTTATTAAATGATTTATTACTAACTTGGAGAAGTTTGGCTTGATGGAAAGTGAGCACTTTCTTTTTTTTCTTTCTTTTTTTTCCCCAGTGAAATAGAGTTAATGTTTCTTAGTAATATTTAAAACAAACAATTTGTATTTTCTACCTCAAACAAAACAATGTCGCAATATGAAAAGTGTTAAAGAAAAACTTGCTTTTAAACGGGAAGAAAAATTAAAATATGGAATACTACAATTCGGGGTAATGTTATCTATTTAATTTCAAAAGTGATTTAAATGAAGTAGTCCATCCTACATGAAGGCAAATTTCTCCCAGTACTTGACTGATCCGGGAGTTCCCTTGTCTTCTGGATTGAGTCCAAAATTACAAGGCTACAGGGTTGAACATTAGTAGCCGTAAACCAAAAATTGGGTTGACTATTTAACGACAGTTATAAAATAATTTAAGTAATTATAAATAATGGTTTAAACAATCTTCTTTAGATAAAGATTCATATTTTCTGTTAAATGTAATTGCTTGAATTATTTCCAATTTTGAATTTCTCTTTTTGATTTGCATGATGTATCAAAACATTATTCATAGCTTAAAAAAATGTTGCTGGTAAAATCTCGGTTATTTTATTCCTCCAATGTTGGCAGGTATTTTGCTAACTGGTATCAACCCGAAATATTGTGAAAGATAGTCGATCTATTTCTTTCTTTTTTTTTTATCAATATTTATATATCACTGTATGTTTAGTAATAAAATGTTTTTAATATTTTTAGACTGCTGAATATTGTCCACAACAGTGCATGGAGTGGTTAACTATGCAAGTTCCTAAAAATAAAATTGCTCACCAATGGGTGCTACAAAGTATGGACAATTGGGTGGAACGATTTCTTATTGCCCATAATGTACAAAGGGTTAGAAATGGTTAGTACTTTTCCTAATATCATTATAACATTATAGTAATTAGTGCTTGATTTGTTTAAGTTAATTTTTTCACTAAGTTTATTGCAGTGATTCCCAATCTATTTTGAACCATTCCCCGGTTTTAATTATTTTAAGCAGCTAATTATTTTCCCTCCATTAAGAACTAAAAACATACATAGAGAGTATCCGCACACCTGGAAAGTCATAAAAAGTCATGGAAAGTCATGAATTTTGGTATTGAACAAAATTTGTCATGAAATGTCGCAATTTTAACTATTTTTTAAAAAAATCATGAAAAGTCATGGATTTAGGTCGTCAAAAAATCTAATTTTTAAAATAGAATTTACCCCCTCCCAATTTCATAGTGTTCCAAACATCTGAATTTGTAACAAAATCCCCACTCACAGTCATATTTGATTAAAATATGAAATGTGTTTATAGTGTTCTTTAAAAATTATGGTGTTCTTTCAAAAAATGAAAGAAAAAACATCATTTCTNAATTCCTTTCGCTTCCAACCCCTTTTTTTTCTTGGAATGACACCTGCTTGCCGGTATCTTTGATCTTCATTGTGAACTTCAAAAAAGAACTGGAACTTTTACCTTCGTACATGTTGAATTGAAGAGATATGAAGTTTGCTTATTATTGAAGATCAAGGCAATCTTTTGAAGAAGAAGGAGTAATTCCATAAAAAAACGCTTTAATTTTAGTTGTGGGATGAATAAATATGTAAACGCCAAACCAATCTTGCAGCATTTTGGGGAAGCCGCAATGGTGGGAATGTCGAAGCCATCAAAAAAATTAAAACTCTGTCCCTCAAAGAGAGGAGGGCAAAGAAAATCAAAACAAAAAAAACTCTCCGCACGGGAGATGGTATCTAAGAGTCGATGAATTTTCTGACGCACCTCTTCATCTTTCGCGCTCCTTTTATACCAAACAAAAATTTACAGTTGAAGTCGTATTACTTATTTTGAAAGTAAAAGTAGAATTATACAAATTTTACAAGTTGAGATGTTTCATCCATTTTTATTTAAACGTTACGGTTGAGAAACACATCCAGTATTTACATGACACGCGGAGATCAAAGATACCGGCAAGCAGGTGTTGTTCCAAGAAAAAAAGGGGTTGGAAGCGAAAGGAATTTACGGGGGAGAGTGTCTCAATTGTAAAAAGCTTAAGGGGTGAGAGGAATCGGATCGGCAAATTTAAGAATTGCATCTAGAATTAACAAAAATTGGAAAAGATATTAAATTAAACTTGTGACTCGATGTCACAGTCATTGGCGAATTTTTTTGTTCCGAAATGAGAACAGAAATATCAGGAGTATTTTTTTCCTTTCGGATGAGCAAGAAAAGTGTTTAGAATGTAATTCTGCAGAAAAAAAGAAAGAAAAATTGTTCACTTTTGTATTTTTTCAGCTATTTTATTACTTCAATTCTTTCTTTACTCTGTTTTTTAAATTTAAAATCTATAAATATGAAGATGCAGAGTATAACAGTTTTGATTATATCTATCAATTCAATGACTGTTTTTATAATGCTTTCTTAAATTTATTGTTGTGTTTTTGTCAGAGAAAATTGTAACTTCGTTAAGTCATGAAAAATTCTTGGAATTAGTCATGAATATGAAAATCTAAAATGTAACAGATACCCTGTACATATACAAAAACCATTTAGAATTTACAGGGTGGCCACCCACTTGGAAAACCTGGAATTATCAGGGAAATTTTTTATACTGGAAAAAGACAGAAATTTGGATTAAAATCTGGAAAAATCAGGAAATTTTAAAGAGAAGCTTGAATTTTTTTCCTAATTTAAATTATTCTACTATCCATTATACCCTCTTTTTTTTAGACGAAAATTTATTGACAAATTGTTAAAATATCATCAACTTAGAGCAATATCATCAACTTGGCAATACTTTGCTTGCGTTAAAATTTCCTCCATTATAACCCTGTTAAATTAGAATGCTGTGCGAAACTCTCCTGTGGTTGCTAAATGTTTTTTTTTTTTTCTACTGAATATGTAACAAGAAATTTAAAAATTTTGTATTTGTGACGTTTATTTTTAAATACTGAATATCTTTTCAAATAATAATGCTTATTCAAAACAAACAACATAATTAAAACATTTGACTTAAGATATTGGTTTAAAGAAGATACAATCAATGAATTTTATAAAGAGCATTGCTTGGATATAATATAGCATAAAGTAGCCCTATATTGAAATCGAAATAAATTTAAAAATTTATTGATAAATAATTGCCTGGAATTATATTCTTCTGCTTATTGGAAATATGTTAAACAGCTCTTAACCAAGGTCTTTTGGGTCCTTCTGTTATTACCATTTGGTAAAATTTTTAATCAATAAAACAATGTATTCTGCAAGCTAAACATATTATTTTCTCCACATCTATCTTGATTTTTTTTTTAATTAATGTTGTACCAAAACATTAAAAATTTAAGAAAAGAAAAGCAAAATCTTGCTAAGTTGTTAAAATAAATGTAGTCTAATTATTTTTCAAAATTATATGTTAAGAAAGATAGCATTTTAAATAAAATACACATTTCAGAAACCCATCCTGCACTTTTTGAGAAGGAAAAAAAAAACATGCTAACCTGGAAATTTTAGGTTTTTTACCTGGAAAAATCGGGAAAATTTAAAACCTGATTTAAGTGGCCAACCTGATCTAGTTATTTTTTAAAATACTTTAAAAATTAAACAATAATAGCATAAAACCTTTTTATATATTAATATATATATATATTTACATTAACAAACTAATATTTTAAGCAAAATGAATTATTGGATAAAAAGGATATTATTTTTATAAAGCAATGTGTTATTTGTTACTTTTTGTTTAAAAATTACTATTTCTTTAGTCTGTAATTGTATTTTGTTTGTTAATTCTTGGATGTACTGGATTGCAAAGCAGGTCACTTTCAACATTAAGTTTATTTCCTTAATAAGTCGAATTTATTTTTAACCTAATTAAGAACCTGACTCTCAAAGATAAGAAAACAAAATCAGTGATCTGATACCTTCTTTTTTCTAAGACCTGTGCACTTTAAGACCAAAAATTTGTATTTTTTTCCTCACTTCAAGTATTTCTTAAGTTTGGGTAACAATTTTCAGTCCAAGAAAATATCGAACTTTTTCAACAAGCAAACTAAATTTAACTTCCCATCAGGAAGTTCAGGAAATTATACCTCTAATTCATTTTCTAAGCATGCTATTAAGTCTGTAGTATAAATCAAGAGTATTCAGACTGACTTCATTCTCTCCTTAAAACTGTGAAATTCCTCCCTGGTTGGGAGCCACTAATTTGTTGAGTAAGTGTTCAGTGGAGAGTAAATTAAGGTATGCCAGTTAATTAGTTAGCTGTAGAAAGCAATATTGAAGAAAGGTTTTGCACTGCAAAATGGCAATAAATGTTTTAATAATAGTGATAAAGTGCAATGAGGAAATCATGAGCAAATGAGATTATAAAAAAGAATTAAATTGCAGAGGATAATGTTGAATTCTTATTAAATTAAAATAGAAGGAATTTATTAGGATTGTGTTTACAATGTTTTGATTTGTACAATAATTATTTTTAATCACTAAGCAATGTTTTTTTATTTCAGTTGTTGCTCTTCTGCTAATATCTCTAGTTCCTAGTAATCAGTTCAGGCAAACTTATCGTGCAGCTAGGAGTGTCATGATGCCTCATAAAGATATCCTTGTAAGCCTAGTTTCACATGCTAACTGCAATATAAAAGTAATTCGCTTTTTTTCATCATACAATCTGTTTAACATAATCTGAATCTTTTATTTTTAAACTCCTGTGTTTTTAAAAATGTATACAATGTAAAAGAAAAAAGTGATATCCTTATAACTTTTGATCTAATGATTGCATTTTCATGTATTAAAATATTGAGTTTCATTTAAAAAGGGTACCATAAGTATACTAATTTGATAGTTCTAACAATATTTTAATTTATAAATTAAGGCACAAAAAAATTGTTTCCTCTGAATAAATTTTTGTGTTTTATTTTAGATTTTATCACCTCTTTTCCTTTCCATTTTCCTCCTTTTTTTTCTCTTCATTCTTTACGTATTTTTTGAATATTTATTTTGTTTAATTATTAACACAATTTTTTGATTATTATTAACACAATTTGTAAACATTAAGGTGGTGAAGCTTCGTTAAAGTCTTATTCATAAAGCTGAGGGTCTGAGAGCTTGCGTTAAGATATTTATAGAATTTTGTATGAATAATTTTTTTGGATTTTAATAACTGTCAATTCATTCGTTTGGTGATTATGAATAACATGATTACCTTATTGAATTTATTTCTGTTTATATTTCTTTACTTAAATATATTTTTATTTTAGATGAGCAATGATGCAATTGAAGTTATGCACAAAGTAAGAATAAAATCATATACTTTATTTTATTTTTATTTAGTGTTGATGATTCTAAATATTTTGCCGAGATTTCCATAGACAAATGATGTACACTGAAGTTGTTGGAATTCGGGCAAGTCTCGAAATAGATTTTAGAAAATAAACGAAAGTAGAATAGATTGATTATTGGTCATAAATGTAAACAAAGTTTCAAGCATGTGTTAAGGCCTGTTAACACGGTCCAAGCTCTTTGAATCCGAGAAATTGGAGGAATTTCTCTCCAAGAAATTGGATGATTTGTCCATGATATCCAAGCTCTTAAATGTCACTGATTGGTCCGAAGAAAAACTTGCGCCCACTCATTGTTCATATTCAACTTTATAAAATCATTCTTACATGAGTTTAAAATAATTGAATAAATTCAAACAAAATCATAATAACACAAATAGACCATAACAGATCGGTTTATTTGGACTAAAGTATATGAAAACAGGCAAGAAAATAACATAATCTGATGCCTGCTTGTTGATTTCACAAACTGATTGGTTAAGTGAGAAAAAACTTGGATGGAAAGTAGAACATGCTCGACTATCATCCAAGAACTTAGAGATGTTTAGCGTTATAAATTACTTGCCACTAATAGAATACAATTATAAAAAAAGAAAATAAGCAGAAGAGGTGTTGAGCTTTTTCTCTCTTGAATTTAAACATGTTTTTATTCTTTTTTTTTTTAAAAAAAATTGAAGGGGAAGTATTTACTGTGTAAATATTCAAAATAAAATAACATGAAAAAAGAAACAATCACTAAACAGCATTAAAAACATCCACTAAACAGCATTAAAAACAACCACTAAATAACAACATTAAAAAGATCTACTAACATTAAATACAGCCTAAGATCCACTAACTAAGAGCGAATAAATTTAGGCAGTGGATCTCCAGCATTCTGCTGAGTCATTCGACAAATAATTGACTCGAGTATTTTTGGAAAACACTGTCAGCTTTCTTGTAATACTCTCTTAATTTCAAGAGGGGAATATGTCAGTCAACAGTTTCTAATCTTTTTCTACCTCATGAGGATCTTTACTCAGAAGCAATGCAACTTCTTTTAGTTTCAAAGACGCCAGACACTTAGCTTTTAACCTCAATCTTATCTACATAAAGTACAACTTACTCAGAAATGTAACTATTAAAACTTAAAAACCTTCAAAAAAGATTGTTAGAGCCATCTTTGGCGCAATTTAAGAAAAGAGATGCTGGCAAACCAGATATAACTTTGAGCTCTACCGACTCTATAAGCTGCCCCAAATTGCACAAATAATCCTCAGTAATAGACTGAGCCATCTATGGAGGAGCCCTGAAAGTAGCGCCATGAGAATCCTCACTTTTAAGAATGCCGAGAGATCACATCCCAAAGGAAGACCCTCTACTAGATAGCTCAATGACATCAAAAACGACCTGTGAAGATTAGAAATTGGAAGATGAGTTGCCATGGATAGGAGGCGCTGGCATTTGTCAGCTATTGAGGCAGCCAAGGGACTGTTGCGCTGACAAAGAAGAAGAAAACTTAAGTTATGTGTTAATTTCTTTTTTATCTGTATAGCAACAGCTGTGCACCAGACAAATTACCATGTGGTTATGGAAAGAGGTATAAGCAAAAACCTCTAAAGTAACAAATCCCGAGTTTTGATGAATAACTTTAGTTAGTGAACAACGTGTAATGCAATCTTAACCCTCCGCCTACAACTGTGTTTTTATACTTTCGAGTCCTGAAATATGGGAAGATTTTTTTTATATTTTCTTTATCTACATATGTTACAATTCACATCTGCATCAGTTGTTTTTAAAAAATTCAAGAATTTTATTAACTTTCACGTTTACTGATATTGATACCCCTCTCAAATCGTGAGAGCCGTACGTAGAGGCTTAATAGAAATCGAATGTAGCATTGTTAAAAAAAAAAAATTTAAATAATGTACCATGGTCATGAATTTTCCTTTCTCTGAATGTTTAGATATTCTTTCTTCTTGATCTTTATGAATATCTTTTTTTTTTCATTTAGATTTATGATCTGCTCTTAAAACTCCTTAAAAAGGCCAAAATGTATGTTGGTGAGTATATTCTTAGTTTATCCTCTCTTTTTTCTACACACTTGTATTTAAATGTTTTTTTTTCTTACTATCTTTTTCCCCTTAGTCTCTTAATAATAATGCCTATCAATAACTGACAAACATGTTATTTACGCACAAATTGTTCACTTGTCAATTTTAATTACTTCGTAAGTTTTAAATCTTTCTTTAAGTTATTTAGATAAATATAGATAGATTTTACATTTTTTTTTCTTTTACCCAGAACTCGTGTTACGAGTTAATATTCAATTTTCCTCACGATGGTGTGTCAAAAAATTTCTAATGTGTATTTGAATTGGAGTATTTGACTTAAAAAAATTTTGTTTAAGTGAATAAAAAAATTTCTTTTTGAATTTTTTATGCATTTTTAAAATTAGTTTGAGATGGTATAATAATTTGAGGAATTTTCTCCAAATTATTCTTTTGTATGTATGAAAGATAAAATTTGTCAAATTAAAATTGATTCAAAACCATAAACATTTCATACACGTCATTCCATGTCAGTTCATCCAGCCATGGCACCCACCATCTCAGATTTTGATGAAAATTTGCACACTTATAGAATTTTTTATGCTGATTTCAAAAATATCAATTTAATTTAAATCCGTTAAGAGGTTTAAAAGTTATAAGCATTTATATTTTTGCCAAAATGGCACACTTGCCGCCATTTTGATTCATACATCACCATATATTTGTCATAGAGCAATATTTTTTTTATATTTTGTTTAGAATAAAATAATCTGTCATTTAAACACATTTGTTTGTAAATAATTATCTTACTTATTTAGTAAATGGGTCTGTTTTGCAGTTTCTTGATCAACAGAGTTGAGTAACTTCAGGAGCTGATTTCTGGCAACTCGCCCCCTTCAATTTCAAAAATATTTTAGGCAAAGATAGTTGAAAGTGCAAACTAGCATCTAATATAAAAATTTTGATGGGCGGTTCACTCACTTTTTTTAAAAAAATATTTTTCTTATGAATTATTATGCATTAAAAGTTCTGGTAGTTTGAAGAGTTATAGTCCTTAATTGTAATTGTAACTTGACTATAATAAAATGATGTAAAAAAATTTTAATGGTAGATTATGATGTAAAACAAAGTGATCATTTATTAAATTATATTTTTTCTTCTTTCTTTGAGCCCCCTCCCCCCTCAAAAAAGAAAGGAAGAAAGGAAAAAATTTGAGAATGAACAAGGCAAACACAAATTCTGCATCACGAACACAATTTCTGGCCAGGGATTGCTGAAATTTGCAATTTAGCTCTATATGTTTTAACTTGATCTACACTTATGACATGAAAGGAGACTTTCTTAGTCTTATTGGAAGGAGAATTAAATAATTCACAACGTTTTATTTATATATATATATATTTTATACTGATACAAGATATGCTCCTCATGTATGAGGTATATAGTTGAACTTTCCTTAAAATTTAAATTGCTCCTTATTAAAATAAGTTCTATGTTCTCAAAAGAAAGTTCCAAAATCTTCTGTGAGTTTAAACTGCATTTAAAATCTTTCAAAGTTAATCCAATACTATATAATACTTGGGTTTCCATAATAAAACTCTTCTTTAAATACCAAATTGATACATATAAAATTTTTGAAAACTTATTTCTATTCTGTTCTAAATTAATGGAAATACCATTTTATTGATTTGAAAGAAAATAAATTTTACATGAGACTCAATTCTGATTGGAACAAACAGAAATGTTCTGGCAAATGATACATTCTGATTAGTCAGATTTCTATTTTGGGAAGGTAGGAAAGGTGTGTCAATAGTTTTTAGTTTTTTTTTTCTATTCAGACGTTTTATTTAAAAAAAAATTTAGATGTATCTAATTACAATAAAAGTCTTACAGAATAAAAAGGGCCTGCAGGTGTTATGAAATAAGAGCATACAAATTATCAGATAGTTGGTGATTTAAAAGCATTTCAATATAATTAAAATAAATAAAAAATAAATATTTTGAGCCTTACCAGCGTTTTAAATGAAATTTTTTAGGAGTATCTCATTACCATAACAATCATTGTGACCAGGGTTGGGATTTTGGACGTCCTAAACTGGTTTTGAAAAGGACATGTGGGTTTTACTGTCTTAAACTGTCCTAAACTGGATAAAACTGTCTTAAAGTGTTTAAAACCTTGAACTTTGGTAAACGGTAAAAAATCTATAGGTGTAACCATTATACACATTATAATTACATGTATCAATAAATATTTGATATTTTTTATACAATTTACTTTAACTTATGGAAAATAATATATAATAGGAAAAGGTTTATAATTTTTGAAGCTCCACAATTCATTGAACAACAAAAATCAATACCTAACCCTTTAAATATAAATATGCTTTTAATACTGATAAATAATGTTTTTGCATAAGGATAAATAATGCAATATTAAATAATAATAATTTTTTAAAAAAATACTAAATTTGTTTAAAAATTAACCTTTTATTTTTTACAATATTTTTTTAAAAAATTTTTATAATTTCTGCATCACAGGATGATAAAGACATCTATTTAAAAAAAAAAATTTTTTTTAATATGAAGATATTAGTTTAAATTGGAAGTACAAAATAACCTGTTTATGAGTAACCAAGCACTTTGTCCCTAATAGCTTAACCTGTATGGCAAAGGTCAAACTTCAGTTATGTACTATTGCAGGAGAGGACCAATTGAACTTGATTACTGATTAATCTTCCTTTGTTTATTGTTCAAATTGAAGAGTCAAACAATATTAATAAAACATTATATTTTTAAAAACAAATATTCTCTAGTAGATTTAATTATCAATATGTTATTAGTTCTATGTTTATTTTACCTTCTAAATATTGTTCAGATAAAATTGTGACATAATTTGAGTAAAAGGGTTTTGGACAATTTAAGACAGTTTTGGACAGGACGGTTTAAACCGTGGATTAATCCATTCTGTCCTAAACCTTGCCAACCCTGATTGTGACAAATAAAACGATAAAATTAACTATAAATATTCATAATTTGGTCTTGAATTACATTTTAGAATCAAACAAAATGTTTGAATTAAAATAAAGTGTACAATGATTTTCTCTCCTTCCATAAAGATCAAAGTTAGTTCAATTAAAAATAAAATTTAATGGCTGCTTTTTATTACTTGGTATTGCCCTCTACTCTTTTAGAGAAACTTTTATTTATCTTTTTTTAGATTCTGATCACTCATTTATCAAAGCTATATGATTCTGGATAATTTTATTTACAAAAAAGGTGAAATTCTGTTCATTCTCAAATTTTTTCGTTTTCTTTTTTGAAGGGGAGGGGGCTCAAATAAAGAAGAAAAAAATAATTTAATAAATTATTACTTTATTTTACATATTTTTCTACCATTCTCATTTTATTATACTCCAGTTACAGTTACAATTAAGGACTATGAATCATCAAACTACCAATACTTTTAATGCATAATAATTCGTAAGAAAAATATTTTTTTTTTTAGAAAGTGAGTGAACCGCCCATCTAAATTTTTATATCAGATGTTAGTTTGCACTTTCAACTAACTTTGCCTAAAATATTTTTGAAATTGAAGGGGGCGAGTTGCCAGAAATCAGCTCCTGAAGTTACTCAACTCCGTTGATCAAAAAACTGCAAAACAGACCCATTTACCAAATAAGTAAGATAATTATTTGCAAACAAATGTGTTTAAATGACAGATTATTTTATTCTGAGCAAAATTAAAAAAAAAATTATTGCTCTATGACAAATATAAGGTGAGTTACAACCATTAATAGCCTTTGATGTATGAATCAAAATGGCGGCAAATGTGCCATTTTGGTAAAAATATAAATGCTTATAACTTTTAAACCCCTTAACTGATTTAAATATAATCGCTATTTTTGAAATCAACATCAAAAATTCTATAAGTGTACAAATTTTCATCAAAATCTGAGACGGTGGGTGCCATTTTTGTAAAATCCTGTATGATTTGACGTGACCCACACAAAGCATTTCATTTCGTTCTCTAGCTTTATCACTGAAGGAGCATACCCTGATAATTCTATATAGGGCCAGTATTGGTTCTAAAGTAGTTGTAAAATGTCAGGTAAATCAGACAATAAATGGTAAATCCAGGGCTAATATCGATAATCCTTTTTGATTCCTAAATATTGGTCTAATGAGGGCCCAAGTTATTTTGCTGCTAGGGTATCTGGGATATTACATTTATGATAGAGGTGACCCAAGAGGGTACTAAAACCCTCTTTCATTTGTTTTGTTTTTTCTGCAATAAAAATTATAATTTTGCTTTGACTTTTTTAATCACTTACTTCTATAACATTGTTTGTACATGTATAAAACAGGGATGTGATTCTTCTGCGGATTCGCAGATTTCCGCTTTTTTTTTTCAGATTTTTCCATTTTTTCCGCTAATTTCAGCTGAAAATTTTTTTTGCACAAGTTTAAATATTTTATGAGGAATTAAATTTTCCCCGAAGCGAAAGTATTGAAGTCCTCATTCCGCCCTCAAACATTGATTTTTGTATTTACCTGATTTAAAAGTTGAATGTTGCGATTCTTAATCAGTTGATTTAAATGTCGTACATTGCGATTCCTATTTACGAGATTTAAAAATCCAATATCGCGATTTGTAATTACACACTTTTAAAACCCTATCTAGCGATTCGTATTCACGCGAGCTTAAAATCCAATGTCGTGATTCGTTTTTGCGATTGTAATATCAAACATCGATTTTCCAATTTATACGTGCTTTAAAAATTTGACAGTGGGATTCGTGTTCCCGCTATTTAAAGATTACGCATCGTGATTCGTATTTACGTGATCTAAAAATTACGCATCATGATTTGTATTTTCGCATTTTTTAAATTCGATATAGAGTTTTATATTCACGTGATTTAAAAGCCTCATTTTGGGATTCATATTCATTTAATTTCAAATCATGCATGTGATTCATATTCTCTTAATTTAAAATCATGCATTTGATTCATATTTATATATTCATGCAATTTTAAAATTAATCATTGGGATTTATAATCACATGGTTTACATGTTTAAAAATTGCACTTTTTTGTCAAATTTTTGTGTGTGTATATATATATATATATATATATATATATATATATCTTAAATTTGGCTCTGCACAAATTTAATTATTGATACTATAATTTGGTTTCGTTTTTATTAACTCTCAATATATGCACTACACAGAAAATTATTGAGAATATTAATATCATAGTACTCTCAATAAGTTTGCCAATATTGTTGTATAGTTGCTGTTATAAAGCTTTCTTTTTCTACTATTATATAGATCCTGCTATCCATGGTACGACAAAGCTGACGTCATACTTTGCTGTCATGACTTATTGCCTTCTTTCTAAAAATGAAAAGTTGATGGTATGACTCTTATAAAATGCATTTTTTACCAGTGAAATTTTATTTTGCTATGTTGTCTAAAATTAAAGATTGTCTTTAAATTCATGCTTTATACAATTTTTGTTTCTTTGAATTTAGTTAATATTTCTTTTTACTAGGACTAGGCGATACATCTGAAAACATCGATGTTGTGTAATCATCACCGATCCCATGTTTAGGTTGGCGTCTTTTACGAAACATCGGAAATTCCGATGTATGGGCAATGCCGCGAAAAGCAATTCTTCAGATTCAACATCGATGTTCGCGGAATGAGCATTTCCCCCGATCACGAGGCGACATCGATTGCGATTACAACCTTTTCCTGCGTGTTTCTTTCTTCGCGAATTATCAAGTAACGATATGCTCACACATTGAATTTCGATGTGACTAGGAGTGAAACTAACTCACCGCCAATGAAAGATGGAAAAAGTGCTTTCTTCAATTCGTGCAAATCCAAGAAAAGAAATTGATTCTCTATTTATGTTTTATTATTTGATAATACTTTGAGATCATTTTTGTCTTGTTGAAGAACAGATCATTTTTGATCTGTTCCGATAAGACTTTTTGTTTATTTATTTTTTTTGGCTATTTATTTTCTTTGTTAAATCTGAAGAATTGCATTTCTTCAATGTGGATAAAATGTTTCCACTAATAATTTTGTATACAGCTGCAATTTTGCATATTGACCACGTTTTCAATTATTAAAAAATGATTATTATTATTGTTCGAAAATATTTAAAAAATCTAATATTTTTGCAAAAAATTTTGGCAAGCGAGTTTTTAAACCGACAACTTATAAATCGCAAATTTTCTTTTTAAGACAGTCTTATCGTTTTAATTTCTTTAGCATTTTCATTTTTAACTTGATTGCTTTTCGATCTTCCTTATTTATAACTATTTTTATAAGAGTGTGCAGTTAAATTTTATTTTCACGAAATATAGTTTTGCAACATAATAATACATTAGCAATAATTTTGAAAATAAAGTTTTAAATAATTGATTTTTACAATATTGAAGCCATAAAAATTTCCATTGTATCCTTTTCCAGAAAATTTTGTTTTTATACTAGTTTTTTCGCTATTTCCTGAAAAATATTGAAGATTACTACCTTCAATATTTCTACTGTATTGAAGGATATTCTTCAAGAAATTCTGGAGAATGAAAGGCCAAGAGGTTATACGCATCAGCTGTTCTAAGTTTTCTATCTTTCTCAATCCATCTTGCGTTTTTTATTTTTCCGTTTTTTATAAAGATTTTTAAATTGTTGGCTCAATGCGCATTTTAAATTTTATTTTATTTTTATGATTGTATCTATTTTAATTTTACAGTTGGCTAACATACTTTGCAGCAGGCTAATACTTATGACCTATTGATCTGATTTCTACGTATTAGGACTTAATCTTAAGTAGTTTGAGGGAGAGACCTCAAATATGCTAATTAGTTTAAGCAGACAATATTTTAAATGACACAAAAACGTACTTACCTGATTAAATTTTTTGACGGATTATGATTCCTGACCCTCAAAATATAAGGCGTAGCCGATATCTGAGAAATATAGTCCTAATAATTTTGTCAGGAGAGAGATTGAAAGTTAGTATCTCTTGAGGTTAATGCTACTTTCATATACTTCGTACTTCATCATATCTCGAGAACTTTTTACTCAAATAGAAAAATTTTAGCTCAAAATTATAAAATTCGTTTATCTAAAGTTAATTTTATGCAAAAATTATTTTAATTCTTTTTTTTTTTTTTTTTTTNTTTTTTTTTTTTTTTTTTTTTTTTTTTTTTTTTTTTTTTTTTAGTAATAGTCAAAAAAAGTTTGAATTGTAAGGTACTTTTTTTTTAAAAGAATATAATTTTTTATTTTAAAATAAAAAAGTTAAAAGAAATTAGTTTAATAGTTTCTGAAAAATAAATTTCAAAAAATGAGACTTTTTGAAATCCGATTACTAAGTCAAAAGTAATTTTTTTTCATGCACTACACTCTATCCACAAATATCAAATATTAATTGCTAAAATATTCATGTTAAGATAAATTTATTACAATATAAAAAATGCTGAAAAATATGCACCAATTTCTTCTAATTTTATTTTCTAGAAAAATTATTTATTAATGTAATAATTTTTTAATGTGTTTTTGTCTTTAAGAATGTTAAAAATTAACAATAATTTTTCTTGGCCAAGGTTGAAATAATATTTTTTTTTTTTTACCCTTCTTAATTCATCTTTAAAGATAATTTACTAATTTTATCCAAAGTTGCATGCAAAACTTTAGTGAATTATTCGTTTATGAATTATTCGAACTATTTATTCAATTCTCTCTTTAATTTAAAAACTTCCGATTTTTTTCAGCAAATTTTGAAGGTTGAAAAGATGTGTTTTCTTTAAATTAAAAAAGACAGTCTATTGAATTATTTTAATCCAAAAGAAGAAAATCAAAATAAAAAAACCATAACAATAAATATTTTTTACTAAACATTGATATACCAGGCTATAAAGTCATACATTTAATTTACTCCTATCTTTACTTTTTCCCTAATGATTATATTTTTTGTGTAACTTTATTGAAATTAAATACAACATTCAATTACAAATCGCTTAGTTGTTTATATATACCTATAAAATGAATATAATTCGTATAATGTTAGTTTGATGCATTTTGGCAGATTTTCAGTTTTCCTACATTTTATCTGACTATCCCTGTCTTGAAATCTTACTCTCTTTTTTCCCCAAACACACAAAGTTTAAATTCTAAAAATCTAATATGTATATTTAAAATTTCAGTTTTAGTCTTACTTTACAGTAGCATCAAATAAATAAAAAGCAAAGTTGTGCAAGAATGCGAAATTTGGCAAAACCAAATGTGAAACATTAACGTGACATCGTGATGTGTCGAAACATCGCGATGTTTGAGTGGCGATGCATCACAATGCTGAAATCTTAACATCGCCCAGTCCTACCTTTTACTAACTTATCTGTTCATGTTGACCTAACATACCTTTTTTTTTTGTCATTTAGTAAAGTGATTTTTATAACTTCAAAGATTATTATAAACTATATATATGTTATAATCTGGTTGGAAACCTTAAATTCTGAAAATTTTCATTATAAATATAAATTCCATTTTTCAATTGAACTAATGTATAATTTGATGTAGCGAATATAGGTGCAGTTCTAAACACTTAAAAAGATCTGTAATGTTTGTTGGTAATACAACTTACAATGTGTCTTGAAGTTGCACATAGAACAATGGTTTGAATATATATATATACAGTGAAACCTCTTGTTATGGGCACCTCTCAATACGGACATATTTTTAATTCCCCGGGAATCTCCTATGAATAAACCATAATGTACATTCTCCGCTAAGCGGACACTTCAGTATGCGGACGCGGAGAGTCATTTTTGCCCTGAAATGTTATTTTCTATTTCTTCTAACCAGAAATTACTTTTTCTAAATTTGAAAAAAAGAAGAATATTTTCGTTTAAATTGCAAGAATTTAAAAAATTGCTCCATTTTAAAGAATGAAATTTTTTTTGCCTTATCCATGGCTAAAAATATTATTAAGCTATTTCACTACTAAAGAATCAATCAATCTACTCAATCTTTCTCCTGTCACCTTACCTTATCTTTGCAAAGATGCTTTGCTATGAAAAAACTTAAAACACGCTATTGTAATAACTAAAAGAAAATATTGCTATGCAAAACAATGAATAAATAGTTTGCATATTATCTGTAAAATGTAAATTAAAAATATTCACCTATTTTTAAACATTTAAGTTATTATTTTTCTTAATATGTATATTATAGCTTTTATTTTTCATAATTTCACCAACTCTGGTATAACAAACACTCTTATTTAAACTCTTTTAATCTTCTCATTATATATGAGTTTCACTGTATGGAGATGTAAAGGGGTCACTCTGCCATTTTGTGTGAGGAATAAACTTGTTTTAACTTGACAATTGTTAAACATTGTCAATCATTGTAAAGATAGTTAACTTAATAACGATTTGTTAAAAATTGGTGCTAATTTTTTTTCGTTTTAAAATGTGACTCTTAATAATTACATAATAAACAATATAAAATTATTTAATTTATACTAATCATTCTTTTTATGCATAATATGTAATGAGTTTTTGTTATACTTTAATTTAATTAGAAAAAACTATCTAGGATCTAATTTCATTTTTTACTCTCATTTCAAAAATATTTATTGTGGGTAGTGATTGCGGAATATCTTTTAAAATAGATATAGATTTAATTTTATCTAATTATTCAATTGCATTTAAAGTTGAACAAAAGGTATACTTTATCCTCGCAAAATTTCCATTTTTTAAACATGCACATTTTTAAAGGAACTTTTTTTCATTATTTTCCTTTATTTGTCTAACTAACATCCATATCTTATTTTTAAATATTTGAAATCTTTCTTCTTTACAGTTCAGCCCTTATTTTATTGATTTATGGAATTTGTTTCAACCCAAACTGTCTGAACCAGCCATTCCTATACACATGAACAAACAGGTGAGTATTTTAATTGATTACTGAAAATTTTTAGAAATTAATCTATAACAATGTTTCCGCCCAACATCTTCACTAGTTGTCGGAAAATTTTGTGCAGCTGGTGCGGCCCATCTGATAAAAAGCTTTCCCCTTTTTAGTAAAATTGTATGGGTGTAGCGTATATTGCAGGGTGGCATGTCTCTACGAAATTGCGATAGCATAATTTATTAGGCAATTTTTTAAAAGTAAGATTAGCTGGCAAAACTATTATTTTGTGTGTTCTATTATTTTGGTAGTGGATTACCTTGGTGTCTATATTACATATTTAACATTCTTAACTAATAATTAGCATGTTGTACAATATCCTTATAATTTTCTTTAAATGATATGCCTGGGGAGGAAAGTGTTTATTGGGTCACCACTTGGAAACCAATGCACTAGAGTGTTCCTTAACTGAAGGAATTTCAAAAGCAGCAAATCATTTCCTTTTGTATAAGGCTACGTGCAAACAGCTTTTTTTTTTTCCTCAATTAAATAGATATCTTACAAAAACAAATTGAAAGAAATGTTATATTCCTCAAGTACAAATTTTTAAAATAAGGCTTTCTGCATTCTAATTCATTATAAATCTATCAGTCCTTATCTCCCCTTCTGCTGACCCTACTGGTGGTCCTCTTCACATCTCAGCCCCCATTCTGTAGTGTCCACTATGTTAAAGGGGACAACCAGAAACGTTTTGTGGTGGGGTTAAATTTCGTAGCTGGAATCAAAGCTGATTAGGTTACGTGCAAACAGCTTTTCATTCTTTAATGAAATCGATACCCCACCAAAACAAATTGAAAATTTGTAATCTACAAATAGTTTGTGGTTGCCCCCTTTTACTTAGTGGATAGTAGAGGATGGGGGTTGAACAGGGGGAAATAAGGACTGAAAGATTTATGAAGAATTGGAATGCAGAAAGCCTTATCTTAGTAATTTGTTCTTGAGGAATATAACATTTCTTTCATTTGTGGGGTATCTATTTCATTGAGGGACGAAAAAGCTGTTTGCCAAATGCTTCTGGTAAAAATAAAATAGGCAGGAGTCTGTCCAAGCCAAATTAACTACCGTTTAGCGGTACATTCACAAATTCAACTTTAGGAAAAACGGTAGTTTCACAAAATACTTTTTCTTGAAAAATAAATTTTTGTGTCTCATAAGAAACCATAAATCTATATTTTTACCATTTTTTGTGTTGATTTTATTATATAATTTTTAATTTTCACAAATTATGTCTAAATTTTCACAAAATAGATACCTCTCAGAAAAACCCAGACAGACCCCTGATAGGTTAAATTCTAATTTAGATATTCAAACTAACATGAAGCAGGAAAAAGTAATAAAATAGAATGTATGTGTGTTTGTAAGACAGCACTACTTCAGGGGACACATTGTTCACAAACGCACAGGAGCCTTTCTGTTGTCAGTGGAAAAACCAAAACTGACAGTACCCCATATATTCACTGACAACAGAAAGGCTCCTGTGTGTTTGTAGACAGTGTGTCCCCTGAAGTAGTGCTGTCTTACAAACACACATACATTCCATTTTATTACTTTTTCCTGCTTCATGTTTGTTTGAATATCTAAATTAAAATGAAGCAAATTTGGTTTTAGGTGCTTTTCCATTTTGATTTAATGTTTTAATAGTTAATTTACTTCTTTGTTTCTTTTTTGCTTTTGTAAATTAGATTTACTTTCTGATTAGGTTAAATTCTAAGTCACTTAATTTATGTCTCTTAATTTTAGTTTATTTTTTATATTATTCATTGAATGATGAATATGTTTTAATCGAATGCTCTAAATTTGCAGGCATTGCTTCTGTTTTGGTATCATGTTTGCATTGACTGTCCTGAAAACGTGAAGCTCATCATTCAAAATCCTCATGTTACCAAGAATATTGCTTTTAATTACATTCTGTAAGTAAACTTTTTCTTTCATTTTGGTAAGAATTATAGAATCATTGTGTTTTTGTTAGTAAGCGAATCTTTAACAACGTCCCATAAATATATGAAAAAATAATAAGCTTTGACCAATTAATTTTTTTTTTTCAAATTTGGTGTGAAGTACGCATGCTTTACTCAGATAATATGGTGCGTAGCATTTTTAAAAAGCGCTTATCTTCAATTTTTGTGTTTTAAAAGTGCTTTTTTCATTGGGCGTTTTTAAAAGGTGCTTAATTTTACCCTTTTTGAAAATGAGATTTTTTTTTCTTTACCATGTTGATTTTTGCCACATATTATGCAAAAGCGTGCTTTTCACATTGTTCTATTCAATGTTTTCACAGTTCATTCAACCACAATCCATTTTGGCATAGCGTATGNGAAGTGGGCGTTTCTGTCAACGTAGGCGTGTTCACATCACGTCCGTGTTGATTTTTGCCACATATTATGCAAAAGCGTGCTTTTCACATTGTTCTATTCAATGTTTTCACAGTTCATTCAACCACAATCCATTTTGGCATAGCGTATGAAAGTGCCAATCATTTTTCTTGTTTGATGAAATACTTGAGAGTTTGCATGTGCTGAGCTACGTTCGGATAGATTATTACACTCTCAGGTGCAACTCTACTGCATTTTGCAAGATATTCTCGATTTCAGGCTTTATTTTCCACCCTCTGAAATCGAATCAAAAAATCTCTTTATCTTTTTATAATGGCTGATATAATCAAAAAACGAGTTCTTTGTCAGAAACTAGTTATTTTATCATGATCATGTTAAGTCTGAAAATTATTTTGTTAATGTATATAGTGCTTAAGATACTTAAAATGTGCTTATTTTTTTTTTGGAAAAATTTGGCTGCGCACCCTGGATAAGTTCAATAAAAGATCAAATAACCAGAACCATAAAATTCTGGATGTAAAAGAAATTCTAAATACTTGAGCACGAAAAATCTATATTTTTATTATTACTTTATATTGGGTAAAAAAAATTTAAAAAAACCCTCTTTAAGGGGAAAAAAACACTATGACAATTGACACTCATAAAAAATAATGACAAAAGAGTAAAAACTATAATAGTTGTTTTTAAAAATAAATTTAAAAAAGTGAGGAAGTTAATCAAATCTCAGATAATCTAGTTTTTATTGTTCTATTAATTTTAGATTTTTAAAATTTTAAAAAATAATGACAAAAGAGTGAACTATAATAGTTGTTTTTAAAAATTATTAAAAATGAATTTTAAATAGTGAGGGAGCTTTCCATCCAGTTAGTCAAATTTCAGATAATCTAGTTTTTATTATTTTGTTAATTTTAGATTTTCAAAATTTTGACAAATAATGGCAAAGGAGAAAAAACTATTATTGAAATAAATTTTAAAAAAGTGTGGGAGTTTCTAGTTAGTCAAATTTCAGATAACCGGGCTTTTATTCTAATAATTTTAGATTTTTAAAATTTTGACAACGAAATGACAAAGATTTGACAAATAATTTTAAAAAATAATGACAAAGAAATCAAAACTTCAAAAGTTGTTTTTAAAAACTGTTAAAGAGAAGGTGTAAGAGCTTTCCAGTTAGTCGAATTCTTGATAACCGGGTTTTGATTCTATTAATTTTTGATTTTTAAGACTTTGTTGCAGAACCATTAAATGTCTTTTTTTTTATTTATTTAAAAAAAGGAGAAACCTGCAAGCGTTTGGCGGTATCAAAACAAATAGTACCTTGCAGACCGAGTAATGTATGATTGTAAAATTATTAATTTGCATTTCATTGTAAAATTATTAATTTTATCTATTTTTGTAATTTTTAGGAGCAATTAATTAACTGTTTTGATTTTAAGCAACTTTTTTATTCATTTTAGCGCTGACCATGAAGAACAAGAGGTTATAGTATTCAACCGGTGCATGCTACCAGCTTACTATGGACTCCTACGTCTCTGTTGCCAACAGTCTCGAACTTTTACTCGACAACTTGCAAATCATCAAAACATTCAATGGGCTTTTAAAAATATTACTCCTTACACAACTCAGTATAGTGCTGTAAGTAGATAACTTTAAGTAAAAAAGTATTTTCTTTGGAGATAATTCTTTTATCGTGTTGGATTTTTTATTTTAAAAATTTTAGTATTTTAAGCACCCAAGCTCTTAAAAGTTTTGCTTAATACACTAGTTTACATAAATTAATCGATTTTTCCATACACTCACTGTACTCTGCAGTACTGCTTAATATGGGTGGACATCATCTGTTCTTCCTCGAATAGATTATATACTCAGGGATGAGATTTTTCCGGTTTTTTCACTTTTATCTCCTGACATTCAGCTTTTTTATCAAAAATTCAGATTTTCTAAAAATTTCACTTTTTTTATAAGTCTTCCGCTTTTTCAGAAAATTCACCGACTTTCAAAGAGAAACAGAAAATTCAAACTACATAGCTACCAATCCTTTCTTATTTTTACTTATTTTAGCTATTTTCTCCCCTTTTACACGCGGCAGATAAGATTTTCCGAACTTTTTACCCACTCTCCAGATAGATCCGATTTTCGTAGTTCAAATGACGCTGCTTCTGACAAGCCTTTTAGAGGTCCCAAACCTGGAATCTGCTAATATCTCGATTCATATTCACAGGATTTTAATGTCAAACATAGCTTTTCATATTTGCATGTTGCGATTCTTATTCACTCGATCTGAATATTGTACGTTGCGATTCTTATTTACGAGATTTAAAAATCCGATATTGTGATTCGTATTTACGCTTTTTTAAAAATCCATGTAGCGATTCGTATTCACGCAAGTTTAAAATTCAATGTCTTGATTTGCTCATGCGGTTTATAATATCAAGCATTGATTTTCGTATTTATACGTGATTTTAAAATAAGGCATTGGGATTCGCATTCACGCATTCTAAAAATTATGCATAATAATTCTTATTTATGCAATCTAAAAATTACACATCATGATTCGTATTTACGCGATCTAAAAATTATGAATGGTGATTTGTATTTACGCTTTTTAAAAAATCGATATCCCAGTTTGTATTTTCTCATTTTCAAAATCGTATATCTAGTTTCATATTCATGTGATTTCAAAATTCATAATTGTTATTCATATTCACGCAATTTTAAGATCAACTATCGCGATTCTTGTAAGAAGTAAAATTTTTGTTTAATTAGTTACTATAAAGGTGACTGTTTTTCTAATGACGTTTATTAGTATATGTACGTGTTACAACATCAGAGAAACTGGAAGGGAATATATTCAAAACTTACACTCTGTGCTTGCAAAGAAGAAAAAATAGGATTTGTCACAAGATGTTTGAAGATGGACTAACGACTAAATATAGCAAACATAAAAGATATAGCAAACAAAAGCAATCACTTAAAAAGGGATTTAATTAAAAAAAAATTTGGGGGAAAAAGAGTTAATTAACTCATCATCAAAATTTTATTTATAATTGCTGTTATTTATGCTATAAAATGCAAAATTCTTATCAAATAAAAAACAATTATCTAAACAGTTGCTGATTGTCATGTAATTTTTCAAACTAAAATAGCAATTTTTGTATGTTAAGGAGTTACTATATATTTCTACTTCACTGTTATTGATATGTTTCAGAGGGCTGTAGTTAGATTAGACTATAATATGAACATAATGATTCGGTCCATTGTTAAAGTTTTTTTTTCCAATATAATTTAAAAAGTAATATTACTGATATATTTGCTATAAATCACATAACAGTATTTATTAAAAGAAATGAAATATTAATGTATATTCTCAGTAGTTTTAATTTGCTAAACCAGGTAGTTTTTCAAGTAATAATTGTCTCTTATGTGAACTGAGGAAAAATATAATTTCCAACTTTATTTTTTCAATTGGTAATTTTTATTTTCACTAAATGTTAAGTATCAATGTAATCATTTATATAATAATAGATTAGTACACAATTGTGTGTCAACACATTATTTATTACCTTAAACTGTCTGGAATTTATGATTAAAGGGTTGCGTTTGCGTAAAATTTACTATCGTGGAAATTCAGCTTTTTTGCCTTTTGGCTAATCTCATCCCTGTATACTACATGAATCAACCGTACCTCCCAAGTCTCCTGTTTTTTAACAAAGACTCCTGTATTTTACGACTAACTCCTGTTTACCCGCATATTCTCAAATTTCTCCTTGTTTGTTAAAGAAAACTTTTTTTAAGAAAGTTCGATAAAGTATCCGCTGGTGGCAAAAATACTTCTCTTATCCCTCAACAAATTGTGCTATTGCCAGTACTGCAGTATGTTGAGTGGTAGCTCAGGGGATAGAGCGTTTGCCTTCCAATGAGGTGAACTGGGTTCGAATCCCAGTGATGGTTGCCAGAGGTCTTTGTAGTTTTCTTCTTCATGTAACGTATATGCGGGTTAGTTTCATCAAAAAGTCTTCCATGAAGGTAAATTTCTCCTAATACTTAATAAAGAAGCTCCTTTGTCTTCTAGATTGGGTTCAAAATTACAAGGCTACGGAGTTGAATGTTAATAGTCGCAATGGGCCAGCGGTTATAAAATAAGAAAGTTTAAGTAATTATAACTAATTTTTTTTAAAAAAAATCTTCTTTAGATTAAGATTTATATACATATTTTTTACTTCCCTAAATGTAAATGCTTATGTTATTTTGAATTTCTCTTTTTTCCTTACATGATTATGCATGATGTATCAAAACTTTACTCGTATCCTGAAATATGTCACTAGTAAAATCCGCGTTATTTTATATCTCCAATGTTGCCGGTATGAATAACATGCAAGTAGATAGATAAGTTAGTTTTCTTTACTTTTGAAGAGCATATTTTAAACAGTGTTTATTCATTATAAAACTGTGACTGTTTTCACTATATATAGTTTAATACTATAATAATAATACTTTTTTTATTCTTTTACTGTATTTACAGGCTATTAGTGAACTCTTTAAGTTGATGAAGTTATTTGTTACAAAGCACAGTGATGCTACAGAGACAGAAATACGGGAAATTCATAATTTTAAAAGAACTACCATTAGATTATATCTTGGAGTTTTGGATGCTCGAGCTTGTTGGTCAACTCTTATAAATGTTTTAAGGATATTAGTTGAAACCACGGAAGACAGGATTTTTGTTATTTATAACAATGGCCTACCTTTACTTTTTCAAGTGAGTTTTTTATTTTTTATTCTATTATACCTCATTTACTATTTTCCTCTTTCTTATTTTCATGAAGTGGGTCCTCTTCCTGTCTCTTGGAAGTCCAAAAAATTAAAAATTATAATTGGCTTCAAAATGTTTTATTTATTTTTTTTAATAATTATAGATACTGCTAATAATCACATATCATATTGAAGCTGCTCCCTTTGTATAACCAAAGCTCAAAGATTGCATTTTTAAGTTAAATGCTGTAGTTAACTAATTTTTTTATTTACTTTATTTATTTTTTCCTTTTTGAAAATTTAAAATGTATTGAAAATAAAAGTTATTGAACAGTAGAATTAATTTTGTTTTCTTTCCTGCATATACCAAATTTAATTTAAAAAATTTAAATTAAAACATGAATTTTATAATAAGAAAAACTGTTTTAAAGTTTTATAATGGTTTAAATTTTAGTCAAAATTTTTTGATTTAGTTGCTATAGTTAAGTTATTAAAATTGTTTGTAAGAAAAAAATTTCACACTGATAAAATTACTTTTCTGATCTATCTATATACATATCCTCCGTTTACCCATTTTCGGCCAGAACGCACCATTTCAATAAAAACAAATATTTATGAACACTGTGACCTATTTTTTCACTATTTTTATTTTTTTGCTATTGTCAAGGGCTCTTAAGACACCCAAAACTTAATAGTAATTCAATTGGAGTAAGCACTTTCTGTTGAGAAATTTTTAAAACTATTAAAGCTTAGCTTGAAACAGTTAGTTTAGCTTAAATTATTAGTTTAAAACGGCTATTGACAAATGAAATTTTTTGAAAATGTATAATTATTCCTTTTGAGATTTATCATTATGTTTTTATGGTAGATTAAAGTTACAAGTCAGTAAATAATAAATAAAACAAGTTTCATAAAAAACACTAGTTCTACTAAATGGTTTGTTCATTGATTTGGTGTATGGTACTGATATACGCCATTTTATTTTTTAAATAGAATATAATTTTTTATACATGAAGTTTCTTGTGTGTCTTAATGAATGTAATGTCAGCACATTTCAATGAAAATATGACCATATTATATAAAACTTATATGCAAATGGGTTAAATAGGTGCTGCCTCTAAAGAACAGCAACAATGGCCATGTGCTTATAAAACCGAATGTCTTGAAATAAGACTCTGACCACTCGTTGCAAGCATAAATTTTGTATCAGGGTTTATCTTAGTGAACTTTTAGCATCTTAAGTCTGCAATAGTTTGAACTTATTAGTGTGAAACAAGATCATATGTTAAAACTTAATTTCAGTCTGTTCTTTTTATTTTATTTTGACATAAATGCATGTAATTCCCAATTTCAGGCTTTCTACACCCTGCACATGATGTATCATGAAGCTACAGCCTGTCATGTGACTTCTGACATGGTGGACTTACTGGCCATTGTTCAAGATCTCCTGAAAACAGCTCGTGCTAATAGGGATACTATAGAGTTACATAATTGGCTAGCTTCTTGGAAAGATCAGCCAGACATAATGCGCAAATTATTAACTTTGCTCAACTCTTTCACGCCACCAGAACTGCGCCAGATCTGCATAGGTACCTATTTTTATTTTTTATCTTTATAGGGTATTATTTATAAATTTTTCTCCACATTTTTTTTATCATTTTTCAATTACTTAATCATTTTTTATCAATTTTTATTGATGTTCTTACTTTTATGTAAATTAGTTTTCTAAAAAATCTTGCGTATATTTTAAATATGCCCCTATNTCCTGGATCAAGTATATTTTAAGTAAACTAAGAAATATTGAGAAAAAGGAAGAAAAAAAAACCTTGTTTAATTTTTTTTCTAATTTTTCAATTTAAACTGTTCTTTTTTTTTTTTTTTTTTTTTTTTTTTTTTTTTTTTTTTTTTTTTTTTTAAACTCAGAAAATTTTCCGGAATCTTGACTTGGGCTCACAATCACCCCTGATGATGGTATTAAATAGTTAAAAAAATTATTTAATTTTTTATTTAAAAACTTTTTTTTTGTTGCATTTTTTAAGGGTTATTTTCGAGAATTTTTTCATCATCATAGTTAACAGTTTATCATTTAGTTATTACAGTTATTTATCTTGTTATCAGCCATTTCCACCCAGTTTTTAAAATGAGAAACAAAGACACCAATATTTTAGTTTAACACTAACTATTGCGTGTCTTAAATTTGTCGATTGACATTTTGTTGTAAAATTACTGGAAGGGCTTGTAAACTACTGACAATGCTTTGAAGTCTTTATAATTAGTAGTATTTTTGAAAATAAAGCTATACTTTAACATTTCAGAAATCTTACGTGAGGTGGTTTTACTCTATCCAACTGAAAGTTTGACTACGTTAGTGCCACTTCTTGCAAGTTGCCATGCTACATTTCAAGAAAACAATTCTGCTGGTTTGTATGATTTCTTTTCTTTCTCAGCTCATAATGATCCACAAGTTACACAATTTTAAAACAGCCCCAACACCATTTATTTTATGTTGTATTTAATTTTGTTGTAGATGTTTTATTTAATTGTTGTTAGGGTTGTACAGTAGAGAACCATTTATCCGGTATCCAGAAAACCGGGGGAAATTTTGATCGGTTTTCCCGCCATTTTAAACTAGAATGATTATGAGAAAAAGCGGTAATTGAACTCATCATTGAAGTTGAGTAGAGGAAAATGTAAGGAAGGGGAGAATTCCCCCCCCCCCGTTTACCCACAGAAACGTCATTTCCTCCGTGACCTTGAAGGCAGGGAAGGGAGGAATGTTTTATTTTCTCCTTTAGGCAGTCAATCAAGCTCAAGGGTGTGGCATGCTGATTTTGTTTTCTGTTTGATTTACGAGGAGGGTGGGGAAAATGCATTGCATGCATATCAGTGAGCAGAAGGTGAAAGAGAAAAATATATTTATCTATTTGACATCAATTAATAAAAATAAAATCCTTTTCTTCTGAATAAATTCTCATTCTTTGGAAGTGCGGTATCATTTGCAAGTTTTTATTGATGTAGAATCACAGCTGCTGTAATTAAATATCGTGTTTTTATCAACAAAAAAAAATGAATAAAAGGGGAATTGTTTATTAATTTTAACATAGGATTATTTTATGAAGCAGATTGCAGTTTTGTTTTTCTGATTCCACTACGTTTGATATTTTTTTCTTTTCACGATTAATTTCGCACTTAATAAACTGATTCTTTTTATTCTTAAGTTTTATGATTAGGTTTTGTTTTTTTTAAATTCCGTTGATCTTGCCTTGTTTCGGGTTTTAATATTTATGCTAGTGCCTTTTTTAATTATCATTTCGGTTCGATAATTTTCAAGTGTATTTATTTAGATTAATAAGTTTTCCTTTTATTTTATCGTTTCCCCCGTATAATTAGGTATGAAATATATTGCGTTATTTAACCATTGGTTTTGTTTATATTAGTTTATTTAGGATTTGTAATTATTTTTAAAAAATAAATGCGGGAATTTTGTATTTTTTAAACTTGTTTTTCTTGTCTAAACTTGCAAATTTTTTATTCTTTTAAATGTTATTTTTGTACCATTTCTTTTTAATGTTAGGAGTACCTGTCTTTTTACTTTTATTCATTACACTTTTTCCTTGTAATTCGGGTTCGATAAAACATCGATTAATGACACTTTTTGGTCGATCCAGACAACCGGGAAATTCAGACATCCGGGATATCGATGGTCCTGAGCATCCCGGATAATTGGTTCTCTACTGTATTAAAATCAGCCTTTTGATATTAGTGGGTAAACAATTTATGTCAGCATCCCCTATTTGAAATGTTTACCCTTGCAAATATATTTGTTTTATTATGTAAATTTTATGTCATCATTAAATAGAAACTTTAAACCATCATTAGGTAGCACAGGACCTTTCTTTCCTAGAAGAGGACAAAAATTACTACCAACCAAAACTAGTGTCCGACCTCCGAGGCCTGTGGTGCAAATGTTTCTGCATGCCAATCAACTAGAATGTGCTAAAGTAAGATTGTTGATATTATTTGAATAACAGTTATTTAATGACATTTATATAGCAAACTCTTTTATCATGAATTTAGGTACAGTGTGTACTGTAATTTATTTGTAAGCTTTGTTTTTTATCTGTACAATTATATACACAATCAAAACTTTGAAGTACAGAATTCCCTATAATTTATTTTATCATTTCATATGTTTTCCCAACTCGTTTTTTCAACTAAAGCTGTTGTTTTTTTCCTCGATGCTGGAGAGAAGAAACCTAATAAAATTGTTTGTTGGTGTTAAAAATCAAAAAGTTTAATAAAAGACCAAATCATTCAAAATTTTGAAAAAGTTATCAATCGAAGCTAAGTTAAGAAGGAAGTGTAGAAATTATGAATAAGATTATACAATAATGCTAGGCATCAACTTTATACTAGTGGTTGAAATAAATAAAACTATTTTTTAAAAAAAATTTCTGAAAATGGCAAAAAGAAGTATGTTCTTCACAAAGGATCCTGTGGCCAAAATTTATGTATCAATTATTTGCTGGGGCTTAATAATACAAATCGACTGATTTTTTTTCAACAAAAAAAAGCTAGAGGTAAAAACCAAAGGATTTTTTTAAAGGAAAAATCATAAATTTAAAAATTTACAGTCTTTTAATATGAGTTTATTTAATTTTTTAAATCTTTTCATAGTTTTACAATTTATTGTAAACTTATTTTTGTGTTGATAAATTTCTATTAGCAAAATTACATTATTGCTTAATGTGTAACACAGCACATTTGGAATGATATTTAAAAGCCTTATAATATTCCGAAAAACAGGTATTCAGCTAATATTTTTCTGTTTAAAAAAGGCTAGTCTGATTTTCTTAAAAGCATGGGAGAAACAGGTACAGTAGAGAACCATTTATCCGGTATCCAGATAAGCGGGAAAATTTTGATCGGTTTTCCCGCCATTTTAAACTAGAACGATTATAAAAAAAGCGGTAATTGAACTCATCATTGAAGTTTTTTTTTCCCCGTTTACCCAGAGAAACGTCATTTCCTCCGTGACCTTGAAGGCTGGGAAGGGAGGAATTTTTTATTTTCTCCTTTAGGCCGTCAATTAATCTCAAGGGTGTGGCATGCTGATTTCGTTTTGTGTTTGATTTACGAGGGGGGTGGGGGAAATACATTGCGTGCATATCAGTGAACAGAAGATGAAAGAGAAAAATATATTTATCTATTTGACATCGATTAATAAAAATAAAATCTTTTTCTTCTGAATAAATTGTCATTCTTTGGAAGTGCGGTATCATTTGCAAGTTTTGATTGATGTGGAATCACATCTGCTGTAATTAAATATTAATTGCTGTAATAAATTAATTCTTTTTATTCTTAAATTTTATCATTAGGTTTTTTTAAAAAAATTCTGTTGATCTTGCCTTGTTCTGGATTTTAATATTTATGCTGGTGCCTTTTTAACTATCGTTTCGGTTCGATAGTTTTCAAGTGTTTTTATTTAGATTAATAAGTTTTCCTTTTATTTTATCGTTTCCCCCGTATAATTGGGTATGAAATATATTGCATTATTTAACCATTGGTTTTGTTTATATTAGTTAATTTAGGAATTGTAATTATTTTTAAAAAATAAATATGAGAATTTTGTATTTTTTAAACTTGATTTTCTTGTCTAAACTTGCAAATTTTTTTGTTCTTTTAAATGTTATATTTCTACCATTTTTTTTTCTTTTTAAAGTTAGGAGTACCTTTCTTTTTTCTCTTACTTTTTGCATTACACTTTTTCCTTCTAATTCGGGTTCAATAAAACATCGATTAACGACACTTTTTGGTCGATCCAGAGAACTGGAAAATTCAGACATCCGGAATAGCGATGGTCCCGAGCATCCCGGATAATTGGTTCTCTACTGTACTGAGTTTTATCCTTGAAACTTTTTAAATACAGCGATAACTTATTTTTAGTAGAATTTGAAAGAATGCACATTAAATTGAAAATAAATCATCAGTAAAAATCCTGCACTCAAACAACTGTAGAATATTACATATTAAATTCATTGAGATATTCTTTAGTGTTTCATTGATATCTTAAAAGAAAAATTTCTTTAACTTTGTTCATGTGCTTAATCTTTTTAGATTTGAATTTTGTGTTTAAAAAGTACTTTTAAATCACATTGTAACATCAATCTATCATTAATCACAAAATATTAGTTCTCTCATTTTATTTCTACATTTAAAAATATATTTCTTTGCAATAAAAAATTATGACTATGTTGTAAAGAACTCACTTAACAAAAAATGTCTTGTCTCAAGATTTGATTTTTGTTTTTTAGAACGTTGATGAAGACTATGATCGTCAGTTGTTAGAATTTTATTTACCGTATCACCAGTTTGTTGATATGCTTTGTAGAGTGGCCATATCCAATGAATTTATAACTATTGACCTTGTAAGCTTAAGTAAGTATTTTTCTTTGCTATTTATTTTTATGAAATATTCCAGAATTCGTAGTTGTCCTGATTAACACTAAACATACCAACACTTAATATATACCTATTTCCACCATTGCCGGTCAAGTGACCAGACTTTATATTTCTTAATTGAATGTATGAAACATGGATGTAAGCAAGGAAATGAACTCAAGAACTTTATTATAATTAAATGAAACTGTACATTGCCAATTTTTATGTATTACCAACACAAAGAATAAGAATTTTTAATTCATTACTTAATGCATTTTTTACAAATACAGGGTGTTTCCATTGTGCATTTTCTGCAAACATATTTCTTCTAATTATTATTATTTATATAATTCTTATAATTATAATAATATATAAAAATTGTGATTCTTATAATTAATATTAACTAAGAACTTGTGCTGTCTTGATTGTTTCGACATTTTTCTGGGTAAAAACTAACAGTTAGTTACAAATGATGTAAAGCTATCAAAATAAAAGATAAGCTATTTACCAAAACATTTAGTTTTTGTCACTTTTTCTGACACAAAATGCCAATTTAAAATTTTAGGTACTTTCTTGAAATTTGAATTCACATTTATTATGATTGATTTAACTAAGCAACAGTCTTTGCAGAAATGTGTAACTAATCGAATGCAATATGTTGAACATGCATTGTAATTTCTGATTGGAGAAGTAATAAATTGTTCTGCCGGTCAAATGACCGGTTGTGGTATAAATAGGTATATGACAAGTATTATTCTAAAGAAACAAAATACAAAAAAAAATGTCTATAAAATATTAACGGTATATAATTTTTAGGAAAAGTCATGTAGTCAAATGTGAGAAAGCGATAAGATGATATGCGGATTTTCGATGCAAAAGTTCTTAAACGGTCATTTGACCTTTTATAGTATGTTTAGTGTTAAAAATAGTCCTGATTTTTAGCGTTTTGTCTTATTATTCTTGATTTTTTTTTCCCTGATCAAAACCAGGCAAGTAAGTTTTCAGCTTTTACTCTGATTTCAGCTTTTTAAGATCCATACATTTGCTAATTTCATAATACTTGATTGTGTTTATGTAGAATTCAGCTTTTTTTGCTAACTGGTACTTACATCCCTGCAAAACGTTCCATTTCAACTAGCACATGATTTTAAAATAACCATTTTGATTTTGACAAAAAACTTCCTTCAATAGAAAAGAAATGAGAAAAACTAGAGCTAACAATGTCAAAACCAGTGTGTTTTTGGTTAATAAGAGAAATCTGAAATGTTTATGAAATATAATGTAGTTAGCATGAGAAATGAATCCCTTCATTTTACTCAGAATAAATTATTGCTGAATCAGATCAAAGACAATTGCGTGCAAAAAATAGTTTTTAATAATTATTTATATTTTTTCTTATTTTATTAATAAAAGTGAAAAACATAATTTATTGTAAGGTATCCAAATTTTAAAATTATTTTAATGAATGTAATTTTATAAGGCAAAATACAAAATTTAGACAAAATCGGTTCAATAGTTCGAAGAAATCGAATTTCAAATTAGTGATATGTTTTAATTGTATTTGAATTCTTTGAAACTATTTTGTCTATTTCATTCCAAATTTGTATTTTGACTTAAATATCATAATCCCATTATCTTAATTATCTTTTTAGGTGCAATGCTTGCTATTGAAGGTGCTCCACTGCATTTACCTATTTTTCCTAAACTATGGCTTGATATTATTCATACTGAAGTAAGAAAATAAAGCTTCAAGTTAATTTTTATTTTTTGAATTGTATTGTATTTCAAGTTTTATAAGTTGGTCTTCCCTCATTCTAAATCCAAGAAAATTCTCTAGACACCAAAACAGAATCAAGGAATATCATCCCGTTAAAAACTTTCTTTTTTTCTACTTTTTTTAATTTTCATTTTTGATAAAGGCATTGCTAAAAACAAACAAAACTCTGTTTCTGGAATTTAGGAGGGGCAGAGGTTCTCAAACTTTTTCATTTCGAAGAACCTACGAAATTTGGAATTCTAAGCGAGGCATTAAATTTATCTCTGAACTATATTCTATATTTAATAAATTGAACGACACATTAACGTTTATGATGCAACATCTATTAAAAGCTTGCAGAACATTAGAGTAAATCATCTTGGATTTATTTCCCATTAAAGACAGAAGCATACGTGATCATGAAAAAAAAATTTATTAATTCCAGGTAAATATTGCAAATCTTCAATTTTTTTTAAAAATTTATTTGATTTCGTTAAACATTTAATTTAATGAGAGGGGCGAGGCTGTTGTAATCTGCAAAATAGGAATATGTTTCGCTGACATGCAGATAGTGTTGCCGTTATTTGGGAATTTGTTTCGCCAAATAGCAGACAAATATGGTACTGATCTCTATATTATATAGTCAATCTCTTCCCCTGAACAATGATAAACACTTAATATTCTGTTTTGATTTTTAATTTACATGCCAGGAGCGTAAAAATCATATTAAATAATTTCCTGTATATTTTTTTTTTTAGAAAAAAATTTAAAAGTATAGCTAGTTAAGTGAACTTAAAACATGTCCTACCTTTTGGCAAAGCTCTGGGTTAATGGCTCCACAGAACATGATTTAAGAAACTCTGTGTTTCTTCATCATCATCAATGGCTTGACAGCCCGGGGTGGGCTATGGCCTTCTTAAGAAGTTTTTTTCTATTCTAAAATTTTTCCTGCTAGCGTTTTTTAGCTTTTAAGACCAAAAGGTCTTTTTCTAGGCCATCTATCCATCTCAAATTTGACCGGCCTTTTTTTTTTCTGAGCCAACTAGTCTGACATTGAAAACTCTTTTTGTGGTACGGTCTTCGTCCATTCTGATAGGCCTGCCGATTTTATTCTTTGTGGTTTAATAAAGTTGATAATATCAGGTTCATTATATGAGTGATAAAGCTCTAGATTTGTTCTAAGCCATACACCCTTTTTTTGAATTCCTCCAAAAATACCTGAGACCTATCTCTCAAAGTTACCCAACATAGCCTCATCCGTACAAGATATGGTTCGCAAGCATATGTTAAAATTGATCTTAAAAGAAATTGAATCACTTTAGATTGCTTGAATTACATTAGATTTTACGTAGTTTCGAATTCCATTCAGGGATGAGATTTTTCCGCTTTTTAGCGGATTTCCTCATTTTTCACTTTTATCTCTTGAATTTCAGCTTTTTTTTTTAATCAAAAATTCAGATTTTTCTACAAATCTCACTTTTTTTTTAAGTATTCCGCTTTTTCAGAAAATTCACCGATTTTCAAAGAGAGACAAAATTCAAACTACATAGCTACCAATCCTTTCTCATTTTTACTTATTTTTTAGCTATTTTCTCCCCTTTTACTCACAGCAGATAAGATTTTCCGAATTTTTTACCCGCCCTCCAGATAGATCCGATTTTTGTAGTTCAAACGACGCTGCTTCTGACAAGCCTTTTAGAGGTTCCAAGCCTGAAATCTGCTAATATCTCGATCTTTTTCACACGATTTTAATATGAAACATAGCTATTAATATTAGCGTGTTGTGATTCTTATTCACGCGATTTGAGTATTAAACGTTGCAATTCTTATTTACGAGATTTAAAAATCTGATATTGTGATTCGTATTTGCGCCTTTTTAAAAACCTATGTAGCGATTCGTATTCACGCAAGTTTAAAATTCAATGTCTTGATTTGCTCATTCGGATTATAATTTCAAACATTGATTTTTGTATTTATACTAATTTTAAAATGAAGCATATGGATTCGCATTCACGCATTCTAAAAATTCATAATTCTTATTTATGCAATCTAAAAATTATGCATCATGATTCGTATTTACGCGATCTGAAAATTAGGAATCTCAGTTTGTATTTTCTCATTTTCAAAATCGTATATCTAGTTTCATATTCATGTGATTTCAAAATCCATAATTGTTATTTATATTCACGCAATTTTAAGATCAACTATCGCGATTCTTGTAGGAAGTAAATTATTTTTTTTTAATTAGTTACTATAAAGGGGACTGTTTTTCTAACGACGATTATTAGTATATGTAAGCAGGGCTTAATCCAGGGCGATTTTGGTACCGTTTTTCGGTACCTTCACAAAAATTTTTAAAAAAAATCGGTACCTTTACAAAATTAAAAAAAAATATCGGTACCTTCACAAAAAAAAATCAGTACTTCAACAAACTTTGAAAAAAAAAACGCATCTTCACGAAAATAAAAAAGAAAGTAAGAAGGAATTAAAGTGCTGAATAGTTTTCCGAGCGGTTCACGGAAAAGCGGATTCACAGTGAACGCCGTATGGTACGCCATCGAACGGCGTTCCGCGCAACCGCACTAGCTCGAAAACAGGCTTGATATGCTGACGTCACTTCTGCTAAATACGCCATTCAATCGGAGTGAGTGGTGAAGTTTTTATACTAGGCAACCGGCTAAATTGAGCCAGCGCGTAAACAACTCAACTCATTTTCCCAGACAAGTGTTTTTGTTATGATTTAGCGTAAAACGTGTTCTATTCGTATTTTTTAACAAGATTTATGAAAAGTTTTTATAATGAAGCGAGGAAGAAATTTAAGTGGAGCGGGTGGCTCACGGAATAGCGATTATTATATGAAGCGTTTACGCACGATCGATAGTATAGGANTAATTTCCAGCTTTATTTTTTCAATTGGTAATTTTTATTTTCACTAAATGTTAAGTGCCAATGTAATCATTTATATAATAATAGATTAGTACACAATTGTATGTCAACACATTATTTATTACCTTAAACTGTCTGGAATTTATTATTAGAGGGTTGCGCTTGCGTAAAATTTACTATCGTGGAAATTCAGCTTTTTTGCCTTTTGACTAATCTCATCCCTGATTAATACATCTATAGTAGTTCTTCTTTCTATTTCCATTGTTCCTGATGTTGATTACAGAACCCAAGTAAACGACATTATTGTTTTTGGGAAAGCATTTATATAATGCTTGATTTATTAATACTTAGGTTTTCTAATGTTAATACTTCTTAGGTACTTACTTTGTTATCCCCTTCGTGCGGAACTGGCACATAATGCCACGAATCTTTTTTTCATGCACTGTCTATGGCCAGGCAATGTGCCTCTTCCCGTCTCTACTAAAATCTTTCTTATAGACATATAGTAACATCCCATAAAAAGAAAATTGATGGCTAAAAACATTTTTCATATCCATACAGCTAGGAATGCCTTTTTAAAGTAAATTTTGATAATTCAATGAACTTTTTGTTTTATTATTGCATTTATGGTCTGAGAGGTTCTGGTGTGTTTCCTCTGCAAATTCAACCTCCATTAAATGAACATAACAAGATACAAAATAATTCAATAACTTGATAGAATAGCTTCTTTTTTTTTTTTTGACAAATCGGGCTCAATTTGAATATTGACCTTAACCCCTGTGCAGAATTGTGGCGGCATTGTCGCAGAACATTACTGACTTCTTACAGAAAGATTTTTCCTTTAGGAAGTAAAAAACTTTAGTTTTCTTTTCTGCAGAAATTTTTGAAAAATTTTTTCTTTTCTTCAAAATTATATTCAAACAATACTTTTCTTCAGAATTATATTCAAAAGATGCATTGGAGTTTTAAAAAAATGCTTGTGATTATTTCTGTTCTCATTTTAGAATAATGAAAAATAAAGTAAACAGTTTTAGTTATATTTTCTGCCGAAATTTTCGTTCAATTTTTTTATGCAATTATTACTATTGATTTCCACATAGTTTTTAAAATCAAATATTTTGAACACTGTATTATTTATTACAACAACTGATTCTCAAAATGAAAACCTGCATTTAGTAACCCCTTTTTGACAAATCGGTTTCGCGTGATTTTGCCATCGATGTTTTTTTTTTTTTTGTTTTGTTTTTTTTTACAGAAGTTACTGAAACGGATTTCATTATTTTTTAATTTGATGATGATTTACAAAGACTAAAAAAAATAATTAGTGTCTTTTCCTCCCACAAAATGCAAGAATATCAACATAATATTAGAATTTTAAAAAAGAAGTGTTGCATATTCAATTAAAAAAAGAATTTTTTTCCTTTGAAGTTGACACTTCTGTTACTTTAAATTAGTAACATGTATGTTTGTTATTTTTAAAAGTATCTTGCCGAAAGATATTAGTATTAGAGAGGTATGTCGCAGAAAGCACGAAAAAATTCTGCCACAGTGACCTTTACTATAGATGTCGATTGAGTAAATACCTAATGCGTAAGGTATTTATTAATGAGTATTTACCCTTGTACTCGGTAAATGCCCCAAATCAGGATATTTATAGTTTTCATTTAAGCCATGATGAATTTTCTTAAATGAATTTCTAAGAATATAAGTCTTCAACTGACATAAATAAACTTGCAACTTAAAATATAACTGGACAATCTTTTTTTTTTTCCTCCAAAGCAATGGAAAAAAGTCTTCAGAGAAAAGACTTCAGAGAATATATTTAAGATCTATGAAATTATTAAATTTAATTTTAAAACAATTAACATTGCAAAATGTAACTAATTTTTGAATATAATTTAAGTGTTAAAATCTTAACTTTTTAATTAAAATGTATTGTTTATTTGTAATTAAATGTTTACTAATTGGTAAAAACAAATCTCTGTGTAGACATTTATTTATATCATATCTTGAACTATTTAAATGATTGCTTTGTTAATTGATGCTTCTTTATTTCAGATGGGTAAAGAATTCATTCAATTGTTGTGCAATAGCAGTTATTTTATTGATTACTTAGAATCAGTTCTATTAGATGAACGGTTGTGTCTAAATCAGTCATCAATATTTCAAGTATTTTCTGTTTTGTTACCTAAGGTAAGAATATTATATGCTCTCTTAAAGTACCTAATTGAAAACCTATAACTGTTTATTTAATAACTAAACATGCTCAGTTTTATATATACAGTCAGACTTCTATTTAACCAACTTTCATTTTGCGAATTTCTCGGGTTTGGGATTTTTTTTAGAACAATTTAGAAATTTCTGCCTGAAATAACTTCCAAATAGCAAAGTGAATTTTCAATTTAACGAGCTTTTCATGAGATCCACTTTCTCTATTTCCCAAAATATTTCAGGACATTTCATACATGTTGATGCATTAAATGAGGAAAATGACCTTGAATTTTATTTCCAAGCCACTTAACTTTTAGAGAAAGCTGTAAAATCCCTTTCCCTTTTTGTTTGATATTTGAACAAAAAACTCAGACAAAACTAGCAGATTTTATCAGTAGCCATTTAACTTACGAACGCATGTGGTAATGTATGTTTAAAATCTCTTTTATAATAAATGCAGCTATAGTTTTATACATAAATTTAGCTTTTTTTTAGTTAAAATTGTATGTAGCATAATAGTGATGTTTTGCTCTATTCGTGTTTTCCATGCAGATTTCTATGGTTAAGATTTATAAAATAAATAGTAGATACTAGTTTACATGATAAAGGTGTATCAATCGTTATTTTAATTAGGGTGACCCGGGGTAATTCACGATCACTCTGTTTCTGGGGTAAATAATGATCACCTAAGTTTTATAAGTTACAATGCATATTTTAAAAAAATTTCAATACACTAAGGAAGCAGAAGTATTTAAATTAGAACTATAAATCAGAAAGAAACATTTTTTCCAGACACCAAAAAAGAAAAAGCATCAGATAAAAAATAATAAAAAAATCTCTAAAATAAGTTTATTCCAGGCAAGATCAAGTATACAGTTGATCAAAGTGAAAGACTATTCGTGTATCATATACACATTTTTCTTTGTGGGAATGAACTTTTGTATTTTTTAATGTCATTGAGAATCAAAATATGCTTCTGCGTCCATTAATTTAATCTTTTAGTTACTACTCAGAAGTGTTTGTGATCTCTGAAGAAATCTTTTGATTTGTACAGTGCTTTTAGTTACTGTACTTTAATATTGATAGAAGTACTTTTATTTACTGCTATCTTGAACCACTAAATAACTTTTCTTAGTTTTACATCTTATTCAGGAGACAAAATCACTAGAATAAATTTGAATAAGTGGTAGTTACCTCTAGAAAGGTCTGGATCTGACTTTCAAAAATCAATGAGGGAAATTTGCTCCCATAATGAAACAAAGAGGCATTCAAATAAATGAGTAGACGAAAACGAAAAACGAAAGTAACTCAAGATGAATTCTCATTTCAAAAATATTTGTAACAGGGTGTGAAACATTTCAAAAAAGATTTTTTTTCTTCTTGAGCATATCAATTGTGACCATGCATTGCGCAAAAAGGTGAGAAGAGTGATTTTTCACAACTGTGTCGTTCCGTAATCCTCTTTGGTCGTCTGATACATAAGTGCTAATTGTTTTACATGTTGCATGAACTATTCAAAGCAGGGCATTGTTAAAAAATGCTTAAATGTGCTTATTTTTGATTTACATTTTATAAAAGCCGTGAAAGGTGCCTTTTTTTATTCGGGGTTTCTAAAAAGTGCTTAATTTTCTATCTTTTAAAAAAAGAGATTTTTTCTTTGCCATGTCGATTGTCATCTTAAATTACAAAAAAATTGCATGATTTTCACAATTTTTTCTGCAATATTTATTAGAAACTAGTTATTTTATCTTGATTATGTAAAGTTTTGAAAATGTTTTTGAATTTTATTGATTTTTATATTTATAAATTAAGAACTTTAAACAATAGAAAACGATAATTTTTATTGCTACACAGATAATTAAATATGATTATGTTTTTTTAATTATAATTTTTTTTTTTTTGAAAGTGATTAAAAATATTTTTTGAGTGCGTAAAAAGCACTTAAAACATGCTTATTTTTTGTTGAAAAAATCTAGCTACTCACCCTGCAATGGTTTCCAACTATAGATAATTAGATCTAATTATTTATCGATCATAACTACAATCCTTGAACTTATCTTCGGAATCATGCAGTAATTAAATATTTTCCTGTGCATCTAGAGCTGTTAACAATTTCAGAACTTTAGATCTTTAATTTATTGATTTCATTGTATCAATTGAAATTTAATCATTATTTTTCTCTTAATAGGTTTCTGAACAAGTTATTAATGACCAAATGCTTTCCCTTGTTTCATCTCTTATGACGTCTTTTGTGAAATCATTTGAAGAAACAGAATTGACAAAGCAGGCTTACAAATTAAATGGAGTATGTGATGTCATATTTAATACACTTAATTTAATACACAGAGTGAGATTCAGAGCAAAAAAGAAAAATTGAAAGGGTGAATGATTAAAATTTTCCCCTGAGTGGGAAAACGTACATATTCAGGGTTCGTGCGGTCCTAAAATGTCCTAAAAAAGTGCTAAAATTTTTCCCCAACTTTTTTAGGGCCTAAAAAGGGCTAAATTTTCTTCTGAGTGCTAAAAAAGTGCTAAATATTTTTTATTTCGGCGTTTCGAAATTTTTTTTGAGCGATTGGTTTCGCGCCATTTTCGGATTGTTGCTAATCCCGTAGAGGATGCGACGTTGCATTGAGTTCTTGTAGAAGGGGTTAAGAAACCGGGTAGAAGCTGCATGGGGTAAGGGAGATAAAAAGAAGAATGGAATGGAATGCAATTCTTTATCGNCTCATATTGTTTTTTTAGGTGTGGCTAGAGGGTTGTTATGGCTTGTAGTGTCTGAAATGTTACTTATTTTGTCTAATTATTATTTACATTAAAATCCTTATTTACAACTAAAACCTTTCTCACAGTTTCAAAACTTTCATCACTCTTGAATTCTAGCAGGGTTGGGGTTTTGGACGTAAGTTTTACTGTCTTAAAGTGTCCAAAATCTTGAACTTTAGTAAAAGGTAAAAATTCTATAAGTGTAACTATTGCACTCATAATAATTTCTTGTATAAAAAGTATCAAATATTTATTAATATATTTGCTTTACCTTATTAAAGCAAAATATTATAATATGAAAAAATTTATAAGTTTTCAAGCTCCGTAATTCATTAAACAACAAAAGTGAAAAACTTTAAATATGAATAAATATGCTTTTAATGCTAATAAATTATGTTGTTGCATAAAAATAAATAAGGCAATATTTAAAAAATAATAATAAACTTTTTTAATGAAACAAAAGCTTGTCTACATTCTGTTTATTGTTTAAAAATTAACCTTTTATTTTTCACACTATTTTTTTTAAATTGTGACATAATTTGGACAAAAGGGTTTTGGACAGGACTGTTTAAACTGTGGATGAATCCATTTTGTCCTAAACCTTGCCAACTCTGAATTGTAGTCTTCTGGCATAATTTTATAATTGTATTCTTTTAAATGTTCAATTGTTATTTATTTTTCAGGACTTGAGAGCTTTGTGTCTTATCTTCTCTGTGGAGCCACCCAATGAAGTTCCTACCGAATTCATAAAAATCATGAATCGCTTAATTGAAATCTGTGATCAATTCATCAAATGTGAAGATTGTGATAACAATGAATTAAATGTTGTAGATAATGAAAAAATTCAAGACAATAAAGGTAAGGATTCTCTGTGTGTATTTCTATAAAACTAAATTATTTAACTAACTTACTTATTGCAGGTGGTACAGTTTTACTAGGTACCAACTATACTGCTATCGGTACCACTAGTATATTTGGTATCTAACTATAAATATAATGTAATCAAATAATTATCTAAATAAAATTAGATATTTTTTTAAAAAATTAATATTCTCAAGGATTAGTTTAAATTTTAAGAAAATAAACTTTACCGACTTCATACAATTTAACTGAATGAATAAAACTTTTAAGTACAGTTCTAAATTTCATTACCAAATTAGATAACAAAGATTACTATAAGATACCCAATATATTAAATTACTTACCAAGTATACTAGTGGTTCTGATATTAGTATATTTAATATCTAATTATTGTGTAAATTGACACATTCTTGAAACCACATCTTAATTGTGTGGTAATAATATAGTTACTGTGAAAAGTGCTTTTTTCAGCTTCTCGAAAGAGATAAGTACAAGTACTTGAGAAAATTTCTGGATTGTAGTAAATTTTGACTATCATGAGTTAGTTTTGAGCTATGTTGTGCAAAATGATGCTGGATGTAGTTCATCTTTATTTTGATAAGATGAATTGCTAAAAATGTGTTTTGCTTAATCTTATAACATAAAGCCATCAGCAAGAACAAAATAAAATAGTAAATAAATTTGAAATTATTTTATCTTTTAATTATTGTAGCTTTAGACACAGACCATACACATGGCTTAAGACATAGACCTAGGCCTGGTCGGTAGGGCGCTGGGCCCATGTCTGAGAGTTCGTGGGTTCGAACCCCGCGGTCCGAAGTAAAGTGTAGTAAACTGACTGATGCACGTTAAATCTGTCGAGTCGCAAAAGTCCTCCATGTTCCCATAACAAATCAATACCTCTGGAGGTACTAGATTGGAGATCGATCGTTATCTGATTCAATTCAAAATTACGATCTGTGAACGAATGAATGGATGTATGAATGGGTCCGCCTTATAAACTGGTGTGACGTATGATGTGGCGAAGTCGAATTCTTGGCCATAGATGGCGCCACTGAAAAACAAGAATCGCACGCTCTGCCTTAAATTTGCTCGGTTTCACCAAGCAAACTTGCCGTGTGGCAAGCGGCATTAGAACCAACCAAGACATAGACCAACATCTATGTCTTCCAGTTTATGCATGATTTTAGCATGTTTTCAGTACTAATTTATTGCTTGTTTACTTTTTCTTCACTCTGTATAAAGAATTGTATTTAGAATTGAAAATGACCTTCATAATAAACTTTGTGTCTATCTTGTAACGAATCAAGCTATATTAAGAAACAGTTTTTTTATTTAAAATAAAGCTAATTTATTTAACAAAACATTAATGAACAAAATTAAAGTACCTGTAATGGGGTAGTAATAACCGTGCAAAAAATATATATATAAAATCCCATAACAGGTTAGTATAAACCTCAAAAACTATCTTCTCAAAAATCAACAACTCTCTGATGTTCCATAAAGATCTTGTTATATGTTTCGTTTATTCATGCTTTTGTTAGCCTTATATTTTTTAATGTTTTTAGACTTTATTATCTCAATTTTTTAATATTTTTACTCTTTATTATCTCAATTTTTTAAAAAACATCTAATTACATTCGAATTATTATTTTAATTTTATTAAGTATGAGTTCTGACGTTAGAATCAAATATCATTAAATTTATATAATCAATTTGGTGCTTTTTTCTCGTGATTCATTTTGTTACATTTGTTTAATATTTTTCCAATAATCTTTGATAGAATAAACTGCTAAAAATGTGTTATGCTTAATCTTATAATCTAAAGCCATCGGCAGGAACAAAATATAATAATAAATTTTAAAAAATTGAAATTATTTTATCTTTAATTATTGGGGTTCTAGACATAGACCAACATCTATGTCTTCCAGTTTACGCATGTTTTCTGTACTAATTTGTTGATTGTACACTTTTTCTTCACTCTGAATATAGAATTGTATTTAGAATTAAAAATAAAACATTTCCCTTCAAAATAAACTTGCATACCTGCCAAGTCTCCTGTTTTTTAATGAAGACTCCTGTATTTTGCGACTATCTCCTGTTTACCTGTATATTCTCAAATTTCTACGTACTTGAAGAAAATTTTGGAGATAAAATCTCCGCTGATGATGCAATAACCAGTACTGCAATATGTTGAGTGTAAATAAATAATTTTTTTAAACAATTATAAATAATTGTTTAAAAAATATTTCTTCAGATTAAGTGTTATATACATATTTTTTACTTCGCTAAATGTAAGTGCTTATATTATTTCCAATTTTGAATTTCTCTTTTTGCTTACATGATGTATCATAACTTTACTCGTAGCCTAAAAAATGTTGCTAGTGAAATCTATGTTACTTTATTTCTCCGTTGGCAGGTGTGACTTTGTATCTATCTCAATTTAAAAAAATTTAAAAAACACCTAATTACATTCAAATTATTATTTTAATTTTATTAAATATGAGATCAGAGACCAGAATCAATTGTCATTAAATTTTTATAATCAATGAAGTGCTTTTGATTCATTTAGTTACATTTGTTTAATATTCTTTATTCTTTGTTTAATATTCTTTATTCTTTCTTCTCAGAGGAAGAAGCAACAACATCAGCAGATGACCAGCGTGCAATAAAACGTCAGAAACTAAATTCTCCCGGAAGTTCGCCTAAAAACGAGGACAACAGCGAGCAGTGGGCTGAATTGCTCTTGAAATCGGCCTCTAAGCTCGTCTCTATCCTCCAAGGTGATGACAGCTGAGATATGTGCGACGTTAGGAACATGAACACTTTCAATTTGAGGCTGAAAACATGTCTTGTATCTGTGATCTCAAGCTATTGCCATTCTGAACACCCCTTATCCCCCCCCCCCAAAAAAAANTATATCAAACACATTGGGTACTAGCTTGACATTCTGTCCTAAATAGTGAAATGTAATAATAAATAAAGACTCTTTATGGGATTTGAGTCCTATGCCAAAGAACATTGAAACATTGCCAGTAATTACGTGACACTCGAGCTATTGGATTGTAAATTCGTTATTTTAAACTGGCCAATGAGAGGGAAATGTTTTTATTGCGTCTTGGTGATTTGTATAAAATAAAAAAGAGACTACTACTTCTAATGGAGATTATAAAAAAACACTTTCATTTTCAATGTTGAATGTAAGAATATATATTTGTTATTTGTGCATTTTTTTTTTTTAGGGAATTGTTCTAATTTAAAAATTTATATTAATTCTGTCTCTCTTTCAAACACATATTTTGGAAAATTATTTCATTGCATATTGTTTTTAGGTTTATTTTGAGACGAATAAACATGCTGTTTGTTGAAACATTTTATGTTGATCTATTTTTATGTGTTGCAATTCTGAATTCTTTTAATAAACTTTTTAAAATAATTTATTACTATACTATTAAATATTTTTATTCTAAACATATGTTAATATAATCATCATTATCATCAATGGCTCGACTGCAGAGGGTGGGATTTGGCCTTCTTGATAAGTTTTTTCAATGCTAACCTTTTTCCCGCAACCGTTTCCAGTTTTTACAGGGTGCATAGCGTTTTTAAAAAGTGCTTATTTTTTATTTACGTTTTTTAAAAGCCCTTTCAGGTGCTTTTTTTAATTCGGGGTTTGTAAAAAGTGCTAAATTTTTCTATCTTTTAAATAGAGATATTTTTCTTTGCCTTGTTGATTGTCATTCTAAATTGCAAAAAAATCCATGATATTCATAATTTTCTCTGCAATATTTAACAGAAACTAGTTATTTTATGTAAAGTTTTGGAATTTTATTTTTATGAATTAAGAACATTAAACAATAGGAGAAAAAATAATTATTACTGTGCAGATCCTAAATATGATTTTTTTTTTTTTTTTGGAAAGTGCTAGAAGTACTTAAAAGATGCTTCTTTTTTGTTAAAGAATCTGGCTAAGCACCCTGTTTTAAGACCAAAAGGTCTTTTTCTAGGCCATCTATCCATCTCAAATTCGGCCTGCCTCTTTTTCTTTTGCCAACTGGTCTAGCATTGAAAACTCTTTATGTGATACAGTCTTCATCCATTCTGATAACATGGCCTGCCCATTTTATTCTTTGTTTTTCATTTAATGGAGTTAATAATGTCAGGTTCATTATAAGAGTGATAAAGCTCTAATCGTTAATATAATAGAAAATCTTTATAACCCAAGTCTAAACTTTTCAATGTACAGAGTTTTGTGTTCATAAATTAACCTATGGCAAGATAACAAATTAATAGTAGTAATGTTTCAAAACAATTTTTAAATACTTAAAAAAATATGCATTATTTACAAAAAAAAAATTTTTAATTAAGAGCATTTGAAATAATATCTAACAAATTTATCAATTTTGGTTTGTATTAGAGCTTAATTATAAGTTAACTATAAGTTAATGTGTGCATTATATAGATCTTCTACTTTGTTTTGTACTTTGGCAAGATTATTTTCTAATTGTTAAAATTTCCCCCCATCTTTATCAACATTTTTTTTATATAATTTTACATCTATAAATTTATAATAAAAATATTTAATGTTGACTAATATTATATATTCGTTTATTATATTTTTCAGAATCTGTGCTTTTAAATTTAATTGCAGCTTCTCTAATTCACTGAAATTAATACTGAAAAAAATTTCATTCTCATTTACAATGAAAAATTTTAAAATTAATTTCTTATTGGTTTGAATTAAAATCAACTTAAATGGAATAATTAATAATTTTTTTTTTTTTTTTAAATAAAAATCACTGATCTAACCTATTTAAAATAAGTATGTGAAATTTCGGTTACATTGATTTAATTATTTTCATAAAATTATGTCTTCAGTTAGAAGTATTATTATATTTTAACCTCAAAAATATGTTCAAAAATATTCAATTGTTAATTATATAAGTTTGCAACAGATTATAAAGACTTTTGATTCGAACTGATTCCCAGAAAGCTGAAATTGATTTTATTTCACTTTGGACATCCCAAACAAGAATTATATAAGTGGGCAAACAGATTATGAAGTCAGCTTAACTTTTGAAAATTTTAAAAAAAAACTACATTTTCAGCCCTTTTTTTAGTTTTTGCCACATAACAGCTAAAAAAGTGCAAATTTAACCCTACAAGAATTAAGATGAATAAATGCTATCTGAAATGATATTCTTAAATATTGATTTAGGTTTAGAGGTTTGGACACAATCAGTAATCAAAACTAAGAATTGTTTCGCTTTGCTGAAAAAATTTTGCCCCCACTTTCAAAAGCTATGAACCGTAAATGCCATCCAATTTTTTAAAAAAAATGCTTGGTATGAATGTATAAAATTCTGCTTTCAGAGAGCTTTACTCATTTTTACACATTAAAACAAGCAAGAAAACAGAAATGATCACAGTTCTTTTTTTCGCATATTGTAAGAGGAATGGGATTGTTTTTCTAATTTTAGTTTATGATTAGCCAAAGTGTTCTAGGAATTGCGGGTGTTAAAAAAGTGTATGTTTTGTTTTATGCTTTATTTTCACATTCAATTAAAGTTTAATAATTTATTTCTAGTTTTCACATAGGCCGGATTAAGCCTATATCATTTAGTGACCAATTTGAATATTTTTTCTGAGTTCTCTAACAAAGCAACAAGAAGTTATGAAAATTGGTTCTTTTCAGGCAATTTAAAATGCTTATTGCTCAGAAAAAATACTAATGAATTACAAGAAAGCTACATCATCAATGTTTTATGCAGTATAGCAAAAAAAAAATAAATAAAAAAACTTTGATAGCAAATTAAGTACAAAAGAAATATAATAGTATTAATAAAATATATCNGTTTAACAATAAAAAAACGGCTTTTTGTAGTGATTCAGAAAACCGGAAAAATCAGTTATCCGGAATAGCGATGGTCCCGATCGTTCCGGATAATGGGTTCTCTACTGTATTAATAAAATATATCTAATAATATATAAATACAATTAATAATATGCAAATAATTAGAAATATGGAAAAAAAAAGGTAACAGCAAAAGAGTTTTTTAAAGTTTTTGCCGACTGAGTACTTTTTCTCTTTAATCCAGTGATTTTTTTTTTTTAAATAGAATTAAATCTATATCTTTTTAAAGGAATCATCGATGATTATTCTATTGAAATTTACAAAGCATTTTATGAAATTTTTAAAGCTTTAACATTTATTGTTTGAAAATTTCAATCACCAAAATTATGTAAGTACTTAGCAATGTAAAATACAGCATTTAATGACTCTAAATATTTTAAAATTTTTTTAGATAACAAATTAAAAACCAAGTAAAAATTTATTTTAAAAAAATTATATTGAATATGGATTCCTTCGCTATGAAAATCCTAAATTTAAAACTTGGTTACACAAACCCTGTTTTTTTTTTTTTTTAACTGGAACATAAATATTTTTAAGGCCAGGCCCGACTTAGCGTAATTGGGGTCCAGGGCAAAAACTTCAGTAATGAAGAACTGAACTTTATGGAGGTATTTTCACCTCATTATAGATAACAAGAAAATTTACTAGAACCTAAAATCCTCCCCCAATGGTCAGACGAAATAGCTTTCGGGCCATTTTATTGATTTTCTGACAGTTCTATGTCTATTATGCCGAATGCAGTTTTCTGATTGTTAACTTTCTCATCTATCTTCCAAAAATTCATATCCTTGCTGACATAAGGGTAATAGTCAGCTAAATTTTCGCAATTAAGCCAGTCAGAAGCCTGTATTTTTGTAAACATATTGAATTTTGCGATAGGTAAATTTGTCCCCATAATTGCGAAGATTTAGTTGAATTCGGCCTTAGAAAGCCATGAAGTTACGAAATATAGATTGTGTTCATTCGATAGATTAATGAAGAAGCTAATATAAAACTGACGGATTTTACACTGAATTGATATTTTGCTTTAAAAAAAATTTCTTTAAAGAACGATACTTAAAATAAACTTTCTACTTGATTTGGGGTCCCGGGGTAACTGCCCCGTTTGTCCCTACCTTAGTCAGGCTCTGTGTAAGGCATGCACCAAACTCAAATAGCTTTCTTTGGACCACCAAGAGAGCTTTTATGAACACTTGCTATTGTTAGTAGAGATTGTAGCTCTGAGTGGTACTATAAACAATTAAAAATAAAAATGCATATAAGATTAAATATCCAATAAAATGTTAAATGATTAATAAAAATATTTATATAAAAATTGTAGAGCATGATATTTCATTAAAATAAAAATGAATTGGACTCTTATTTCAACATTTCTATACTCATTTGTATGATCATTGATAATTTCCAGAGCAATAATAAAGGAATTATGAATATTAAGTAGAAAGAAAGAGTAAAAAACCATGTGCTCCGCAACTTAGTCAAAAATTTTATTAAAAAATTTTTTTCTTTGTAAAAAATACTGTTGAGGGGTACAAAGTGAAATTCATATTTACCTCTAACCTTTCCTATCAAGTTCAAAATCTTATAAATACGGTTCGTTTCCATTAAGAAAAAAGTTTTTCCAAAAAATCTTTTGTTACTACAATTGGCAGAGTTTATTTACATTTTAAAATAATTGCAGAATATTACACATTGAAAATTGGATGAAAAATAACATGCAATAGCATTGAATTAAGTGCACAAACTATAGTAAGTGAATTTCATCCCTCATCTTTTGCCCCAAAAAAATAAGTGGAAAAAAAACCCAATAACATAAACCATAATTATTCTTTAAACTAATTTCAAATGAAAAAATATAACTATAAAATTCTGTAATGCAGAAGTAGTAATAATAAGATTTATTTAAAAATCAAACAAGTAAATTATATATGCACAGCAAAGTATGAATAAAAAAAATTTCTATAAAAGTTATACTCTATAATTTAGTTTCATTATAAAAAAAATTATGCATAAAGTAGATGAAATATTTAAGATAGCTAATCTTTTTTTAGCTTAAAAAATATAGGCATACTTTGTAAATGAATATGCTGTACTTTTTTCCATTTCTTACAGCAAACTAGCATTTTTCTTATAAAATCAAAGAATAATTATTGATGATTGACATATAAACTTGATTCTTTACGACCCTCTAAAGCTAAATTATTTTTTTTTTTTTTTTGGTATCCCCATTTTCATATATTTCAGAAGTGGTATTGTAGGAACAAGAAAAATTTCTTTTTTATTTAATAGTTTAATTTTTTCATTAACACATTAAAATATTTGTCTCAAGTTTTTGGAATTCCCATTAGCGATAGTCAGTAATAAGAATAAACCAAGAGTGGCTTTGGATTAATAAAACAGCACCTTTACTGCTTCTCATCTTTTAATTTAATAACACACTTATCAGCTCTTTTTTTTTTCTTTAATTATTATTATTTGCATAGTATAGTATAAATATTCATTAACAAGAGTTTCAAGACTTTTTTAAGATTTCTTTAAAAACTAAAAATCTTTTCAAAAGTTTAAAAAATGCTACATTTTCCCTGCAATACCAAACATATAACAAATTTCCATTTTATAGCCTTTATTTTTTATTAAAAAATATATACTATATAATTAAACTCTTAACTTTGCTGCCCTAATGTACTATTAGTCAATTGCGAGATGAGAAATTCTTTATTTCTATTTTTAAACTCTGATTATGATGTTTTACTCTTTAATAGATCTTTCGGGGAAAATTTAGTTGCTAAAGTGGAAAACACAGTTGTTTAAAGTAATTGCCTTGGCTGGAGCTCCAGGGGTTGAAATAAAGAAAAACTTAGTGCAAAATATTTTTATTAATATCAAATAGCAGGTGAACAAACAGAAATTTGAATAATTACGAGAAGGAAGTAAAAGGAAAGTCTGAGCATCTACTAACTGTTCAGATGGCTCTGTGGTTGCTACAGTTTTTATTTATAAATCATGAATCTTTAAGGTTTAATTTATTTTTGTATGATTTCTAAGATAGAAAAAGTAAAAATAAATTTCAAATCATTTTTGATAAATGACAAGAAGCAATAAGAATATAAAAATAAGGAAACTTAAGAAGAGAAAAAAACTCTGACAACTTGAGATGTTCATCTTCCCTGTTGTTGCATTCCGGTAAGAAAAATTTTTTAGCATAACACTAATAGCAACATTTTCACTGAAAATAAAAGCACTGCAAATTCGAAGAAACATTTAATTTCCTAATACATAACATTGTTCTGTGGTTATGTTTTTAGTAGAATATAAAATGCTTTCAAGTATATTGCACCCTTTATTTAAATTATAAAAATAATGAATTTAATAAAAAAATGAAGCATTATTTTCATCAATCCTACTACCATGAAAATAACATTAAAAATTCTTTTAAATTTCAAAGTAATTTTGTGTATTCAGTATTGCTTATTTTGTGGAAAAGGACAGATTCTTCAACAAATTACCTTCAAATAGAAGATTGTCAGACAAATCTCATTTTCAATGTTTATATTCTTACAATTGAAAATTAAGTTATTATAATACTGATATATATTTTTCCTGAACAGTACATTTGAATTTAACATTTTCTTTTCTCTAACTAATGGTAAGGATATCGTTTACATGAAATTTTGTAAAATGTGATCAGATTTTTAACCCTTCACTAAGACTGTAATAAATATATTTACCAGTAATATTTAAATTTTCCATGATAAACTATCTTACCACATTTGTACTGTCATATCTGCTACTTACTTCAGAAAAGAAAAATAACAATGAAAAATTGAATTTATAATTAACTTAAGATAATTATTACCATTTCACTTTAAAAATTAATTTAAAAAGATTAATTTTGAGTTTGAAAATTGTAAATATTCTTAACTATTTATTAATATGTGCTGTTATATCAGGGGTTTGTCATGGTTTTTCTGAGATACCTATTTTGTGAAAATTATATTAAAAAATCAACACAAAAATATGGACTTTTTGTTTCCTACGGAATACAAAACTAAAATTTTAAGAAAAAGTATTTTGTGAAACTACCGTTTTTCTGAAAGTTGAATTTGTGAAGGTAACGCTAAACGGTAGAAAATTTGGCATGGACAGACCCCTGTATGTGCAATATTTATGGTGGTATTTGATACACCTGTAAACAAGATCGGCAACAACAATCTTCTTACGCATTGACTTCATGGTCCTTACAAATTATTGATATTATGTAACCACATTTTAGCTATAAATCCCAGATAAAAAAAAATATTGACAGGTAATCTCAATATGTACGAAAATAAAAAACTTTATTAGACACTAATTATTGTAAATTATCAAGTAAATAGTAAAGAAGAATAATTACACACAAAGCGGCATTTATTTTAGTTGTCACAAAGTATTGCTATACAGTAGGACATCCTCTATTCTATTATTAAGATTTAGTAGAATAGAATCATAACTCCATACAGCGCTACCTATTATTACAATTGAATGCAAGAGTTTTTCACCAAAGCTCTCCGTCTTTTTCTTTAGAAGGTACTTCGATCACCCTCGGCCGGTCGATGATCCTAGCGTTGCGATTGCCTTTCTCGACGATACCGATAATCCAAGCGGAAAAGCCCTCTTGTTTTTCGATTTCTTTGCAGTACGCAGCCGCCTGCTCGCGCGGCAAACAGATTAAAAGACCCCCGGAGGTCTCTACAGAATGTCCTTGCAATAGTTGAAAGGTACTACCACAGGCTTTAGCGATAGCTGCCATTTTCGCAATGACAGGAAGATTATGGATTACAAAAGACACTTCATTTTTTTGGATTTTAGCGAGATTTTGTGCATGACCAAGAAGTCCGAAACCGGTGATGTCCGTCGCTCCGTGGGCGTTGTATTTGTGCATGAGGCGAGAGGCTACTCGATTAAGGCGTGCCATGACGTCAATGGCCCTCTGATATGCTTTTTCGACGTCACTCTTCGTGATTACCAATTTGATTCTGTTCCACCTCTCGGGCACGTCCAACCACTGATAGGCACTCACAGCGATTTGAGTGCCCAGTGGTTTCGTCAAGACTAAAACATCTCCCACCACGGCGTTGTCAGGAACAATGAAATCATTCTGTTGACACACAGAAGAAGCAACCCCACCTATCGTCAGCCAAGGATTGAGAATGGTTTGACCTCCCGTCACATTAGTTCCCGCTTCATTTGCACAATCTTTAAACCCTTTCATCATTATAGGAATGACAACGTCCCTCTCAATGGTGGTCATCTTATTACTGACAGCAAGGAGCATCAACATATTGTCACAATCTGTAACACCCATGGCGTACAAGTCACTGAGAACATTCGCGCACGTGATCCGTCCCATCAAGTAGGGATCATCACAGAGCGGGTAAAAGTAATCGGTTGTCTGTACTAGAGATAAGCCATGCCTCGTAGGAGTGACACTACAGTCCATACCAATGCCGACCCTAGTGACAGGTACTTGCATAAATTGCTCACCGACATCGGAAATGTAACCATCTTGATCTAGCCCCTCCAGGAGCTTATTTAAGGCTTCCTGGGGGACTTTACACCCTCATCCTCGCATCTCTGCAAACTTAGTAAGGCGGAATGAGGCGTCTAAACCATGAGCGACAGGATCAAATTGACTACGAACACACCATGGTGTATTACTAACTTCCAGTTCCACTGATGCTAAGTAGAGTTGTGGAGCATCCATTTGAAAAGGTGCAAAAAAATTCAGATTTATAATAAAATAATTAAATAACAGCTACGATCGCGCAGATCACAAATTTTATTTCTCCTCTTCAAGCCGCTTGCTATACACAGTTATTTATACAGTTATTGAGCCGAAATGGAATAAATGTTTCTCTTTAGCCGGTTACCAAATCCATGAAATTCTGATGCTAATAGCTACGAATTCTATTTATATCTCCATAAAAAAAAATTTACAATTCATTTTACCCATTTCTTAAAAAAAAGAATATTGTTCACGTTAAACTGTACAGGTATGAATGATCATGCTAAAATGATTGTAAAAATAAAAAAAATTATTGTATCTGGCAATTACTTCGCAGTTCTGGTACTAATCAACAAAACTATGAGAATGATATGCTCTAACCAGTTTTTACAGTTTTTCACTAAAATTCAGGAAGCTATAGTTGCTTGCAGAAGAATGGAATAAACTCAAAAGTTCAAAAGATTTGATATGTATCAATTGCACGAGTTACTTGAAAACATTCCCAGTAAAGATTTTATTAATGGTGCCACTTTTATTTAATGCAAAGTTTGTGAAGATCGTTCTGTTGCCCATCCGTAAGTTACAATCTTTTTTGAAAAATGCCGATTATTTGTTTATTCATTGTTTCTTCTACAATGGCATTGTTAATTGGATATTGAAACGAATATTTATTTCAAATTTAAACGTGTTCTAGTAGATATGTAACGATAAGAAATGTGATATTGAAGAAATGCTGCAAAGAATTAAAAAGAGTAGACTTAATTCTTCGTCTAGAAATAAAAGATTAATTTTATTTGAATACTTCATACAACTATTTTAAATAATCTGTTTGTTCGGCTTTAAAAATAAAACAATTGTTATCTTTCTTATTGACTACATTTTTTCCTTCGCTGTAATTTAACTCAATAATAAAACTTATGTTAAAGAGTAAACTTAAGTTATGTTGTTGCTCGTACGTTTGTTTAGTTTTACGGAGAATTACTTTAATAAAACATTGATTACACGTTTATATTCTGTTCGTTTAATGTAATTTATAACTGACTATTATTCATTAATGCATGATACATATATATATTTATACAAGATATTCATGCTTGATATATACTAAAAGAATTTTTTTACAAAATGCTTTTTTTTTTCGGGGACATTTCCGTATCCTCATCTGTTGTGATAACTACAAAAAACATGTAGATGTTGTGGCTATGAGTTATATATTTTGAGTTGGTTCCTTTCTGTGTTTTTTTTTTTTTTTTTAGTTTCTCGCTGATCGCTGCCATGAAGTTGCCAAGACTTGGAGATTATTCTGCCCCAAATCAGGATACTGAAATTTCCCCCAACTTCCGGGCAGCGGCCCATGAAAAACGAAAACATTAAATAAAACATCACAGAAAGAGACAGACCAACTGGAAAGTTAGAAAGTATAAAATTTATATGGCAACTAGGCAATTGTAGTTGCCGTGTCTGATCACGATATAGAAATATCCCCCAATTTCGATTTTGCTTCCTATGATTAACATGGTTTAAATAATAGAATTCAATTTAAAGAAATCTTTGATGTGGTGGTATTTCCATATCGTGGTCAGCAGTACCGCCTTCAATCGCAAAGGTGTGGATGAGGGAAGATTGCTGTATTGTGATCTGCGGCAGAATGATTGCCGTAATCTTGGCTACCTTCGTGCAGTGGATTGCGAGAAACTAAAACCCCTTACAGAAGGGAACCAGCTTGAAGGGTCTAACTACTCCGAACAAACCTCTGCATCTTTTTTAAAAAATTTGCAAGTTTTAAACTTCCTTATATTTTTTAAAATAAAATAGGTGTTTGCAAGGAAGCGGCTATGAGTTATACTTTTCAAATTGCGCGGTAATTTTTTATGCATGATCGGTGGAAAAGAAGACGAAATTGTGCAGTTCATAATCACAAAAGAATTTATGCTATTTTAATTATGTAAAAGACAGAAATTGCGTAAATAATAAAACAAAAGCATTAAAGAATAGAATTAATATCTGAAGTATTGTACTGAATAATTAATAAATCTTATCTTGTACATACTATAAGGATTTGGTTTTTGTTTAAACCCTATAAATTTTCTTTAATGCATTAGTATGCTTACATTCTGTGAGCATTATGTTTTTTTAGCGTCCTATATATATATATATATTTGCTAATTCAATTATTGATGAAAGGAAAAATGTTTTGGAGAAAAGTATGTCTTTTTTAATGAAAAAAAATTTTGGAACGAATTCAAGTAATTAAAAGTATTTAATTTTCAGTGAATATGCAAAAATTTTTGATTAAAAAAAATGCTGTGCTAAAACACTAACGTTTTATGAGAATTATCATATTTGCCACCAATTTGACTAAATATGTTCGTTAGTGAACTTGCTGTGCAAGTGGCCATTTCACTCAAAAAATTGTGCAGCCCTAGCATAAATGAACATTACTTTTCGGTCTCTTTGCAAACACATGTGTGTGGTGCGTTACCATTTGAACCGCAGTGACGAGAGTTTCGAATAGCTCGTTTAAATAATCACTTTTTAACACACTTTTTTTTTTTTTAATTTCAGTGGAAATCCAGGTTATTTTTAAATTAAATTTTCAACAGTTTTTACAATGCATTCCTATGTAGTTTTGAAATGTTGAATTTTTACTCTGATATGCGAATTTTAGGGTGACCCGGGGTAATTCACGATCACTCTGTTTCTGGGGTAAATAATGATCACCTAAGTTTTATTTCTTAAAAATTTTTTTTTTTTAAATTTGAGACATGGACAAGAAAGCTTGTACACTTTACTAAAGTATAACTACATTTACTTAATAGTTTTTTGTTTAATTTAACAAAATAAGTATCTTTTAAAATGCTTTCTGCATTTTCCATTTCAAAGATGGGTTTCAAATTGTGCACATTTCTGCAAATATATAATTATTTATAATGCAATAAATAAATATTTTGAGTTACTTTCTTTTTCTTTGATATAAAAATAGTGTAAGCTTTTTTTCAATTGTTTCACATCTTCTGTAAACATTATAATTGATTATTGGAAACAATATCAAATGTTGCCCCCTACAGATGGGGTAATTATTGATCACCGGGGTAATTCCTGATCATTTTCATTTCTTCTTATAGTATAAAAAATAGTTAATCGTCTTTTCGTATATAACAGTTCATATTTATTAAGTGGAACAACTATAAAATATATTTTAACTATAATCACGAAATTTGTTTTTAACTGTATGCAAGACAAATGTGTTCTGATATGCACCATTTCTAGCTTGTCTTACCTTTCTTCTATCTTATTTTTATGTGTGTACATTGTTAGAATAATTTTTAAGTTGATAAATTAACCTAATATAAATATGGTGAGAAATTATAAGCCTAAAAAGGATACTAAGCTTCTAGAAAGCAAAAATAGCAAATTTCTTTTAAAGATTGAAAATGAAAATTTCAGTGTGAGAGCTGCTGCCAGAGCTGAAGTGTTAATCTTTATTCCGGCTTTTAAATAAAACATTTTAATAGCTGCTTAAACATATCTTTTTGGTTTATTTGTTTGATCTTAATGTCTTATTTGTTAATTACCATTGTATAATTATTTTTAAACAGCCCATTTACTATATAAACTGGTGATCAGTAATTACTCCAGAAATGATAAGGAATTACCCCAGAAATGATCAAGAGAAGGGATAATTCCTGATCACTAAAAATTTAAAATCTTTAAAATTCAAATTAGATTTTCAAACAAAAGAAGGTAGCATCTCATCCCATATAGCCTCAAATTTCCAATAAATATTAAAATTCTATCTTGAATAGTTTTTTCACAAAATAGATGTTTGCATTTTTTGATCAGGAATTACCCCAGGTCACCCTAAATCAGTCTCTTAAATAATTATTTATTGACCCGCCTTATTTGTGCTGATTTCATCGTAAATATGTTTTTTTAAACTATTACATTGCTATTCCTCCTGATTTTGTTGATCCAATTTTTTTAACTATGATTTTATTACGGCACGAGAGTTTCTAATCACATATTTAACCCATTCTCTGTCTGATTTTTTTTCCTTTGAATTTCCAACCGAAAAAAGCATTTTTTTATTGCAGAAAATTAATATATGTTCTATCTTAATTTAGAAAAGCAAAATATTTTTGTCAACAAGCAGTGTTTTGCTTGACTTATTGATGGTGAAATATGTAATGCCCGATCCACTGATCTGCAGTTTTCCCTGTAATGCACCCAAGTTATATCTTAAAAAATACACTGTGATTACATATTTATTAACTCTTTTGCTTTAAGATGTTTTAAGATAAATATCTGCGTAAAATAATTATTAAAATTAGGCACAAAAAAAAATTTCAAAAATAATTTTTCAAACAAATCAGAACTATCATCTTCTGACTAAAAGACAATAAATTTACTGTCCTCTGACTAACATTATCTAAAAAACATCATCATAACTATTTTGACATGCAATGGTGACTGCAAAACTGCTGAAAGTACAAAATGATTTTGATTTCAATTCAAGGCAGGAAATCTCATTGTGAAGAAAGTGGGACTTGTTTGCACCATCTTTTAGCAATATTCAGAAATACAAAAATAATCGCAGGATTTAAAGAGTAGACAATTTCAAAGATGCATTTTCTCTCGTCGAGTTATTTTTTCGGCAGTTGGCGCCATGCATTTGTACTTGGTACATAAAATTCCCATATTTTAGTACAATGTAATTGCAATACCAAAAATTCGAGAAGTGAATGAAATAGCATATTTTTAAACTGTTTGTAATCTTGTTCTAAATTTTTTGTAGCTTATATGATTTTTTTTTTAAGGAAAAAAAACATTTCATATTTAAAATTCTTATAATTTCTAATAATCCATGAAATATTAAGTGTAATACGAAATAAATATTGAGTCTTATTTTGTACTATAATGATTATATTTAAAAAAAAAAAATTTAACCTTATACATTTTTTTTAATTAAAATAATTAGTTCAAATTTATATTATACTCATTAAAATTTGTATTTTTTTATACTTTCATTCTGTGAGCATAACTGGGTTTTTTTTTTTTTAGAATTTATATTATTTTTCCCCCAACCCCCAATTTGAACCCACTACCTCCATACTCGTAATCGTTTGGTAGATTTGGAATCATTTAAAAATCTAGTGAGCTATCGGGACGCAGCCCTTGCGGCGTAACATAGGAATCTGACATCGTTTCCATTTTTCAGGTTCGATTAAATCTTAGTGCTTTGAAATTTAACATAACGAAGCACGTTAAAAGGTTTCATATTCTAAAATTAGTTATTATACAGAAGTTTAAAATTGATAGTAAGAAAAACAAATCTAAAATCAAACCTTTGTATCAGGGTTGGCAGGTTTTTGACATGTGACAGTTTAAACCGTCACGTCAAGAACCTCACTGTCGGAAATGTCAAAAACCTATATTCGTATGTGAAATTTAATGAATACATAAAATTTATATATTTTTTATAAAGGATAGCGTTTCTAAATATGTTCTAGAAAAAATAAATTTAAAATTTTGAAGAAACACTTATATTTTGAATAGTAACCAAATCTTGTACTTTTGAGAACTCACATCTTTTGTAATATTATGTATTCATTTTCATGTGTTATTGAAAATCTGCAGTGATATTAAGTAATTTATTTATAACCAAATTTAGTGTATAGTATAGATCAGGGGTAGCGAACCTTTATGCACCAACGTGCCATTTTTTCTAAAAAAAATTGCTTAATTTGGTCATAGACGTGCCGTCAAACAATTTTGATTTCGTGATTATTGGGAAAATAATAACACTAAATGCTATCAACTCAAAACTCTGTTTTAAACTCTGTTTTTACTATGAAAAACAATACATTTCGCAATGTCTCAGTTATATGCGTAATGCAACTTAAAGTAACATCAGTGTGACTTCTGTTGTTGCAGATTGGATGACAAATAACTTATATTAGGTTGTAAGATGTTATTTTAAGCAGGTCTGTTTTTTTTTTTGCTAGTTATTTATTGTTAGCTTGTTTTTTATGGTAATTAATTGTTTTTTGGCATAAATTGTAATTTTTTTGCTAATAATTGTTTATTTTTTTAAGTTTGTTATTTTGAATTTTAATTTAATTGGTAAATTGCTTCAGAGTGAACTTCGTGATCCGTGTCGTGCCAGAAATAACACGCGTGCCATTGGTTCGCCATCCCTGGTATAGATTATACTAAAAATTAGATTACATTTTTAAAGATAAACATTAGCAGTTTTGTACATTAGACATCTTCTTTTAAAGAAAAATCTTTTTAATGTTCTTTTAAATCTTCTTAATAATCTTTCTAACATAAGACAATACAAATTTAAGTGCTTTCTGTTAAATACACAGAGTAGTTAGTGTCGATTTACAGTATATTCAGCCTATTCATTTACTATGCTGAAAATTTAGTTTATCCAAATACTTGTGAATTTCATTTTGCTGAATACTATATAGTTTTGTTGAATATCTAAATATTCAGCTGTTGAATAATTACTTCTTGCTTTCAAGATATGCATTATTTGTATTCTTAATACAAGTGGAGAAAAAAAAATTAAGAGATAAAAATTGTTTTAAAATGATAAGTGTAATAATTATAAATAAATATAATAAACAATATGAATTATATTTATCATTATTCATAAATATAACTACTTTTAAATTCAAATTAACATACTGGATAATAAAGATATTCGGTATAACATTAAAAAAATTTTTTTATACACTTGTATCTTATATCAAGTTTGTATTTATACAACATAACTTGTAAGTTCCTTATAAATATTAGTTATATGTTCCTTATATGTCAAAAATGCATAGTAATAAACTTTTAATTTTCTTAAGTATCAAAAAGAAAGAAAAAATTTTTTTAAATATAAATATTTAAACAATTTTTGTGCAAAATTTTTCTGCACATGCATTTGAATATAAATTTCTGAGATTTTAAATCTGTTATTTTACCTTAATTTTAATTAAAAAATATTTTAAAACCTGCTGATTACCTATAGTATAATTAAATTTCAATATAATGCATGGTAACTGTTGGTAGTTTTGAAGTTTATATATTTTCTTGGCAAACTTCAGTTTTTGACGGTTTAAACCAGTATTATACTCTTGTCATGTCAAAAACCCAACCCTGCGTTGTATATATATATATATATTCTTTTTCGTTCTTGTTAATTATTTTTTTTTTTCCTTAAAACATAGTATGTTATAATAATATATTTTTTAATAACAATTTTGAAGATAAATTATTATTAAGGTACTTTTAACACAAAAAGGGTTCAGTGGAAGAAAAAAAAAACTTGAATAAATTTACCTCGAATAGCTTGTGACTACCAGTTAAATGTCTTGCCTTTTAAGGATTTACTTATTATTTAACTCCACAAAATATGATTTTTCTTTCATATTTCACAAATTACATTAAAAAAAATTTAACAATTTTTCATTGCTAAAAATCTAGTGATTTCCGTCAGGCATATTTTTTTTTCTTGTCAAATATGAAGTTGTAGAGATAAATTAATTGTAATATGAAGTTAATGTGCTGTCAAACCTGATATTTGTGAAATTTAAATATGGATTTAACAATGGATTCCCAAAATTTAACAATGGCAAAATTGTTTTTGAATATATGGAGAAAATATATGAAAATTAACCAGTCCAATATGATTTTTATTTGAAGTGATAATTTCTGAAAATATTTTCTTACCTTACCATATTTTTGTGTTAATTTTTTTAATATAATTTTTAATTTTCACAAATTATGTCTAAAGTTTCACAAAATAGGAAAAAACCTAGAGAGACCCCTGCTACATGTATATTCTCATCTTTGAAATTAAGAACAAAAAAATTATGAATTTGTATTGAATTGTTATATTATGGTGCTTTTATTAATTCGGAGCATTTTTTTTCTCCAGACTATGGAAATTGATACATTGCAAGACTATGAATATCAACAAGAACGTCCTCATGGCTGTGACATTTGCGGCAAAAGATTCAAGAAAGGAAATCAACTAAGGCAACATCTTATTATTCATAAGCCCCCCGACAAGCGTCCTTACAGTTGCTACATTTGTGAACGAACATTTAATAGATCACATCATTTGAAATTGCACGTTATCGCCCACACGAAGCAGAGTCCTTTCAGATGCGACATATGTGGCCGTGGCTGCAACCAGATGAGCAATCTCAGGCGTCACATGCAGACCCACGAGTCGGAAAGAAACCATGCCTGTCGATATTGCGGTAAAACCTATGTTGAGGAAGCCACTCTCCAGAAACACTTACTGAAGCACACGCAGAAAAGTGTTTACCAGTGTGACTCGTGCGATAAGACCTTTTACAAAGCTGGCAACTTGGAAAAGCACGCCTTAATGCACAACACAGACAAAACTTACATGTGCAATATATGCAAGAAAGGTTTCATTAGGGAAAGTAGCTTAAAACAGCATCTGGTTACCCACACCGAGGACGAACCGCACGTATGTGACGTGTGCGGGCGTCGGTTCCGGCGACTGGGTAACTTTGAAAACCATCTCATAACTCACACTGGGTACACGCCTCACGTGTGTGACATATGTGGTAAAAAGTTCTTACAGATTGGAAGCTATAGGCGTCACTTGCGCAACCACAATGAAGGTTTCAAAGAAGCCACGCGTATCAAACTGGAGGGCAGAAACGATCACGATATGTATCTCTTACAGGATGACGATGAGGATAATATCATTGATGATGAGGAGAGCTCTAACTTGATGTCTCCTGAAGTATCGATAAGAGAATTTGACAGTGATAATATTGTGTTGAATTCAATGGAGGGAGAGACGCTTATGATTGGTGAACCTGATGGACAGGGAAACGTGACTGTTATTGGTTCGGCTTGCTCTATGGAAGATATTCAGAATCTCGGGCAAGACGGAAAAGAATATTATTTGATTGAAGTGAAAGATTGTTCTTCAGATAATGGAGAATCCAAAGTATTTGTATAATAGTTTGTCAGAGAGTTTTTTTTTTCTTCCAACATTTAATTCAAATTAGTCATCTTCAATTTAATAACTAATAAATTGTTAATTACTGTCTAGTTGCTATTGTTAATTTTATTTTTAAAAGTATACTGAATTTCACCCCAGTTTTAGATTTATAGGCCTTGTCTGGAAAGTATAAGCTGCCACTATGTAATATTGATTATATTACCACCATCATGAAATTGTGGTGGGCGGTATTTCTGTATCCGTACCAATCACCAAAAGGATTTACAGACATTTAACAACAAAGAATATACCCTTATTTATAGTTTGTATACGGTAAGAACTCCATCCGCCACAAAGTCTGAGACCGTCTGCTGCTATGGAAACAAGAATAGCGTATTTCAGGGAGGGTAGCTCTCTTCACTCTAGCACAATAGACCGGAGAAAAAGATTACCTTTCTCTACCCGACCCTATCCATAACTTGTCTTTAACAATGACCCCACACCCCTACTTTAAATAATTATATCTCGTTTCCATAGTCACCGCCACAGGTTCAAACGAATGGCTGGGGGAGTTCTTACTTTAGACAAACTATAAAGGCTTGTGGTTATGCAGAGTTCTCCTCATACCTGCCAAGTTTCCTGCTTTTTACTACTATCTCTTGTTAACCTGTATACTCTCAAATTTTCCTGTATTTGTTGAAGAAGAAAAAATTTGGCGATAAAATATTTCTTTAAATTATCGATATAATATCCGCTGATGGCAAAAATACTCAACAGATGGTGCTATTGCCAGTACTGCAGTATGTTGAGTGTTTATAGTTTAAGTAATTATAAATAATGGTTTTAAAAGTCTTCTTTAAATTAAGATTTATATACAAATTTTTTACTTCGTTAAATGTAAGTGCTAATATTAGTTCCAATTTTGAAATTCTCTTTTTGAATTATGCATATGATGTATCAAAACTTCACTCGTAGCCGAAAAAATGTTGCTAGTAAGTCTCCAGTATTTTATTTCTCCAAAGTTGGCAGTTCATAATGAATAAACAGGGCAGGGAATTTCCTCACAGAAAAAAAGGCCTTATTTATCACTGTAAAAATAAGTTGCGTTAATAACTGATTTTGATCTTGAATAATTTTTAAATTCCCCTCTCCTATACTATTTTATATATATATATATATATCTCAAAAAGTAATTCTCGACAAAACAACATTGCAAAATCATCACAAGGCATTGTAGACTAACATTGATCAACATTGCAAAGTCATGCACAAAAGAGTTATGTGGACACAATTATTCAGTATAATTCTATTGCTCGAGACCCAACTCCTGATAGTCAAAAAATACTTGGTAGGCCATAAAAGAAACTATTTCAAACCTATTCATTCTCATCAACAATCTTTGAGATGTGTGCTTGATAATCGTAATTATATGTTTGATGAAACTAATGGCAACTTTTTCATAACTAACTAAACACACGGATAGATGGTTAAACTTTATTTTGCTGCCTCTTATCAAAGACTACCATGCTGAAACAAATTATACTTTGGCAGAAATATATCAAACCTCCATCAGCATCCGGCTAACCACAAAAGGTTTTGCAACTTTGTTCTTTAAACAGGTGTTCACTTGATTGAAGGCTAAGAAATTTTTAAAAAAAAAATGCAGCATATATTCACTGAGTGGGTTGGTGTTCAACGGCAGAAATTAGTGAAGTGGTAACCTAAATTAAATTATGAAAAATGAGAATTGTGTAGTTAATCATGGATGCCTAGTTTAGCAAAATAAAAAGAAGTTGCCCTTTTCTCACTTTAATAAAAGTTGTTAAATCAATTAAATTTGAAAAACAACTTTTACTTGCCAATTGCACTGTTACAGACCAATTTTTTAAAATAACAGTTAAAGTAACTTAACCATTAAACTAATATTTTTTTATTGTGTTCAAGATCAAATTTATTATGAGAAGTTTTATAATTGTGATTTCAAAGTTGGATTAGAAATGTTTTGATACATTAAGCTAATGCGTTAACATTACATGTTCTTTTATATATCGAACTAAAACCGGTTATTAATTTTCATTTTACAGTGCACTCTACTGTTCAATATTAGAACTTTTGTTTTTTATATGTTACCTATGCTTTTTATTTAAAGAAAACGTAGGAATTCAGAAAGCAACACTATTAAAGTTACTAAAATATTAAGTTATTAATATAAAAATTATTAAATGAAAGTTATTCAAATATGAAGAAATTATCAGCTTGTTAAATGAGTTGATTTTGAGCAACCTTTTTATATAGACCATCCAAAAATTAACACAAATAATAAAACTAAAATTATTCCAACGTTTTTTTTATTTATTATTTTTTGCTCTTCTGAATAACTTTACATTATTAGATTAAGCAAAATATGTTATCCCATCAAAATAAAGATTAACTGTATTCAGTGTCATCTGATATACCACTGTTGCTCGAGGCAACTCATAATATTTAAAAATTACCACATTCAAGCTTACACTCTGCTGTAATTCGAGGGAAATAGATACTTCATGTCGCTACTTTAGAAGTAAATATTTTACACGAACTAGAGATGGAATAGCTCCAAATATATTTTTAATTCAGTGCTAGTGGAATGATTGAAGAACTTTACAATTTTTTTTTAACTACTTCAAATAGCCCTTTTGTTTCTGCAAGTTATTTATTTCTATAATATTTTGTTACAAATGTAAGAAAAGATTTTTATTTTTTGATGTAAAAATATTACTTAACTCAAAATTTATAGAATAGAAATTTTTGAGAAGAATTCCGACTCACAGAATATCCTTAAAAGGAACTGCCATACTTAACAGGAGTTATTTTGTAATTTCATTTCAAAACGTTCTTTCTCTAAGTAAACATATCTTCGAATTCTGACTCAAAATATGGATGTTCTGTAAAATAGGGTCGCTATAGTTTAGGCAAACTATTTCACTTTTTGCACATTTCGCTAATGCAGGAGAAATTTTTAAGCAAATCAAAAGATTTTTGTGCAAAATTCGTTAATCTAAAGAAAATTTTATTAAAAATATTTACAATTCTTAATTATTTTATCTAAAAGTAGCTTTTTTGATTTGTAATGTATACGACACCATTTTAAAGTACGTAATTTTCAAATACAAAATTAGAACGAATTGTCTCCGAGTTGATAAATTATCAACTTGATTTCTTGAGAACATCAATTCAAAATAAAAAATTTTATCGTTGAAGAGCAATATTATACTTTACAATTGCCTTCTTCACTAGATAAAATAAATTATAATGAGTATATTTTATATTGAATCAAATAAATGAATTTCGTGCTCTTTGATTCGCTTAGCAATTTCCAGACATCAAGTGAAGAGTGACTTTCTTGTATAAATTATTGGGACAAAATTTTTCACATTCCTGCTACCCCTCTTTTTCCTATAATACAAAATCTTTCAAAACAGGTTTTAAAAAAATATGCTTATTCTGAGAAAGCATTTTTTTTGTGTGTGTGTCACAACTTAATACTATATTCATTAACATATAGAGAATTCTCAAACTGTTAGTACGTGAAAATCCGTTCATTTAGATTACACAGCATCCAAGGTTTCGTGTCGCCAAAATTAGTATTTTGATGAAATTTGGGATTTTTATTTAGGGGTTTTTATGTGCAGGTAAATTGAATCCATAGTTAAAATTTTGAAATGCACTAAAAATACCCCAAAAAGCAAAATGGCTGCTGAAATATGGCGAGCAAAAATAAAAATATATATAGTACGTTAAACAATTAAGTATAGCAATGAAAATATAATAATTTTCGTAATTTTATATTAAAAATGAAAAGCAAATTATATTTCCGTTTTGTAACATTAATAATGTTAAGTAATATTACAAAATAACTTGAATTAATAACAAAATAACCCGAAAACATGAAGAAAAAAAACATACATTTTGTTTTTCATTACATATTTAGTTCACCTTTGCAATACGGGCAAAATGGGGCAGGTTTTTTAGAAATAAGAAACACCTAGAAAGAAGACAACAAAAAAAAAGTTTAGCTAATTGCCTCGTGGAACTAAGTTTCGAAAGTCAGTCAAACATTGTAAAATGTCATATGATAAGATATAAACTATAAGTTTCTCAAGATTATTAACTAATCCAACAAATTGAAAAATTGTACCATAATTTCAGACTAATTACTCTGATAAAAATGCAACAGTAAGGTGAAATTCCTATATATATTTCTGAAATAAAAACTTTAAAAAAAAATTTATTTTAAATAAAAATTTAAAAGTTGCATTAAAAAAAAATTTTTTTAAACATATTTTTCATTATATCGTACTCTAAGTTGATCCAAAAAGTAAATATAATGTTTGGAATGATTATGAATACTTAATTTGAGCGATATTAAAACCGCCTACACATATATATGATACACATGCCTAAAATTTTTAGTTGAAAATTTGATTTTTGGCCAAAGATCATGATCTTCTGCCCCACAGTGGATTATATCAACAAAAAAAATTTCTGAGCGTTCGCTTTTTATTTTTAGCACAGTATATGCTGGGTGCTTTTTTTTAAACATGACAATTCGGANACACATATATATGATACACATGCCTAAAATTTTTAGTTGAAAATTTGATTTTTGGCCAAAGATCATGATCTTCTGCCCCACAGTGGATTATATCAACAAAAAAACATAACAATGCTTTTTTTTAAACATAACAATTCGGACCAAAAAATTTCTTCAAATTTAAAGTTTTCAAAATAATCTAATTTTTTTTCTATACTTACATTTATTAATATCTGACATCTATTTATTAATATCTATAGTTACATTTATTAATATCTGAGAGACAGCAATGTAGTTTATTGACATTTACTCGAGAAAAAAAATAAAATAGAAATTCACCAAATCTTGAATGCCAGGAAAATGACATATTATCTTAGAAGTTTTAAAAACCGTCATTTTAAGTTAATAGTAAGTAACTCAACTTAAGCTTTTATGTTAGACGGACCATAAATTCCTTAAATTAATTCTTTTTATCCACTGTAGAAAGAATCAAATTTTTTGTTGTTGCTGATATATACAGAATAAAATTGTGTATAA